AACTGACATTTCTTTGAAAGATATTTTTCCAGTGTTTCATGAGCAGAACGATCCAAAAACACATTAAATAACAGTACAGCCCATTGAAGAGATGCAAGTCTATCCCTCACAGCCTCGCTTTCATTCTCACTAAAAATCAAAGATGGCGCTGCCGTGAATAAGGCGTATAGGCTGATTTCACTGGTTTTTCAGAGGTTCTCTCGTACTGCGTAATATCTTACACTATGGGGAACACAGTGTAAAACGTTGTGCATGCTGAGATCCATTCCCAAAGTCCCAAAGGCAAGTGAGTACATGATCATTAGGGACTCGCAGAGAGTCCAGAAATAGGGGCTAGAATAGCATAAGTCCTGTAATAAATAGCAATAGCCTCCCCTTTCCGCCATGTTGGTTGGATTCCCACGCCAAAACAGTATTGATTACGTGTGTTTTTAGCTCGGTAGTAGAGGAGTTTCTCGCAATACCGCACTGTTTTACCATGCCTGGAAGTCACTGCTGCGTTAAAAACTACCCCAGACAGCAAACTGACATTGAATCAACGTGGAAACGACGTCTCTCATGACATTGAAACAACGTTGATTTTGCTCATCGAATTAACGTTGAACCAACGTCAGACGCGGCATTCTTCAAAGCTAAATGAAAATCGAAAATTGGTTTGCTTTCATAAGGTTGAAACAACGCGTTGATTTCAAGTTGGTTTTCCTTTAGTTTTGAAAGAAGGACGCGTCTGACGTTGGTTCAACGTTAATTCGATGAGCAAAACAATGTCAGATCAACGTTGTTTCGATGTCATATTTCCACGTTGATTCAATGTCAGTTTGCTATTTGGGACTCCAGTACCTCACACGATGTATATGGAAAAGATAGGAACAATGGAATACAGTTTTTTAGGTTACCGAAATGGACAGAGAGTCTCTGACCTGATGAGGAGACGCCGGATTGCTTGGTTTGCTTTATTTGCTTTTTTTTGCTTGGTATTGCTTGGATTGCTTTAGCCTTTAGTATACGATTTTCACTGTTTGCTGTGCCTTAACGAACATAAGCAAAAGTGTTGTTTGAGTGCCTGTTCATTAATTTTTTACTTAATTGAAATTAGTAATGAAATAGTAATGCTTTGAGAAGCTGTATCTGCACTCCCTTCTCCATGGTTAAGATCAGCATGTATCTTTTCCCATGACAAATCTCTCATGTTTAAGAATTTAGCTGCTGCCTTAACTATGATTTTTATCTTCTCTGTTTTTGTTTTTGCCTGTTCTGAACAATTTATGACGTATGCTACAAAAAGCACTATCCTGTCCATTGCCATTCCTGTTTTTTCCTGATGTGACCCCGTTCCTTCTCTATTTGTACCAATGTCTTCATTTTCTCTTCCATCCTTATATATTTTCACAGCCTCTGCATATGTTACTTTCTGTTTTGATTTTACTTTTTGAATCTCAACTGCCTTTTTCCGGATTTCACAGCCCCCATATGCTGCTGTATGGTCCCCTCCACAATTACAACACTTTATTGTAACATTACTCCCACACTCTCCATATGCATGTTCTCCTCCACATCTACCACATCTGTGTTTCCCTTTGCATACATTTGCAGTATGTCCATAACGCTGACATTTATAGCATCTTAATGGAGGAGGTACATATTCTCGGACGTTAAAGCTCATGTATCCTACCATCACTTTCATAGGAAGTACATCATCTTTAAAGTGTAGCAGAACCGACTCACTATCTGTTTTTTCTCCATTTCTGAAAGCCTGCAATCGAGTGATTTCTGTAATCATTCCTCCTTTAATCACTTTCCTTAGTTCTTCCAGATTCTCTTCTACTGGAATTCCTGTCATCACTCCCTTTACACCTCCCTTCTCACCAATTACTTTTTTCTCCACTATTTCTTTTTTACATACTGATTGCAGTTTCATAGTTTTATTTTTCTGCTCAATATTTTTGCATTTCACCAATAGGCTCCCATCACGCAGCACTTTCGCCATTTCTATATCACCAATCGCTTTCTTCAATCCATTTGTAAGAGTGATCGGGCTAACTGATGTAATTTCATTCCCCACTTTAAATTTAAGAATGATCTTAAACTCTTCCATCATCATCTTTTTCCTTACTTCTCGAATTTCTTCTTTGTCATCTGACAAAGTTCTCTTCTTTGTCATCTGACTATTTCTATTTTCTTTTTTTCCTCCTCCTTTCCTACTCGTACTCTTTTCCCAACCCATCTCCATATCTTCATCCTCTGAAAATCCACTACAGTTTGCCATTTTGATCCAGTCACAAATCAGATTATGCCATGAACCCCCAAAACAAAAAACAAACAAACTAACTTAAAGCAACTAAGTAAAACAAAAAAAAACAAAAAACAAACAGTCTACTTTCCAGCAATGTCTCTGTTCGTGTTCCTACTCAATCCACGTCGCGCGCGATCCCTCTCGTGAGTCATGAATAGGAAGTGCATTTTACTGATTTTCCGAGTCATTTCGTTTATTTAAGTGGCTTAATGTTATAATTTTAACAGCCAAATTCCCCGATCACATCCACCTACGCAATGTTGATCATATTCTGAATTAAGAAATCATAATACAGTAAAAAATGATTTACAGGGAACATAAATAATCACTTTACCTCCCGAGTCTTACGTTCATTTGTCACGTGACATACGCAATTAACAGATCGTTCATGAATCACATATCTGGGACTAATGCAGCAGGATGTCGAAACGAAATATGGTGGATTATTATTATGATAATAATAATAATAATAATATGATAATAAGAGTGCACCAGGAGCGTTCACAGCCGAGGAGACCGACTTTCTCGTCATGGCCGTGAAAGACGGAGAACTGACGTTGAATGGGGGTAAAAATTATGTCCTTATAGTTAGGCATATAGTTATGGCCAAACAGGTCTGATCCGTCATTACTACAATTAGCCTGGAAAAATTGGGTAGCCTAAATGCCTAAGCTTGAAGTGTTAATATTTTTCCTTGTTATAATGATTTGCAAAAATAAAAACAGCTGCATCTGTGTTGAGAGAATCAAAAGTGTATGCGCGTTGTGCAAGCTACATAATGGCCAAGCATGCTGGTTTTTGCTGGTATACGTTGCAAATAGAGGGGCAGCAAAATTGTTTTTTGCCTAGAGCGGCAGAAGTGCACACGCCGGTCCTAGCTGTAAACACTGATGATGCGAGCGAAATACTGGAGTGAACATGGCTGTAAACGACCTTTGCTTCAGTTTGAAAAACCCCGGAATGTTCTCCATAACAAAGCAAATTGCATCCCGTGTCTTGTTTCCCATTTTCTGCGGTTGTTTCGGTTTTCGATTTCTCTAACCTACAATGTAAAACCAAAACTCTGCGCTTAGCGTCTACGTCACGGCTCTCAGCCCGCCCTCTGTTCGTTGATTGGCCGGCTGTTTTCAGGCCGGTGGAAAACTGAAAGATAGGCCGCTATTTCAGACTCACTACAGGAGCGAAATGAAATTAGCGGAAGTAGGAAGTCTGACGTAGTCAGGCTATATTATCTTAGCCCTCCCTTTGAAATGCAACTTTTAAATTACTTGACAAAAAATTACATCCTGAGAAAAGTGGATTTCTGGGGGTGAAACCCCATTGACTCCCATTCATTCTGCACTCGACCGCGAGCGCCCCCGCATGGACAGAGACGCGTTACTGCAGCCAGTCCACAACCCGGAAGTAACCAGACAGTGCCAATTCTCTTCAATGGGCTATATGCACGCATAAATTCCGCATTTGACGTAAGGATGCTCATCCATTTCCGGTTGTGTAGATTAAAGCGGAGGAGAACCGAGGAAAACAGGATTATGGCAGAGTCTTCAAAATTTACCATCCTCCCGACTTTGAAACGAAACGTACATACGTTTAGATGTAATTTTATATATAGTTATGTTTATTTAATATAATTTTAAAAAGAAGCATAAACACAACGAGGGGTGTCTGTTTTATCTGTTTTTGTGACTAACGTTTCTTTAGTATAACCATGGAGTATAAAATTCAATATAGACCATCCCAGACAGCAAACTGACATTGAATCAACGTGGAAACGACGTCTCTCATGACATTGAAACAACGTTGATTTTGCTCATCGAATTAACGTTGAACCAACGTCAGACGCGGCATTCTTCAAAGCTAAATGAAAATCGAAAATTGGTTGGCTTTCATAACGTTGAAACAACGCGTTGATTTCAAGTTGATTTTCCGTTAGTTTTGAAAGAAGGACGCGTCTGACGTTGGTTTAACGTTAATTCGATGAGCAAAACAATGTCAGATCAACGTTGTTTCAATGTCATATTTCCACGTTGATTCAATGTCAGTTTGCTATCTGGGATTTCACAAGATGTAAACAACACTGGTCCAGAAGCACTTCCTGTTTCAGTTTTTTAACACTACATAAAAGCTGGGATAAAATACAACCAACAGAACATTTAAAACTCAATCAAAAAGTTAAACATCTTTAAGATGTTTTCTTTACATGTGAAATAAAGAAAACAGTTTCAAACTGAAACAGGAAGTGCTTCTGGACCGGTGTTGTTTACATCTTGTGAAATGGTCTATAAATTCTCGGTATTGCATTGGACTCTACGATCGGCGGAAGTTATCGAGCATCCTTAGACCTTCACCGGAAATACCGCCGTGCATAGAGCCCATTAGACATTCTCTGATAAAGCCAATTGGACCCAGATCTGTTTTTTTTTTAATGCATCCGCAGCGTGAACAACCCAGGCGGATTTGATGTGCTTTTACATCAATCTACATCGACATTTGTCACAATTATGCGCTGGCGAGTTAGCACTAGACACAACAAACACAGACAGTAACATTAAACACTTGAGTAGATATGGAGAACAGTGATGGAGCGAGTCAATGGAGGGAGAGTGAGGTGTAAGATCTAATTGATATATGGGGAGATGCTTCAGTTAAGCTAAACTAGACAGATCCTAACGTAACCGCTCCGGGGTTTTTTTAAATAGCGCATGAAATGGAGGAACGGGGACACAGGAGAACTTGGCTGCAGTGCCAAAGGAAGGTGAATAGTCTTAAAAGTAAATTTAAAGGAGCAAATGATTCGAACAACCGAAGCGGTCGTGGTCGCATCACCTGCCCATTTTACAACTAGATTAACCGTGTTACGGGCGATAAACCCCGCTGTCAGCCGCTGGAGCTGCTGGATGGCTACGAACTTGAATCTCCGAGGAGTTCGGCAGACAGCCTGGACATAGATGGCGAGACAGGTACGTTTTAAGTCCATCATACATACAGTAGAAAGAGGCTAGAAAGTTGAGGTGTTTGTCATAGGAAAATTAGGTTCACGGAATAAACGAGCTAGTCAGCTGCTCCCAGTTTTCTTTGCAAAACTCGGAAACCCACCAGAGAAGCAGAGTACCCTTTACATGACTGTCGCTCCAAACACTCAGGAAAGTGCGTATCTATACCACAATTTACATTTCTCATAGGCTACCATTTGAACGCCAAAAATGTTGTTTTTTTGTGGATATGCTAATCCCTTGGTTAGGATTAGGCAATAAAGTGTGTGAAAAATATACATTTTTTTTAAACAAAAAAACTTTCCCACCCCTTTAAATCCTCCCTTGTCTGATTATTGCTACTCTGAGCAATGCCTGAACTTTATAGTTTGAGCACTTCTTGTGTTGTTTTTGCCTCTTCACGATGACTCACTTGCTTTTGTCCTCAGTTGTAAGTCGCTTTGGATAAAAGCATCTACTAAATCATGTAAATGAAGTGAACCAGCTCATAATATTTGCATTGAATGCATCACATTATAGCACGATATGTTTGCTTTCACCAGATGATACAAGCAGAGTTACTCCCATCTACATCTGAATCATCATGTTTTTAATGAGCCTGTTGCTAAATCATAAAGTATTCGCTTAACTAACCCATCCATTACTATTTTTGTATTCTGATATAGTGGATTACTGCTAAGTTTTTACCTATACATTGTCTACCCTCCAAACCTAACTGTTATTTTTTTTTTAATTGTGATACAATGGCCAAACACTTTCTCCTCTTTACGAAGAGCAGGAAAAGGAAGACCAAGATGGAAGCAACACTGGGAATCTTTGCTGAGAAGATCAGCGGTTCAAGCAGCTCAGCATGAGCTCAAAATGCTCTCAATGTTCACAGTTTCTTGCAAGATCAAATTCCCCATGACCACCTTTCTACCAGGCCTCACAGTACAACAGCCGCCTCAGACTACCTTTTACAACTTTACTCAGCCCCCGGCGAAACAGCATGGGTTCGCCATGTAACAAAACAACCAACCAGCCTCTATTTTTTCAGCAAGATCTGGCTCAACCTTTCAACCACGTCCTCCAGATATTGCCCAGACCTTCAGCCAGGTGTCACCCTCAAGGTCCAGCTCAGCAGCCCTTCAGCCTGGCCTCAGGACATCCACCATTCTACCGACCTCCAGATGACCAGGAACAGTAAATCACATCAGCATATTCTGAAACGCTTTCAGTATTGTTGGTCAATCTATAAGTCTATCCATCAAAAATGTGATTTTAAAGTGCTTTAGAAATAGTTTCTATCATTATAAAGTTTAATTACAGTTCAGATTATATACGACAGTTTCATTTCAGGGTTACAGTTATTAAACCGACAGAGACACTGTCTCTATAGCAGAATCATTTTTATTTTGAACATAAACATTTTCAGAGTAATTATTCAAAGTAGAACATTGAAGTTAAGCAGGTTTTCTTATTTTCTAGCTGAGAAAAATTCTTGTGGAAAATTTTACCATTTTGTTTACATACAGTGATGCGTTTCATTTTTATTTATTCTTTCAGAACAAAACTGACCATTTCATCATTCGTATTGAAAACATTTTTTTTTTGTTACTCCACACTTTGAGAATGTTACGTTTAAACATTGTATATTAAAGTTTCTTTTGTGAATCAGCGTTGACTCTCTCTGACTCTTGTTGGCTCAGCAGCATCTTCCGCTATCCTGTTGTCCTGAAGAATAGTTCGGGCAGGTCCCTCACATGCTTCGCACACACACACACACACACACACACACACACTAACCCTAACCCTAAATAAATACGTACTAGTACTTAATGGAATAGATACTAGTATCTAAAAAATAAGTGCTATGAAGGAAATAGAGACTAGTAGGTTTAAATGATAAAATGGTAAAGCGGCTTGCCATAGCCATACCACAGGATTGTATCACAAGGCAGCATTATTTAACCATTTTATAAACCTAAATCAGACTTTTCACTCAATGACGGCTAGCACTAGTAAAGTAAGAAAAAATTCCAGAAGCAATTATTTTATAATTGTAGCAGGCTGACCAGAACTGATGATTTACAACTCCGTGCAGAAGGACGGCATGCCATCCTTTGCGATTTAAGATGATGGGGATATGACACCCGCCAATCGCTCCGGCGCGCTGTGGAAAACCACACCTCATTTGTTTTAGTAAAAAAAAACATTCTTACCTAAAAATCTGTTGTTTTAGAATTTAGAAAGAATTTTAACAAATGTAAAACTAATCAATTTTGTAAAACGTCCCGCTCAATTTTGTTCATTTAATGGTAATAAATTAGATCAAAAGGTCACAAAATTAATTCAAGTTAATCCAAACTTTTAACAAGGCCAGAGAAAAAAAGTTTGTGAACAATAAAATGTGTTCGGTGAAATGCTGCAGAAGCTTGTCCTGAAGTTTGGGTCCACTGGACCTCTCAGACCAATGCATGTGCTGGGACACATAACAGACATTTCCATCATGTGATGTCATCATAAACAATATGTTTCTTTCTTTTGTGCTTCTAGAGACTCTGGCAGGCTTCACCAGTGGACACTCTGTAAAAACATGATGACTGATGGCAAATGTGAGAGAGTTTACGTTCAATTGATGAATTACAGCTTTTGCTTGAAATAACAATTCTTATAGTTCGAGGCCAAGCACCGAAGGTGCGGAGGGGCACCTGTTTTATCTATTCCGGTTCTTATAATTATTCTTCCGTTTCTTCTTCTTCCGACTATGGCAGCCCATAGAAGCGTTTGCGGGAAAGTTGTTTTCGTTTAATGTTCTGATAGAGGACAGTCCCAACATCAAATACACCGATTTTGGGGTCACAAACTCATTGCCTCTAGCGCCACCACCTGTCCAAAGTTTCACTCAAATTATGCTAGTAACTTTTGGACCGTAAGGCCAATCAACAAAATTATTTTTCTTCTGATTCCTGAGCTCATGACGATTTGATTGCAACCTATGATGTAATTTTTCGTCATAAAAATTTGTCCGGCATTTTGTATGGTCCAACAAAACTACTTTTGGGAACTCGTCCTAGACGGTTTGTCCGATTCTTACCAAAATTGCACCAGATCATCTCCAGGCAGTGCCGACAAAAAGTTTAAACTGAATTCAAGTTGATTTGTCTAACGGTTTGAGGAACGCATATTTTACATAGTGCTTGCGAAAACTGGCTACATGCTGCGTTTCGGCGCAACGCCACCTACTGGTTCGGAGATACGCAAAAATGGCTAATTTTGCTTATAACTTCTGAACAGTTTGTCCAAATATCATAAAAGTGGTCTCGATAGATTCAGGGCGTCATGCTAATTTACAATCTTCCCAGATCGGCAATTTTGGCTGTCAGCCATTTTGAATTAGCTAAAATGCTGTATTTTTTAAACGCATGAACGAATTGTTACGAAAATCGGTATTATGGATCATCAGTACGATGAACTGAAGGGGCCTGAAAAGTTTTGAAACAGCAGCACCTAGTGGTAAAATTATATTTTCAAATGCTTATAACTCTGGCTGTGGTTGACTTACTTTCACAGGAGTCATCTCGTTGGATTCCTGAATCCTTGCCGATTCCACAGATACCAGACTTGCCAGGTTTTGGCATATGGTTTGTGCAGCGTTTTAATTTAGCACTTAAACATTCACGGCTATTTTCGAAAACACTAGTGCGATCGAGACGAACCCACCGTCACAAGTTTGGAAACATAGGTTGCTGGCAAGACCAAATGTCAAAATATTGATGGTAAGGGGTTATAAAAATTCAGTCATGTGTCAGTCATTTTGACATGTATTTTCACATTTCTGTCTATAAATACAAAGCGAATTGAGATATTTTCACCAAAATTAACACACACATGTATGGGCTCACTCTGAGATCACATCCAAAATTGTTGAATTGAGCCTCTTGGTGGCGCTTTAATAGAACGAAACACAAAATTCCCATTGAGTTCAATACAGTTTTTGTGATGTAAAATGCCATCCTTAACAAATGCATTGCAGTAACGTTACGAAACTCGTGTGTGCCATCAGCACCATGCCCAGAAGATACTCAAAAGATTTCCAGACAGCGGCCCCTTTTGGTCAAAAATTAGAATTAAATTTCCAAAAATGCTAATAACTTCTAAATAAATTTAAATAGATTTCTTGGGTCATTCCGAGAACATAGATACAAACTTTCTGTCCACCATCAAAATTTTCATTCAACACCTTTTTCAAACTCCTCCTAGACCGTTTGTCCAATTTTCACCAAAATCGAATCGTATCATAACCAGACCGTGCCGACTAAAAGTTATGGATGTTGATAGACAAAACTTTTTTCATCTACTGCAGCAGCAAAGTCGAGGCATGATGCCAAAATGACAATAAAGGCTTTATGTCTGCAATGCCTCGAAATATTGACACCCCACATCAATTTCGTAACTGCGCCACCTATTGGTCAGACGTGATAACCAATTAAATCATATTTTTAGTTAATGCATTTGATTTTTCAGCCATTTTGCCAAAATTCATCTTTAAATGTCTTTAATTGCTCATTGTTGCAGTTGTCTGACACTTTCCGCCATGTAGGCACGTCTTATTGTCTTCTTCTGCTTGGCTCAGAGATAATGCTGCTTGCAGCTATATTTTCAATTGAGAGTGCTGAACACGACAGAACAAAGTTCTAAGGGTCATGTAACCCTATTTTAGTAAATGCTACAGGAAGTAGGCCTATATTTACATATCGTTAGTCTATCTGTTATACTAGCACTTATGATATAATATATTTTAATTGACAGCATTTCTGAAGCTATACATTAATGTGAACGTACAATATCAAAAATGCATCATTAATTGAATGCATGTCCAATTTGAGCACAATTGGGGTAGTTGATTACTGGGCTTAATTATTATTGTTAGCTTCTTGAGGTAAATATATGTATAAAAAAACTTTTATTAGTTAAGTGTTGCAACCCTAAAAATATTAACCAAAGGATTAACTATGTTTGTTCTGTATCCCAGACTCTGTCGACATTGATTCTGAAAGTGAGTTCATGCAGGAGCTTCTCCCGTCTGCGGAGCGAACGGCTCTCCTCTATCACATGTCTTACCTGTGTGTGGGTAAAGACCCAGAGCTGGAGCGCCTGCTCAGAAAACAAGCTGTCGAAACACAACTGCTGTTCGGATCCTCTGAGGCTCTTCTGATGAAGGTATTCCCATGTTCACTATATCCAGACTTTGGTTCATTGAAATGTCCGTTCTTCTCTCTTATTTCTGCCTTTACAGTGTGTAAGAACCAGCGAGAGCTTTGTCACATCACTGCTACCCAATCTGAAGTTGGCTGCAGAGAAAAACAAACCACAATTAGCATTCAAATTCCTCGAAAAAGCAAAAGATCGGATTGGTGACATCATAATAGATGTTAAAGATTTTGTGAAGAGGTAAGAATATGAATTGGAAGACATTATCAAATTAAATACTTGCATAATGTTCAAAAACTATAAGTGATAATTAAAATAAAATATTTTGAAATATCTGATGCACACCCAGGTATAATGAACATAACAGTGATGTAGCCTCATCAACCAGTGACATCAACACTGTTAAGGAAGAGATGAAGACGATGCAGCAGCAACAATCCAGTGAGATGGAGGAACTTCAGAAGATGATTGATGTTCTGGAAGCAAACCTTCTTAATATCAGTAAAGACATAGAAGACTATGAGAAGAAGAAAAATGAAGAGATAAATGAATTTTTCATCCGCACCACCGGCACAAAGGAAGAAAATGACCTCCAAAATAAAATGACCTCCACTTCAGATAAAGATCAGATCATGGCTCTTTATGCTGATTTACAGAAACGTCTGAAAGAGAGGGAGTGGGACATCCAGAACCAGCTGATGGACAATCAGCAGAAGATGGCCAAATTAAAAACTGGAAATGGTGAGACGCTACATGTTTTCTTGTTAATATTTAAACCTCGTGTGCATTGTAGGTTTGCTCATCCGTTTGCTTCTGTAACTGACATCACAGGTCAGATGCCCATCATCACACACCTTGATGAAGTCCAGAAATATTTGTCTCGAATCCAAAAAATTCTGGTCCAGCTTCAGAAGTTCTGGGAGAAAGTGGGTTCTTTGCTGGACATGCTGAAGGAAAGGACCTTCGCTGGGGATGTTTGGATTGAAGACCTCACTGATATGAAGGAAGAGTTCCTGGAGTCCATCGATGCAGCTCAAGAGGTAAACCGTGATGATGATGATGTTTCGAAAGTTGTGAGACTGCAAGTTGCTTGACCTCTGACCACTGACGTTAAAATTAATTTGAACAGGAATGGATAAAATTTGGCATCAACTCCAAGAAGGCCTACGACATCTTCAGCGTTCAGGCGATTGAAGCCTACAGGTTTCTGGAGATCAGTCCTTCATCTCTGTCTGAAGAAGAGTGGCAGAACGAGTATGAGAGCGTGAAAGACAAACTTGAGAAAATTTGACTTTAAACTCTCAATCCTGCAGCCATTACACCATGAGATCAATTGAGAGTGAGGAGTTGTCATCATAGTGCAGAGCTCCTCCCCTCGATATCACGGGATCCTCACCCTCTCCGCCATGTTGGCAGGATTCCGGCAGCAAAACATGATTGTTTGTTAACTTAACGTAACAATGGAAAATTGTAGTTTAAGTTTGCGCTGAAACTATATTTACCTTTTTTGAAATAATTCATTAAACCTGCTAAGCAGACTGATCTCGTGAAAAGGCGAATATGACACGCCAATTCGAATTTCCATTTTTGCCGTGCTATCAACACGCATAATCGCTTTGTGAACAGCGTTGACTTAACGTTACATAACTGTAGATATACAGTGGTATGAATAAGTTTTGGCCCCCATGCTAAAGTTGCCTAAAAAGAGGAATAAAAAATCATCTTTTGGATATTGATCTTAATGCCTTAATTAGAAAAATGAGGAAAACTCCAACCTTTAAGGACACCAATTTTCTTTGTGAATGAATAATGTATCATAAATAAATAAATGTTTTTCCTTAAAATACAGGGTGCATAAGTCAGGGCACCCCTATGTTAAATTCCCATAGAGTCAGGCAGATTTTTACTTTTAAAAGCCAGTTATTTCATGGATCCAGGATAATATGCATCCTGATAAAGTTCCCTTAAAATATCCCCACATCATCACACACCTTCCACCACACCTAGAGATTGGCATGGGGTACTTTCCATAAGATCATCTTTCAATGCAAATCAAACCAGCTATTAGGCTAACTGAAGTAAAACCACACACACACACACACGCACACACACACACACACACACACACACGCACACGCGCACGCGCACGCACACACACACACACACACACACACACACACACACACACACACACACACACACACACACACACACACACACACACACACACACACACACACACACACACACACACCTTTCTTCTCTGCTTTGAACAGTGCGACAGCCCACAAACACAGTGCGACACCGCCCCCTTCTGGACAAACCTGATACCACCCTTAACAAACAACTTTTTTATACACTTATTTTTAACTGCATTTTCTTAAAATTATATTTTGCTCTTACTGTCACTGATTGTTCTTAATTTTGTCAATGATTGGGTTTTTTTATTTACTTTTATTGTTTTTACTTGCACACTTGTAGCACTTTGAGATATGTCCTTCATGTGTAAAGTGCTTTACAAATAAAATGTTTTATTATTATTATTATTATTATTATTATTATCAACTAGAACATTAACTTTTTGTCATAATTTCAACTTTGTACGTCCTAATTATTATCTTTTATGTCATCATTTTTAACTTTTGTCATAATTATTATTATTTATTATATTAATCAATAATTATTTTATCACAATTTTGCCCTTTTAAAGTCATCATTTTGTCAGAATTTGTCAGTTTTAAGTCAGAATTTCACATTGTGTTATGTAATAATTTTGACTTCTAAGTCAGAATTTCAACTTTTTAATGTTTGGCTTTTTATATCATGATTAAAGTATTAAGAAATGTTCTCACCCTAAACAAATGTTTTGAATGGTAGTGTATTACTTTCCACAAAAATATGAAGAAGCACAAATGTTTTCAACACTGATAATAATCATAACTGTTTCTTGATTATCAGATCCTCATATTAGAGTGATTTCTGAAGGATCATGTGACACTGAAGACTGGAGTAATGATGCTGAACATCACAGGAATAAATTACACTTTACTGTATATTCACATAGACAACAGATGATTTACACTAGAATAATATTTCACAATTTTACTGTATTTTTGATAAAATACTGCAGCCTTGGTGAACAGAAGACACTTTTTTAAACACACACACAAATAATGATTATTCAAATGTCTAACTTTTGCTACTGTATTATTAATGTATTACTCTATTTGTCTTTAATGTGTTCATTGATCATTATGATTTCAGAAACACGTTTCTGCTGTCTCTTGCGTCTTCACAGTGATTGTTTGGCGTCATATAACACACACACACACACACACACTCTTTCTCTCTCTCTGACTGACACACACACACAATCTTGTGGGGTGTGTCTTTGAGGCGCCTATGTCTTTGTGTGTGTGTTTGAGAGAGAGAGTGAGAGTGAGAGAGAGAGAGAGAGAGAGAGAGAGAGAGAGAGAGAGAGAGAGAGAGAGAGAGAGAGAGAGAGAGTCTCAGTAGAAGTTCTGTAGTCCAGTTCAGTTTTCGGTTCGGGTGTGTTCTGATCATGTCTTAAATGCTCTGCAGCGGATCCGTGTGTGTGGGTGTGTGTTCAAACTTTCTGGAAGACACGAACAGCGTCATTGTCTCGCGGTGAGTTTGTGATTTTGTGTTTGAGAGAAACTTCTTCAGACTCTCGGCGAGCTTTAGATCGTTCCGCTCGAGCACAAAGCGAATCGGTGAGAGATTTATGCACGTTTATTCTGTGTGTGTGTTGTGAGACATGAGGAAAGACTCACCTGAAGTCCCGCGTTACTGTAACACGTGCTCGATACATTCCCACTGTTACTTTCAAACGCGTCTTTGATGTGGCCGCGCGCGCACTGTGGCGTCACTCTCCGTCGGAAGCGCGCTTGTCTTTGATGTTTGAACCGTTTGTTTATTGCGTCTGTCTCTCGTTCCAGTGCTCATTCAGGTCCGGTGGGTTCGCTTCGTAATGCAGCCTTCATCTTCATCATCATCAGTGTTTCTTCTTCTTCTGTCAAGTTTTTCTCTTGCTTTGGCCTGTAATAAAGCTCTGTGTGCCAGTGACGTCAGCAAGTGTCTCATTCAGGTAAGAGTCTCGCGTTGTGTTTAATGTGTATAATGGATCACAAATAAACACTTCAGAAAGTTCAGTGAATCATGTGTTGGATGTGATCATGTGCAAGATAGATACTTTTCAGCTTCATAATCTTTATAATTTTAATATTTACAATTGAGTCATGTTTATTAATCTGCCTTTACATACAGTCATTTTGCTTTGCACATATTTGATACTCTCTGTAATAAAAGGATATAATATCTAAAAAAATGTTGGCTTACATGCTAGATTCTTTCCCTCATATTTATCACCAAGACAAATTCCTTGGCAATAAAAAAATAAGATTATTTGTAGGCTCATGTTTCTGATTATATTATTTCGGACTTTGTAAATGTGATTTGAACACCGGAATGAACCTTCTCGTAGGAGCCATTTAATTTTTATTTGTACTTTGTTACTTTTATTATTATTATTAAAGCTGCTGCTGTTGTTGTTGTTGTATTGGCAGGAGTTGTGTCAGTGCCGGCCGGCCGATGGGAACTGCTCGTGTTGTAAGGAGTGTATGATGTGTTTGGGAACTCTCTGGGAAGAGTGCTGCGACTGTGTGGGTGAGAACATCATATTATTGATATATGACACTACAGAACATTATAATATCTGCTGCATCGTGTCGGTTCTGACGGCAGAAATCATAATCAAGTGCAAATAAACGAGTGCGTTTTCACTTACACGTTTCAAAGGAGGTCATTTCTATTCCTGCAGATGACATGCATATTGTTTGGTGATTAAATTTGAATATTTTCTTTAATTGAAAATGAACAATTGTATTTTTAGTTATTTATTTTTAATTTTAAAAAGGTCGGAATTGTGAGAAATATATTAAACTCACTATTGTAAAAAAAAAAGTCTGAAATGTGACATTATTATCCATTATCCAACATTATTTTCGGAGTTTATTTCTCGTCATTATGACTTATCTTTTCCATAATGACTTTATTTACATCATAACGACTATTTTTGTCATTACGACTTTTGTCTGCCATTATGACTTTATTTACATCATAACAGCTTTATTCTCGTCATAACGACTTTATTTCTCGCCGTTACGACTTTATTTCTTGTCATTACGACTTTATTTTCGTCATTACGACTTTATTTCTCGCCATTACGACTTTAATTACATCTTAATGAAGCGACTTTATTTCTCGCCATTACGACTTTATTTCTTGTCATTACGACTTAATTTACATCATTACGACTTTATTTCTCGCCATTACGACTTTAATTACATCTTAATGAAGCGACTTTATTTCTTGTCATTACGACTTTATTTTCATCATTACGACTTTATTTCTTGCCATTACGACTTTATTGTCGTCATTACGACTTTATTCTCATCATTACGACTTTATTTACATCATAACGAAACACCTTTATTTCTCGACACTACGACTTTATTTACATAATGAAACAACTTTATTTCTCGCCATTACGACTTTATTTCTCGCCATTACGACTTTATTTCTCACCATTACGACTTTATTTCTCACCATTACGACTTTATTTCTCGCCATTACGACTTTATTTACATAATGAAACAACTTTATTTCTCACCATTACGACTTTATTCTCATCATTACAACTTTATTTCTCACCATTACGACTTTATTTTCATCATAACGACTTTATTCTCATCATTACGACTTTATTTCTCGCCATTACGACTTTATTTTTTTGCCATTACGACTTTATTTCTTATCATTACGACTTTGTTTTTTTGCCATTACGACTTTATTTCTCGCCATTACGACTCTTTTTAAAATAAAAAAATTGGAAGAAAAAAACGAAATTGTCAGATAACTCACAATTACCTCTTTAGTTTTATATCTCGTGGCAGAAACAAGGTTCCTTGAGTTGTTTCAGTCTAAATCAGGTTGATATTTAGTTGTGTGCGTGATGCGTTACGCGAGTGTGTGTGTGTGAGGCAGTAAAGTGTGTGTTCTGTCACCTCAGGCATGTGTAACCCGAAGAACCACAGCGACACGCCGGCGACGGCCAAGAGCACGGTGGAGGAGCTGTTCCGGCCGATCCCGTCGCTCTTCCGCGCGCTCACCGAGGGCGAAGCGCCCGTCAACATGATGGTGGTGTCGTTCCCCGTGGCCGAAGAGCTTTCGTATCACGAGAACCTGCTGTCCTTCCTGGAGACGCTGGAGGACTCGCACCAGAACGTGTCTCTGCCGGGGAACAGCATCCACGCCAGCTACGACACCAGCGGTGAGGCTTAGCATTCTTGCTGATCGCTGTTGATATGCTGTACTATAAAACTCCTCTAAATATCCTCCATGGTTGCATATACCGATCTGCAGGACACGTGTAAACGACTTTACTTGGACCTGTTGTGCGAGTCTTTTTAATACCACGTGTTTATATTAGGGGCTTTTGAACGTTTTCATCGTTCCTAGAACTAGCGGCGGGAGTTTGGCGTGTTAGCACCGCATGAACTGGGAACGATTTCAGTTCCAGGAATCCTTCAGAGGGACCACAGTGACGGTAGTGTTTGCTGATTGGCCGGAGAACAGGAGAATACGATCTCTGGCATTCTCATCGCCGTCAAAATAAAAGTCCCAACAGCAAGCGCGTCTCACGTCACTTCAGAGTTCCTGCCGGCGCTCGAACGACACCAGGAGAACGCTGACATTTGACACACACACCAAACAAGAGAACATGTACCGCATCTATCTCAAACCCTGTTGCACGCCGTTACAGGAAACATGTCGTTCAACCCGGAAACCGTAGCAAAACGCTGCTTGAACATGCCCTAGCGCTTCACTGAGCAGCAACGTCGTTAGCTTGAGCTTCATCCACTGGGATGTGGATTCCTGAGGTGACCCCGTGACCTCGAGCTGAGGCGGTAATGAGACGTCCAGCGGCGAGCAGGTGTTGGAACGGAAACACACCAGATCACTCGCCGACTACGCCAACGCTCATTTGTGTCACGCTTGAGGGTTTTATATCTGACACACACTTAAGTTTGGGATAATTAAGATTTTTCAGCATCGTTACTCCAGTCTTCGGTGTCACATGACAAAAAATGAAATTGATTCCTACTTTTTATGTCAATGGTTACTTTTTTCTGTGGTTTCCTGATCTCTCTTTCTCTCTCCAGATAAGATGTGTACGGTGGTTTACTTCGACGACTGTGTGTCCATCCGCCAGTGTAAGCAATACTGCGAGTCCATGGGCGGGTCCAAGTACCGCTGGTTCCACAACGCCTGCTGCGAGTGTATCGGCCCCGAGTGTGTCGACTACGGCAGCAAAGCGGCCAAGTGCCTCAACTGCCTTTACTGACTTCCTGTCCGTCAGTGACGTCTGATTCTCAACTTCCTGTCCGCTACTGACGTCTGATTCTCAACTTCCTGTCCGCTACTGACGTCTGATTCTCAACTTCCTGTCCGTTACTGACTTCCTGTCCGTCAGTGAAGTCTGATTCTCAACTTCCTGTCCGTCACTGACGTCTGATTCTCAACTTCCTGTCCGTTACTGACTTCCTGTCCGTCAGTGAAGTCTGATTCTAAACTTCCTGTCCGCTACTGACGTCTGATTCTCAACTTCCTGTCCGTCACTGACGTCTGATTGTGTCCTGCGTATTAGGCTTCACGCAAAAGAGTTTGTATATAGATTATTTTTATCCTTGCCGGTTCGTTTAGTCACAGACATGCAGACGAGCGATGATTTTGATAGAGAATAGACGCATATCTGCGCTTGAGTAGATTATCTGCGCTTGTCGGGTTATCTTATGAATTCAAAGTCTTTTTTAAGACCGAATTAAGTTGAAATCATTAGTTTGTTTTCAAGAACAAAATCCACGTGTAAATGATCATTAAACATCGTCGAGTGAAGCTGGTGTGTGTGTGATGTCGAGACGACGAACATCATCAGCCATAGAAATCACTAGTTTCAATAAAACATCATCTCCAATTCTTTATTCTTGTCTTTTCGTTTGATATTTTTTCGTTTTACATTTCTATTTTTTTTTACTTTTTTTTCTGTTATATTATTTTTTTTACCATTTTATAAATAAAAAAAATCTTTTATTTTATTTGTATTTTTCTTTTTGCCTTTTGTTTCTATATTTTCACTTTATTAAATTATTTTCTTTATGTATTTTTAATTTGTTTCTCGTGTGTTGAGCGCTGTTAATCTGGGTTCACAGGTGTCCTAACGAAGTGTCCCACTTTCAGTCAGACACAAAGGCAGACGCTCGTTTGCTGAACACAAACACAAAGAGCTCATTCAGTCCCATGAGCCTCCAGTCATCCGTCCGACATAAACTACAAACTCACTGAAGTTCACTTGAGTTCCACAAACAGAAAGACCGTCTCTCTGCAGTGACACGATCATTAATCAGAGTATCCGTCAATATCAAACACTCTCTGTGTTCCTGATCTTTACTGGGAACCATTCAGGGAGCGGGAAGAAAAACTTCAATCAGAATGTAAATTTTCTTTGCATTTTAATTTTAAAGTTGTCAAAACGGGTAAACCTTTACATTAGGGTTTCATTAGTTAACATAATACAGCAATAATGATAATCCCAAAAGGTCGTTGTTCAGATCATATCAGATTTATAGATTATATTACAAGGTCAAATATATCTGTGAACATTTTTATTAAGGTTAATAAACGCTTTAATGCATTAACTTATACAAATGAAACCATATAAACGATAAAAGAGTTTAGGAATCTAAATGAATGATGATAATAAAATAATATTATAAATTGACTACTGATTTATAACTTATTAGATACCACTGTTCATTGTAAATTCATAATGCACTGTTAATTTATACAACTTAAATGAAGTTTTACCGTGATCGTCTTCATGAGGAGCGACTCCAAGAACAACAGGAGGTGATTTCATCTGAAATTTTATTCTGGACAGGTTAAGAGAATATCATCAGCTATTCATGATCAAAAACAGGAATATATACAGAAGAGTTTGCATTAAAACACTCAAGGCTTCAAGTGAGTTCAGACTGAATGTTCACATGGACCACTCGTGATATCGTTAAAAAACACTCGTCTAAGCGGAGTCCGTCAGAGCAACAATGTGCTGCGCTGAAGATTAAAAGAGCCCTTGAGATGTGTGTGTGTGTGTATGTGTGTGCAGCATATATTAGAGCCGGTTCATCCGGTCACATGTCAACGGGTTAGTCGTTTGATATCTCCAGCTGTTCAAGTATTCTCTGGTTTAAGGAAGACACGTTTAAGGCTTCTGTGGCAAAAATAAAAGAGAGAATGCACAAAACCCCCACAAAAGGTCCTGTAGTGAGGTGCATTCTGGGAAAGCTGTTCAGTATGTGGAGGACGTGGTGCTCATGGCGTCCTCGTTCACTCGCGTGTTTGCCGGATGGACGCTGGCGAAGTATTTGACGTCCTTGTCGACGTCCGTCTGCAGCGACACGAGTGTGTGTTCCAGCGCCTCCTGCTGGCAGCCCGCCGACGACAGGAAGAACTCTACAGGACACACACACACACACACCGTCAGCGAGCGGTCACACGGGCAGGGCGTGCATGTACATAAAAGAAAATTAAACTAGGAAAAATAAATATGAATAAAAGCACAAAAGAAAATAAAATGGGAAAAAAAACAGAGGAACAAAAAGAAATAATGAAAGACTAAGAAACTAAAAACAATAGAACTAAAATAACTAAGGAAAAGAGAGGGAAGACGACAAAATAAGACCATAAGAAAAAAAATACATAAAACAAAAGAAATACCAAAAATGAGAGAAATAAAATAAAACAAAGACAGACAGAAAAGGGAAAATAAAAGTAAATAAAAAAAAGAAAAGAATCATAAAATGAAAAGAATAGATAAATAAATACATGAATGAACAAAAATAAATAAAGTGAAAAATTTTAGAACAAAGAAATATATATATATATATATATATATATATATGAAAATGAAAGAAAATAAATGCAAAAACAGAAATAACACACACCTCGCTCCAGCAGGGTCTGCCTCAGGGTTTTGGCCAGCAGGACTCTCACGTTGGGAACGGGATCCGACGCCAGCAGGAGCAGCGGAGGGAGAAGATGCTCCGAGAACTGATCCAGGGACACACACTCCTCCTCTACTGACAGCTGACACACACAGAGACACGCGTCAGGATAACACACACACACACTGAGGAGGAGGAGGAGGAGTGCGTCTCACCTGACAGACGAAGGCGAACGCCTGCCGACCGGACCACTTCCGAGAGTGGCAGAACTTCTCCACCAGTTCTCCCAGAAAACCCACCAGCAGAGACGAGCACGACGACAGCTTCCGGATGATCTCGCTCACCTGCACACACACACTCGCTCGTTCATTCGGGAGAACGACTCATTCAGGAGAACGACTCACTCACTCGTTCATTCGGGAGAACGACTCACTGCACACAGAGACTCGCTCGTTCATTCGGGACAACGACTCATTCAGGAGAACGACTCACTGCAAACAGACTCGCTCGTTCATTCGGGACAACGACTCATTCAGGAGAACGACTCACTGCAAACAGACACTCGCTCGTTCATTCGGGAGAACGACTCACTGCACACAGAGACTCGCTCGTTCATTCAGGAGAACGACTCACTGCAAACAGACTCGCTCGTTCATTCGGTACAACGACTCATTCAGGAGAACGACTCACTCGCTACAAACACAGACTCACTCACACATTCACAATTCACTCATTGGGGAGAGAACGACTCGCTAGAATCAAATGGCGCTTTTCGAATACACAGTACCGACTCGACTCGCCTTTGTTTGGTTCTCCACAGTGTAAAAGTTGTACCTGTTCCTGCTTTCGGGTACTTTTATTGCATCACCTACGACAAGGTTCTGAGCGAGCTGAGGCGATACTAAGATGTGACATGAAAACAATGCCGACCGCTGATTGGTCAGACAGAATCGTCACCATTGTATGCGCCAGATGGAGTATCCAGAATAACCCCGCCATTTTTAAATAGTTTGGCCAGTGATAGTTTCTAAACTAACTGCTATTATTATGGCAACTCGGGAGAATACGCCGTGGTCAAAGAGGAGGAGCAGACTTTCCTTTGTTTAGTTGCGGAAGACAGGATCCTGCGAGAGATTGATGGGGCAACGAGGAACGAAAGACGTCGCTATGACGACCGGGTACTATGCAGTGGTGGAATGTAACGAAGTACAAACACTTCGTTACTTTACTTAAGTACATTTTTCACGTATCTTTACTTTACTTAAGTAGAATAAATAGTGCCTACTTTTTACTTTTACTTCGTTACATTTTGCAGCAATTATTCTACTTTCTACTCCACTACATTTCTACAACTTCTGTTACATTTTCGTTACATTTCCTGATCAGTTTTTCCCCGGCCAAAACGTAATCTGACCGTCCGTTCGTTGCACGTTTGTCTCACCAGTGACGTTTGGTTGCCATAGATACAGTATATCAACCCGGTCACACTAAATGCGTCTCGCACGCAGTGCGTTTATCATGCAACTCATACGCGAAAATTTGTTTTTACGTGCATAGGAAACACACCGTGTGTAATATACGTTTGGTTAGGATTATGGCAAGCCAAGAGGTTCAGAATTACACCATAAATGAATCGCGTTTACTGCCAATAGTAAGGATAAGCATGATATTGTCTAATTGCAAGCTTGTTTCAGAAATGGTGCCATTTTTTCCATCATTATTGAACATCATTATTGGAGTAGGCTATTAGGTTGAATGAGTTAGAATTAAATGTTTTATTAATCATTAGAAAATAGACATTAAGATAATAAATTGTTATGCAAGTACTTTTACTTTCAATACTTAAAGTACATTTAAAATAAAGTACTTTTTACTTAAGTATGGTTGTCATTGTGTTACTTCTACTTTTACTAAAGTAAATATTTATCTGGGTATTTGTACTTTTACTTAAGTACTGAGATTCAGTACTTCCTCCACCACTGGTACTATGTGGCGGCACTGTCTGAAATGGAAAACGGCGCGAAAAGCGAGCGGAGTCGAGTTGAGCTGGTTCTGGTAATGGAAAAGCGCCAAAAGTGAATTATTCACTAGTGCAATTCATTCAGAAGAGCGAATCATTGAGAAGAACGACTCACTAGAATCAGAGTGAATCATTCAGAAGAGCGAATCATTGAGAAGAACGACTCGCTAGAATCAGAGTGAATCATTCAGAAGAGCAAATCATTGAGAAGAACGACTCACTAGAATCAGAGTGAATCATTCAGAAGAGCGAATCATTGAGAAGAACGACTCACTAGAATCCGAGTGAATCATTCAGAAGAGCGAATCATTGAGAAGAACGACTCGCTAGAATCAGAGTGAATCATTCAGAAGAGTGAATCATTAAAAACAATGACTCCCAATTCAAATTTCACTACAATCTCACCCAAATTTACCAGGCAAGACAGAAATAAAAAAAGGGAAAGAAACTAAGAAAAGCAAAACAGAAAAAAAGAGAGAGAAGAGAAAGAAAGAGAAAAAATTAAAACACAAAAAGAAAGGAAAATGAAGAAAGTTAAAGACAGAAATAAAGTAATAGAGAAAGTGAAAGAAATAGACAAGGAAAGAGAAAGATGGAATGAATGAACGAAAGGCAGACAGAGAGAGAGAGAGAGAGAGAGAGAGAGAGAGTACCAGTCTGTAGGACGTCCAGCGAACGGATGAGACTCGGTCAGTGCAGAGACAGAAGGCCAGCGGTCTCAGATAATCATGAACATCCTGCGCACTGTACAGCTCCAGCAACAACACCAGCTGCCTGCGTCACACACACACACACAGAATCATGACATCATCACACACACAAACACACAGAGAGAAGAGTGACATCATCAGCCACATCATCACACACACACACACACACACAGAAGGACTTGGCCAGCTTGGAGCAAAACCTGTCTCTCTCTCTCTCTCTCTCACACACACACACACACACACACACACACACATACTCGGCCAGCTCGGAGCGAAACCTGTCTCTCTCTCTCTCACACACACACACACACACACACACGTACTCGGCCAGCTCGGAGCGAAACCTCCAGTTGCGGCTGTTGTCGGTCACCAGGAACTCCTGAAGCTGGTAGAGGTACTTCCTCCTCGTGTCCTGATGCAGAAGCTGGAAGAGGAACACATGAAGATGAACTCAGACTTCTGTCTGAAATATGAACAAAATTTGAATTATATTTGAATTCTAAAAGGCAATATTTAATGCTAAAGGTGACAATATTACACCCCCTTTCACCAGATGTAATATAACATGCAAACCGTGCCGATTGTGTGTGTGTCCCTTTAAATGCAAATGAGCTTTAGCACACACGCTCAGCTCTGAGCGAAACACTGAGTGATGAAGAGGACTGACCTTGAGGAAGTCGTAGAGGTGCTTGAGGACGCCGATGCGAACCTCGTCCAGATCCTTCAGGAAACTGTTGAAGACGGGAACCAGATACGCGGCCGTCAGCTGATCGCCCAGGATCTGAGCCAGCTCGTGGATGGAGAACGCCAGCGTCCGCCGCACCTTCCACTGAGAGAGAGAGAGAGAGAGAGAGAGGGGGCGAGAGAGAGAGGGAGTTGAGAGAGTGAGAGGGTGAGAGAGGGAGAGAGAGAGATCAATATTCAAGATTAGAGGAGAACGTTCAGAGGATGATGTCCAGCGGGAACTGTACAGTCGCGCGCAGGCCTGCGTCGCCGCACTGATTCGGCTAATCTTCACGGTACTTTAGATCGCAATCAGTGTTGGGTGTGACTAATCACTAAGTAATTAGTTACTGTAGTTTAATCACTTTTCCCTTGAAAATGTAAAGTAAGGGATTACTCTTCATTTATCTGTAATTTAATAACAGTTACTTTTTTTTTTTTTTTTTTTTTATTAATGCAATGTTAATAAACAGAACAAGACAAGACATACAAGCAGTAAACAAACTATCAAAACAAGGAGACATTATGATATCAAATACATTAAGAGAGGAGATATGAAAAGAAATAACATTATTTTACATTAGTCTTAAAGAAAATTACAGTTACTTCTGATGTAATTGATGTAAATACTGTGTATAGATCAATCCGATCTCACAGCGATTCGTATGCATTTTATGAGGTGTCTAAATATTACGACCACACTCTTACAAATTCGTGTAAAATATGATAAAAATGTGAAATGTCATGAGATCAGACATAAAACAATAGTGGGTTTAACATCAAAATGTATTGTCTGATGCTAAAAAGTATGTTTTTATAATGTAACCTTCTCCACCTTGGTCAGTTTAAGGATAATTCATGCAATTTTATAGTATTTATTTGAAAGAATTAAAACAGATTCATGTCTATCCTTGTATTATTCAGCTGGTTGAGATTGATATGGGATTTTGAAAGTAATTAGTAATTAAATACTTTTCACAGAAAGTAATTAGTACAGTAATCTAATTACACTGTTGAAGAGGTAATTAGTAACTAGTAATTAATTACTGTTTTAGAGTAACTCACCCAACACTGATCGCGATGGAAACGCAGATAGCAAATGCTCTGGGGAGAAAACGTTTCTGGGTAATTTCGGTGTAAATGCAGCTATATTGCTTGTAATAAAACGGTTAGTTCCAATCCTTGATTCTGATTGGTCAATAGCTGTGTTTTACCCAACAGTTACACAACACCCCAAGTCGTCCTTTTGTTGCGTCTTGTCTCCCCGTGATATCAAGTTTGAGTCCGTTCACTGTAAAAGTCTTCTCTACGACTCACTCGCTCAAAGCCAGTAATGTAAACATCAGTCGCTGTTGACGGTCAGGGACTACTTTTTACAGCGGAAGGAACGCTTTTAAAGATTCTACCTCATGAAAGTTGCATATTTATTGTATTGTGAGCATGTGTCATGATGATCAGACCCGCACCTGCATGTCTGAGGCCAGCGTCTCGTAGGTGTCGCGCAGGCAGTGCCAGTTCTGGCGTCCTAGCGTTAGCGCCACGCCGGGCAGACTGTAGGCGCAGTGCTTCGCGATCTCCATGTCCACGGTCTGAGCGCGCGACGGGTCCGTCATCGACAGGTACTGATCCAGCAACGCCTGAGGAACCACGTCCTGCGGGGCGGCACACGGTCAGAGCAGAGCATCATGGGATTGAGCTCATGATGGGATGATCAAGTTGTATAGAGCTTTTCACACACACATCGTTTACAGGAAACACACATTAGTGTACAGTGATCCGTTATCATCAGAGGAGACTGTCTGAGTTATGTATTTCAGAATAGGGATGGGCAATGATTAATCGCATCCAAAATAAAAGTTTGTGTTTACATAATATATGTGTGTGTAGTGTGTATAATTAATTTGTATATATAAATACACACACATGCATGCATACATTTAAGAAAAATGTGTTATTAATACATCAAATATTTATATTTATATATAATATTACTTGTGAATAAATATATATAAAATATATACATGCACATTTTTCTTAAATATATACATGCATATGTGGGTATTTATATATACAAATTAATTATACACACTACACACACATATATTATGTAAACACAAACTTATTTTGGATGCGATTAATCACGATTAATCGTTGCCCATCCCAATTTTAGAATACAAAATGCAGTATTTGAATGCGGATACACTGATGATGGTCAGCTGACCTGCTGTTTCGATTTCCTCTCATCGTCAGGATTGGCGCTGCCGTCGCTCACGTCAGAATCATCGGCCGAATCACGCCTCTGAAACACACACGTGAACCCGACACAAACATCCAGCGGTTTACATGCAACAGCCACTCGAACAATCAGGACCGGATTAAAAACTACAACTTTTCGAATCAGGAATATAATTCACGTTTTCCAACAAAACATTTCAGTGCTTGAAAAACGGCATGTGTGACAAACTAATCAGTCTGTAATCAGAATCGCATCACTGAACTGAACTAGTTTAAACGAGAGATGTGTGTGTGTGTGTGTGTGTGTGTTCACCTGTGTGTTGTCTGACAGGAGCTCAGAGGGGTTCTGGGAACTGAAGGGATTGGATTGGGCCGATCGGGGCTCCAGGAAAGCGTCTTCTAGTCCTGAATCCAGTGTCGTGGCTCTCAGAGCTGCCGTTAAGACGTCCACTTGTGCTGAAACACACACACACACACACACATCAGCACAGAACAGGTTTTCCTGCTCGAATGTTGATTATTCTCCTCATATTCTCCATTGTTGCGGCTCCTCTCTTCCCAGTCTGTCAGTAACGCTCCGTTTACTTCCTGTCTCTATGAAGCCCCTCCTCCTGAAAGCACACTGTGTTCTGATTGGTCGGCTGGAGCAGTGTGTTGTGATTGGTCGATCGCTTCGAGTGGGTTTAGGGAATGCCCCGCCCCTTTCCTTAAACACCAGTTTAAGACACTACTAACTCAACCAGGCCCCGCCCCTTTATTCTGCGCATTAATTATTATAATGAGGAATATTGTGACGTGTTCGTGTTCCTACAGTGGAGGCGTTTCAGGAGTTCAGACACACTGACACTGATATAGAGGAGAACGTGTTCATGCTCAAACATCACACACTGAAGAGATGGAGATCCTCCTCTTTAAAACAACATTTACTTCTGAACACACACACACACACACACACACACAGATATTGTGCGTCACTGCTTCTGTTTTTCGGCTCAAGCACTTCCTGCACTCGTTTCCTTCCACTGACACACAGGTCTCGGATCAGCCGCTTTAAGGCTCGAGTTCCTGCAGACCGGGAAACACAAGCTTGCGATTCATCGGTTCAAATCAGATGCCTTGTCTAAATACACACTCTTGGCAACACACACCAAACCCACACTACACTAAGCGTATCCCATCATGCACTATGTTTTAGGAACTCATGCCCGGAAATTACGAGATGTCGAGGAAAACATTTCACTGTAATTTAAATTAATTAGATGGATATAATTTGATAGTAAAAACTAAAAGTGTTGCACAGACATTTTCTTGGTGCACAGATTGTGAATGAGTAAGATGTGTGTGTGTGTGTGTGTGTGTGTGTGTGTGTGTGTGTGTGTGTGTGTGTGTGTGTGGTCTATTTTGTACATTTGCAACTGTTTTTATCCCTTAAAAGCTCAGTAAACCCTTAAGACTATAAGTGGAAATACTAGGGGTGGAACGTTTCACAAAACTCACGGATCATTTATGGTTTTTGAGACACGGATCAGATCATTTTTTTGATCAGCAAATTAAAAAAAATTATATATATATATATATATATATATATATATTTATTTATTTATTTATTTATTTAATTTGCTGATATATAATTTTTTTTTTTATTTGCTGATCAAAAAAATGATCCAATCCGTGTCTCAAAAACCATAAATTATATATATATATATATATACATACACACACACACACACACATACACACACACACAAACACACATATATATATACACATATTCATACATATATATATATATATATTATGGGTGTAACTTTGCTTTTCATTTATTACTAAATTCATTTATTACTTCCACTGCCAAACTGGTAAAGTTCAAACATTATTAAAAATAAGTGAACAGTCATTTTGTTGTTTTATTATCATCCGATTTCTTTCTCAACTGTTCACTCATGATATAACAGAGAACACTTTCAGAGACGGGTGTATAGACATATTTATATGTGTGTGTGTGTGTGTGTGTGTGTGTGTCCATTCAAGGGCAGGGAAACGCCAAAGAGGAATCAGTGTTTGAGCGCTGTCTGAAACACACACTCTCCCTCTGTCTCCCACACACACACACACACACACTGTTGTGCGCACAGATAACGCACGAGTCCCGATTTTTGCCTCATCTTTTGCATTTAAAATAGTTTAAAAGTGTAAACTGGGAAGACAAAACACCTCAAAATCATAAACTTGAACTCTACGATGGTTAAATTTAGCAGCTAATCGGCGAATCACACGCGTTCGATCCGTACGGTATGGATCAACTGCGATCCATTCCAACTCTAGGAAATGCATCATGCATGTACACAAGAGTTCACGAGCAGAGGTCGCAGGTGTGGGCGTGCGGAGAAGCGAACTCGGCGCTCACCTTTGACATCCGGGTCGTCGATGTGCGGCTCCAGGTTTTCGATGAGCTCCTCCAGCTGTTTCCTCCCCAGCGCCGGAGCGGACGGCCGGTTCTTCTCCTCCTCTTTCTCCTCCTCCTCCTCCCTTTTCTCTTCCTCTTTCTCCTCCTCTTCTTCCTCCTCCTCTTCCTCCAGCAGGTCCAGGTTGATCTCTGGGATGGGTGTCCTCCAGTACTGGAAGGAGTTGAAGATCTCCTGCTCCTCCTGTGGATGTGGATCGGGATCATCCGGCGCTGGAGTGGGAGAATCGCGGTCCTCCGTCTCCTCATGAAGCCACTCGACCTCCTCCTCACATCCCGAGGGATTGTGGGAAACAGCTGGCGTCTCTGTGCTTGTGCTGAACGAGACACAAATGAGACGAGCGAGAGAAGGTTCGTTAGTGCCGCTGACCAAAAAATGATGTCATGCTACTTATGAGACGAAATACTGCAGTGGACCGACTCAGAATGCCTGATTTTACAGTCAATATTCCCTATATTGTAGAAAATCAACACTAGTATTAATACAGGTTTGATGCGGTTTATAAAGACGTCCAGCAGGAGGCGCTGTGGGAGCGGCGGAAACCTCATTCATAAACGGCGTCTCTTCATCAGTCGTCTCTCACCTGTGTGTTTGCGTCTCGCTCCAGTTGGCCTCGTCTCTGAAGTACTGACCCGCGTGACCGCTGGGACTCGCGAACGTGGAGATGAACTGACCCAGCGACTGAAACGCGGCCTGACGCACCTGGAGACCGAAGCACACACTCATCAGAGGAGCGGGTCACTACAGGATTCACTTCCTGATTATTTACTCTCTCGTACGTCCTCCAAGATGTTCACGTCTGTCTTTCTTCAGTGGAAATGAAGGATTAGAAATCAGGATTGATCTCCATATAGTGTCTTCAATGGGGTCTAGGATTGGGTATCGTTTGAATTTGAACGATTCTGATTCCGATTCCGATTCCTTGTTTTGATTCCGGTTCCTAAAGATTCTCGATTCCGATTCTTTTAAGAGGCAGGGTCAAAAAAGTTTAGCTAACCTTGCTAACCAACGGTCTTTCTGAAGGAAATACTCCTTTTGTCACAAATTTTGCATTTTGCCGAGATTTCGTTATTTTTAGAAAAGTGAAGTCACACTTTGGATCGCTGACGTAAGCTACTACACTGTAAAAAATATTTTCAAGATTTGTTATCACAACGTATTTTCTTTTGTCAAATCAACTTTATAATAATTTATTTAGTTGAGATAACTTATTATTTTGAGTTTCTGATGGTTAAATTAATCTACTTCATTGTATTAACTCACTTTTTCCAGTTCAATTTTAAAGCAACCCAGGTTACTTACCTTTTTAAGTTAAACCAACAATATTTTTTTTACAGTGTAGTAATCACAACATTTTTTCTTTTGTCAAATCAACTTAAATAATTTATTTAGTTCAGATAACATATAATTTTAAGTTTCTGATGATTAAATTAATCTCCTTCAATGTATTAACTCACTTTTTCCAGTTCAATGAACTTAAAATTTTAAGGCAACCAGGTTATTTACTTTTTTACGTTAAACCATCAATATTTTTTTACAGTGTAATGTTCGACTCGCGCGGTTATGCCAACACTTCCGGTAGACGCTTCTTCGTTGGTGTTGTTCAGCGGTTTCTTCTTCCGCTCGGCGGACTGTGAATATCGAAACTAGGAATCGAAATTTTAACTTTTGAACGATTCCGGGAAAAACGAAAAGTTAGTCCCAGTTCCAATCGATACTCGATTCTCGATACCCAACCCTAATGGGGTCCAACGGGTCGAAGGTCCAGATGTGAGATTCAAAGTCTCGACACGATCCAGCCGAGGAATAAGAGTCTGATCTAGACACACCAGCGACATTTACAACACAATACACACTCAATCCACTAATGCTGGTCTTGATCGTCCACGTCCACGAAAGGTCAAATGTGTTCCGGTTCAGAAATGTAGTGTCATTTTTTCCTCAAAATTCAAAATCATCCAAAGTTTGTCTAGATCAGACTCTTATTCCTCGGCTGGATCGTGTCGAGACTTTGAAGCTGCACTGAAACTCACATCTGACCTTCGACCCGTTGGACCCCATTATGGAGATCAATCCTGATTTCTAATCCTTCATTTCCACTGAAGAAAGACAGACGTGAACATCTTGGAGAGTCGATCATCAGGAGACTGAACTCCTCCTTTAACACGTTACAGATTGGGTGAGTGGGGTAAGGTGTGCCGTACCCAGCGCGAGGGGTCGCTGATCAGACTGATGAACAGAGAGGAGAGTTTGGTCCGCCGCACTTCTGGAGACGTGGCCGAGGACACGGACATGAAGCACTCGGCGCAGGCCTTCCTCACGCCCCACACGTTATCCGAGCAGAGCTGGAAGAACCGGGGCAGCTGGACCAACCACAGGAAGCGCATCACAGAGCTGATTACATCACAACACTTATAAAGACTTCTAGCTCAAACAGTAGAGCGTTGGCGCTTGCAACGGCAAGGTATGGGTTCGATTCCCAGGGAAATCAACAGATAAGAATGTATTTAATCTAAGTCTACCAAAAAAGCATAAATGTATAGTCTGATTTTGAGTATTTTATATGAATAAAGTTGCTATTGCCCCAGTGTGCATCATACCAGCAGCTCTTCTGTGGCCTCTCCTCCGACAACACTGCAGATGTCCCCGAAGTTCGCCGCACACACCTGTCAAACACACACACACACACTCTGATCAGCCATCGTGCTCTCGACTCCCGAACACGAGCCGGTCGGAATGACACACACACACACACACACCTTGCGCACGTGGAACATCCTGCAGTCGCAGCACATCTCGCAGAAGCGCGGCAGAAAGAGCCGCTCCGTGATGTCCTTGCCCACCATCGGCGCCATTTTACAGATGATCTGAGAAAACATCACAAACAAGTCCTGTCACGAGTGGTTTTACTTGGAATACAATATAATATAATGCAATTCTTATTTAATGGCATGAAAATCAATATTTATATAATTGTAGGATAATACAATTTTAAAATAGGCCCATGTAATTAGATCAGCCATCACGGATTAACCGTTGGAGTTTGAGTGAGGACAGATTCTCACCGCCATGGCTTCGGTCTTCACGTCGTCGTTGCTGTCAGGAGCGGTGAGGTCCACCAGAACGGGACACACCAGACTCTCCACGTCTCCTCGCTCGATGAGCTCCTGCTCCAGCAGAACCAGCAGCGCCGCCTGACTCGTCTTACGGACCTGAACCAGGGAACACGTCACATGATCATGAAACACATCACATGACCAGGAAATCAAACGGGTCACATGACCAGGACATGAAACGCGTCGCATGACCAGAGGAAACACGTTGCATTACCAGGAAATGAAACGCGTCACATGACCAGGAAATGAAACGTGTCACATGACCAGAGGAAACGGGTCACATGACCAGGAAAGGAAAGGCATCACATGACCAGGAATTGAAACACGTCACGTGACCAGGAAATGAAACACGTCACATGACCAGGAAATGAAACACGTCACATGACCAGAATTGAAACTCGTCACATGACCAGGAAATGAAACGCGTCACATGACCAGAGGAAACGGGTCACATGACCAGGAAATTAAACGCGTCACATGACCGGGAAATGAAACGGGTCACATGACCAGGAAATGAAACGCGTCACATGACCGGGAAATGAAACGCGTCACATGACCGGGAAATGAAACGGGTCACATGACCGGGAAATGAAACGCGTCACATGACCAGGAAATGAAACGGGTCACATGACCGGGAAATGAAACGGGTCACATGACCAGGAAATGAAACGCGTCACATGACCAGGAAATGAAACGCGTCACATGACCGGGAAATGAAACGGGTCACATGACCAGGAAATGAAACGCGTCACATGACCAGAGGAAACGGGTCACATGACCAGGAAATGAAACGCGTCACATGACCAGAGGAAACGGGTCACATGACCAGGAAATGAAACGCGTCGCATGACCAGGAAATGAAACGCGTCACATGACCAGAGGAAACACGTCGCATGACCAGGAAACAAAACGCGTCACATGACCAGGAAACGAAACGCGTCACATGACCAGGAAATGAAACGCGTCACATGACCAGGAAATGAAACGGGTCACATGACCAGAGGAAACGGGTCACATGACCAGGAAATGAAACGCGTCGCATGACCAGGAAATGAAACGCGTCACATGACCAGAGGAAACACGTCGCATGACCAGGAAATGAAACGCGTCGCATGACCAGGAAACGAAACGCGTCACATGACCAGGAAATGAAACGGGTCACATGACCAGAGGAAACGGGTCACATGACCAGAGGAAGCGGGTCACATGACCAGAGGAAGCGGGTCACATGACCAGAGGAAGCGGGTCACATGACCAGAGGAAGCGGGTCACATGACCAGAGGAAGCGGGTCACATGACCAGAGGAAGCGGGTCACATGACCAGGAAATGAAACACGTCACATGACCAGGAAATGAAACACGTCACATGACCAGGAAATGAAACACGTCACATGACCAGGAAATGAAACACGTCACATGACCAGGAAATGAAACGAGTCACATGACCAGGAAATGAAATGCGTCACATGACCAGAATAAACACATCACATGACCAGCACCCCAGCGAAGCCTCGAGCAGAGACTCGCACTCACCAGGTTGTTCTGGTCGGCCAGGTATCGGACCACGATGGGCAGGAGGAACTTGGAGAAGGCGAAGGGAATGGAGGGCCGGTTCTCCTGACAGAAGATGGCGATGTGTGGGATCTGCTCCATGAGCTCCGCTCGAACCGTCGGCTCTGAGGGACACACGGCACACACATTGGTGAAGTCCCAGGCATCTAACAGCACCGAACACCTTGAACACACTACCAGCCCAAAGTTCAAGATCGACAATGAAACAGATATTAGTAATTCAGTTAATTAACATTATATCAGATATTGAAATACGGTTTTTACTGTAATTTAAGCCTATAAAAATCAAATGTTGCTACCGTATTTTTTTATGGTAAATTTCTGGCAACCTCAGCTGCCCTTTCTTTTACCGTAGATTTAACAGATTGGTTTTTACAGTGTAGAGCAGAAAGGGACGCATCGATATAATATTCTATTTCAGATAAATGCTGTTGAACCTTCTCTTCACTGTGTCCAACACTGATAATAATCATAAATGTGTCTTGATCCTCATATTAAGAGTGATTTCTGAAGGATCATGTGACACTGAAGACTGGAGTAATGATGATAAATTCAGCTTTGATCACAAGAATACTGTATATTCACATAGAAAACAGCTGATTTACATTATAATATTTCAATATTGCTGATTTTGTATTTTTAATCAAAACAAATGAACCCCTGGTGAGCAGAAGAGACTTTTTAAAAATATTAAACTTCGTACAGATCCCAAACGTTTGTCTGGTAGAGTACATGAGCAATACTGTAATATGATGTGTGCTTCCGCTAATAATGCAGGAGTTATTTTGGACCCCGACTCCCTTTAAGTGAATCAACTGCGCACCGGAGTCGTCTGCGAGTCTGTCGATCCTCTCCAACACGGACACACACTCGCGCTCATCCTCGCTGATGGCTCGGAGTGTGTCCAGAAGACTGCGGGCCACCATCTGCCTGAAACACACCAGATCAACGTCACAACGATTCAATGACGCACTCATTAAGACAGTCAAAATGATTCGTTCCTGAATGAATCGGTTGACCAAATGACTCAACGATTCGCTCTTTAACAGTGACTTGCCGCCATCATACCGGTGGTTTTAATTTCACATTTAATATCAAAATCATGCAAAAAAAATGCAATAAACACACTCTGAAAATCCCAGGAAGTAGTCATGTGATGCATGTTCACCTGTTGAAGACGTTCTCACTGCTGATGTACTTGTCGAGTCGGCCCATCGGAGTCAACATCTCATCCTGAGACACGAAGTCCAGCACTGAAGGGACAACAGCGGTGTCAGACACACACACACACACTCCTCTGTGAGTCCAGCTTCATCAACGTCAGTGATGATCTTATGGATCCTAAACTTCTCAGTCAAATGTTTCATAATTCAAATTGTTTCAGCCAATCATGATGTTGGTAATCTCTGCCTCAGACATTTAGTGAAGATCAAACAATCGAGTGTTGAGATTTGCTGTATAGGCCTAATACATATTCCTTTATGTGACTGAATTTAATATTCAACAATATTATTGATCCGCCTCACTTCAGGTGGACATTGACACAATTTTCTTCTAGGAACAACCTTGCTGTATTATTTTCCAGTTCTCACTCATGTTATTACTCCTTTGATGCAATCTGTGTTGTGAAAGCGCTGTATAAATAAAGGTGACTTGACTTGATTGAATGAGGATAATATTGGATTTATTAATGTGGAAATATTGAGGATTAGGAAATCATGAGGATTTTGTCAATTTCTAACTATTTGATGACGTGACGAGTAATTAAATGATGTATATGACAGGTTTAAACACTTATACATAACACATAATCAGAAGTTTGACTTGAGTCTTCTATCAGCTGAAATTGAATGTCTCATATTTGATGAAGTTTGGATCATTGATCGTTTTATCTTCAAACCCAAACCCTGTCCAGCGCATGGCCATCAGTACACACACCATGACTGTGGACGAGGCGATCTTTAAAGGTGTGTTTACGTCAAGTGTTATCATTTAGCGTGTATATACATGCACACATCTCGAATTACGACAATATCTCTCTCTCTCTCACACACACACACACACACACACAGTCTGATGGCAGCGGGTTTGCGCGGGTCACGTGACCTGCTGTTTATGAATCATGTTAAAATGTAAAGTTGACAACATGCTAACGCTACACACACACACAGAGAAGAAACTCACATCCGTCCGTGTCCTCCTGCGAGTCTTGCAGCAGAGAGAGATCTGAAACACAACACGATCAGTAAATGTGTGTGTGTAAGAGAGAGAGAGAGAGAGTGTATGTGTGTGTGTTCAGCTCTACACACCCGCCATCGTGCGCCGCTTCTACATTTAACCCGCTTCTGTGCTGATGGCCAACAAGCGCCGCAACACAAACTACACAAAACTACACAAAAACACACAAACACGCGCCTCTGAACTCCACTCGAGCACTACCACCGGGCCCGCGCATTGATCCTTTATCACGCACGCGCCGAGGGCAGCCTCTTAGAACGCGCACGCAAGGATACTGTTGAACGCATGCGCAGTGACGAATACCAGAATTCCCGGTATTCGAATTTATTTACTTATTTGTTTATTTATAGGTTACACAATATTTTTAAGCCATTTAATTATTTTTAACGTATATATTAATTGAATTTCAATAAAGTACGACAGTAAGAACAAAGTACATTCAGAATCAGAACTACAGTAATATACAGGAAGTAATACGATTAAAAATACATGAGCATCTGGTATAATATAAACTTATTTGGATGCCATGGAATGACATCATTTTGTTAAAAGATTTTTTTTTGTATTATATATGTGTACATATTGTTTTTATTATTTTATTGGAGTCTAAAAGTGAGACGTTTATTTGTTGCACATGGTATATTATTATTTTATTTTTTAAATGTGCGGCGTGGCAGAAGGCTACGCACAAGCACACGCGCGCACGGGCACACTTTACCAGTTCAACCAGTTTCTGTGCTTTTATTATGGCTTTTATCATTTGTTTTCGAGAATCACGTATAACCCTAAGGGTCATCAGTCACCGCGCATGCGCATTGCGACCACTGCTGCAGAAGCGATTCTGATGATCCGCGTCTTTTTTGTCTTTTAATTAAATAGACATATGTGGAAATATGATAACAACTGTTAAGAAATACATTTAAAAACAACTACAACAGTTTGCTCTCTGTTCATCTATTCTAAGTGACGTGTCCCGCCGTGCGCGCAGCCGGCCTGCCTCCTCCACTCACTGTGCTCGAGCCGCGCGCGGGTGTGTGAGTGTGTATGTGTGATCGTGAGTGCGCGCGCGTGCGTCGTGGCCGGGGCTCTTGAGCAGCACGCGAGTGTGTGTGTCCCGTTTAACGGCTGTCATGTCCAAACTGGAGCAGATTCTGATCCTCGACCCGTCGAGCGACCTCCGTTTCAAAGGTAAAGCGGTTTAATCCCGAATAACCGGCTGTTATAACCGAACCGGCTCGCGGAGGCCTGTTCGCGCGCGCCCGCATGCCTGCATCACTCCCTCGGCTGCAATTTCACGCGACGCCCGGGGATCTGCGGGCCTCTGGGGAAAACGCATATAAATGATTTTAGTTTTAACATCCGCTCTCTGTGTAAGACGTGTTTTGGTCTTTAAAAGGCTCGTTCACTCGTTAGTGTGTTCAGTGAGCTGTCACAGTTAGCCTCAGTGCTAACAACAGATTAAAGATTCAGATCTTGAATGAATCTGATCTGTCAGTTTTGCTGCTCGATCAGATCAAACGCGGGTTGAAGGCAGTTTTGATTATCAGTTGACATTAATGTGATCAATACTGCACTGTCTGAAGCTGAGTAAAGGTTAAACGTGTTGTCAGACTGATTTGAGGCTAATCATTATGTGTAAAGATGTAATGCTGTATAAAAGCGAGACTTACACCTACTCTTAGCCATTAGTAAAAAGTGCACAATTAAAATGACTGTGAATATGCATTTATGCCACAAATGAGCTGCATTAAAAGCCTAATAGAAGTATTTCACAGTGTAAACATGATAGTTGGAAATATAGAGTTTGAGGGTCATACTGCATTAATATCTCAAGTGTTTGATTCAGTTTAATAGAGTATATGAATCCCACTTTATGCATTGAGTCCTGATGGAAAATGTTTGATTCTTCGGGACAGTGTTTGTGCCGTAAGGATAGGAAAGGGGTTTTGCATTATTAATGAATGACTTGAACAAACCAACCCGTCTGACGACATGCGAGCCTTACGGAAGAAGCTTCATTACATGCGATTCACCATTAATATTCACTAATATACTCATCATTATTATGATCATCCCAGAAAACTTGCACTGTGCTGTAAAAATTATTGTAATTTTAAACATGCAAATGCTACAGTAAAACCTGGTAACAGGGAATTCACTTACTAATTACTATACATGATAGTTCTTAGTCAAACAAGTCGTCTTATTTCCTGATTTACAGGGAAAAGTCATAAACTGACATTCCCAGAATTCCTCGTATTTGATTGTGTGACGTTTCCTGATGAACATCTGCTGTGTGTGTGTGTGTGTAGGACCTTTCACAGATGTGGTGACCACTAACCTGAAGCTGAGGAACCCGTCCGACAGAAGAGTATGTTTCAAAGTCAAGACGACAGCGCCTCGCCGGTACTGTGTGAGGCCCAACAGCGGCCTCATCGACCCCGGCGCCACCGTCATTATCTCAGGTCAGAGGTCACACACAATTATACATCACTATTCTCTGGGATTTTCTTTAATTAGACGATATTTTGCTGAGTGTGTTTACTGTGTATCGTGTTTAGCACTGTGAACAGAGTCTCTTAAAGTATTTAATATAGTGTGTGTGAGTGTGGGAGAGAAAGTGAGTGTCTATACACTAGATATACATCACACACACTCTCACTCGTGTGTTCTCCTCTTCAGTGATGCTTCAACCGTTTGATTACGACCCGAACGAGAAGAGCAAACACAAGTTCATGGTGCAGACCATCTTCGCGCCGTCCGGAGCGACGGACCTGGAGGCGATGGTGAGATCTCTCTCTCTCTCTCTCTCTGCACGCAGAAACATCACAATTAATAATCTGGTTATACATTATTTGGTAACACTTCATTTTACTGTCCTTGTCGCATGTTACATGTAGTTACCATAGTAATATGCATAATTATATTCAACCAAATCCCACCCTAACCCTATAGTAAGGACATGCAGTTAATGATTATTACACATTTTTTAGAATAAAGTGTAACCCGTAAGCTTCGATGTGTCATCCTCTGAATCCTGGAAACACTGCTTTCATCTGCTCGTATCTGACTGTGACATCATTTCCTGTGAAACACCTGACGATAGACGTTGTGTTTTGTCGTCTGCAGTGGAAAGATGCCAAACCGGACGACCTGATGGACTCTAAACTGCGCTGTGTGTTCGACATGCCCTCGGACAGCGAGAAGATGGTGAGCGTGTGTCCGGCGCTCTTCATCTTCAGATTCATGTTCACTCGTACTATGATGAAGCTGATATGCAGTTCAGTGTGTCTCGAGTTTGACGGATGAAGGAATTTAGATATATTTTTAAGACGGAAAAATGCAGTTTTACAGATTCTATTAATTCTAATAATTAAAATCTGTTTTTTCAGAATTTAGTTGTTAGAAATTTCTAGTCATCCAGTTTGATTCCGTTATTTTTGTGGATTGGTGAGTTTCGTCGGGGCGTAAAGAAATATAGAGTATCATCAGCCATAACAGTGAATTCTAATTCCATGTTTCTAATGAAATCTCCTAATGGCAGCATGTACAGAGTGAACAGCAGCGGTCCTAGCACTGAGCCTTGTGGTACGCCATACTGAACTTGTGATCGATAAGACATCTCTCGCATTTTTACGTCTTAAAAAAATTGATAATACCTAGAATATCAAAATCGACTGCAGGCGGGAGATCCTTTTCCTATTTAGCACCAAACCTGTGTGTGTGTGTGATCAGAGCGAGCTGGAGTCCACCAAAGCGTCGTCGGCTCTGAGCGCGTCGAAGGCCGATGGCCCGGCCGGATCCAGGAGCACCGATGATGCGGAGATGAGGAAGGTCGTGGAGGAGTGCAAGAGACTACAGACAGAAGTGGGGAAACTGCACGACGAGAACCGCCAACTCAGGGTACCTCACACACACACAATCATACATGACATCACTATCACAATCTAAATCAGGGATTCACAAACGTTTGTCTACGATATTAGAGCTAAAATATTATATAATTTATATTTCAATTAATATTTAAAGTATTATTATAATGAATATATATATATAGACCATTTCACAAGATGTAAACAACACTGGTCCAGAAGCACTTCCTGTTTCAGTTTTTTAACACTACATAAAAGCTGGGATAAAATACAACCAACAGAACATTTAAAACTGAATCAAAAAGTTAAACAAACATCTTTAAGTTTTTTATTTACATGTGAAATAAAGAAAACAGTTACAAACTGAAACAGGAAGTGTTTCTGGACCAGTGTTGTTTACATCTTGTGAAATGGTCTATATATATATATATATATATATATATATTTATTATTTTTTTTAAATGTTTTTTCACTACTAAACCTAATTTGATGAACCTAATCAAATTTTATAAATACTAATTATTATTATGTAATTCTTAAAAGAGAGAAATACAGGCAATTACTGCTGTAAAATACGATTGAACTGCAAAATATATTAATACTTCAAATAAAACACTTAAATATTATCCATTTAAAATATGATTACAATCAATATAACATCTTTTAAACAACTTTTGGCACTATTAAACATTTTTTTTAGTTTAGTCCACATTATATTCATTTTATTAACCTAATTTTATATGATTATTATTAACTCTTAAGACAGAAATATAGGCAATTACTGCTAATAAATTAATATTTAAACATTTTAAAATAATCATTTATTTTACTCTAAAATTTACAATATGATATTTGTCTTAAATTCTTCAATTCTACACAGTGAAAGCTCAGTGGTGTTCTGTGAACACTAGATGGCGTAACCATCTCATCATTAGGACTCCGCATATACACTATTATCAGAATAATCATTGTTATTCATGAAAATTTGAGACCATTACAAATAAAAAAACATGTTTAATTGTGAGAAGTGTTGATTTTAATTAACATAATATTTTTAGTGTTTTATTTAAAATCTCAATATTATTTAAAATATGTATATAATTAACATAATTAACATGTTTTAATGGTGTCTCAGTCCACATTATTATGATTATGTAACTTTTTAAAACAGAAATACAGGCGATTACTGCTGTAAAACACAACCGTACTGTAGAATAAATTAATACAATATTTTGCACTTGTGATAAGTGTCTTAAATTCTTCAGTTTAAAACATTCAAACCCTCGAGAATAAAATGAGAAATGTTTTAAAAATGATGAACGATTTGGACGGTGGTTTCACTGTCAGTGCGTTCTGTGAACACTAGGGGGCGGAACAATCTCACACAGCAGCATCACGTGTGTGTGTGTGTGTGTTTACCTGTGTGTACCTGTGTGTGTTGTCTGGAGCAGGACGAAGGGCTGAGGATGAGGAAGGCTAATCAGTACGACAGCTCGGTCTCGAAGTCTTCCTCGATGCTGAGTAAAGAGCCGGGTTCGCGCTCGCTCCCGTCGCTGCTCGTCGTCATCGCCGCGATCTTCATCGGCTTCTTCCTCGGGAAGTTCGTCTTGTAGAGTCGGTGTGTGTTCTGGCGAGACGAGCGCGTTCATGTCCACACCCGTCGAGACGAGCCCTACGGCAGCGGGAGTAAACGTGTCTGTGTACAGGATCATTCAAACAGGCCTTGCCTTTCTCACACGGTTAGTACACACACTAGCACACACACACACACACTCACACACGCACACACACTCACTCTCGTTTCTCCCTCTTTTCCGCCGTCTGGGGGTTTTCTGTGGGTCGGGGAAGCAGAAATCGTCCATTTTGTCGAAGCATCACTAGCAGTCTCGCTGAGGCACGTGTGTGTGTGTAGAGACCTTGACAAGTCAACCTATGAATAAATAAAAGGACGTGTTTCTCTTTTTCTCTGTGGTTTTATTAAAGCGTTTAATGGAATGTTTTAAGTGTGTCATGTACATGTTCTTTTAGATTCTGTTGAGAAAAATGGGAAATGCAGATTCATCGTTAATAAAAGAAAAACAAACCAGTCGTCTTCGCTACTTTGTCGCCGGATGGTCACGTGACACACACGTTCCACGTTTATTTTCTTGAATGTGACGAGGTCCGCTGGGAAAGACATGTTTTCCCGCTGACACAAACCCATTCCAGTCGTTTCATGGATTTCTTTATGCAGATTATATATTCAATTGTGAGGCAACTTGACTGAGTACAGCGCCATGTTGCAGTCGTGTCCCGTGGTGATGAACGTGGCTGAAATAAAGAATCTTTAACACACTCTTCAGCTCGTCTCTGTCTCTCTCTGTGTGTGTGTGTTGCACATCACATGACGCTCGGCTTCAGCTCAAACCATCTCACTATTAAATGATACGCTGGAAATGTGTCGATAGAAACAAAAATAATACATTATTCTACAAAATTACTTAAAGAATCATCAGAAGCAAAACTGCCAATTTAGTATTTGATAAAAAGTAGAGTTTTTAGATTTTGTCATTTTAGAATTTTTTTTTTTAATGTTTATATAGTTTTTATAAAATTCATTGTTTTTTTTTTTACTGTAGATTAAAATGGTTTTAGTTAACTAGAATAACCCTGAACTGTAAGTGCTAAAGTATCACAATACTGTAATAATTTAAGTTTTTTTTTTTATAATTTAATATTCTAAATTTAGTTTAGTATTTTTTTTGTCAGTTCTGTCTATGAAGTTTTTATGAATTACGTCGGTTCGACAGATTTCAGCATAAGTTATGATTAATGATGACATTCACGTTTCTGCGATGATGACGTTAAACCGTTCTGTACGGTAAGAAGATTGATTGATTCAAATTATAGCCCCATATATACTCTATAATAGTGTAATTTTAATGTCGATGTTTTCTGAACGGTTGTTTATTGTTATTTAACAGTATATCGCTGCAACTTTTTACTTTAAATGAAGAACGAATTCTACATATAAACACTTTAAACTAAATGGAAATGACAAATGTTGTCTTTTCAGCTCCAAACAATAACTTGTTTGAGTCAACTATTTCAAGTATGGATTATTTGTATTGTTTTAGTTCACTATAATAACCCTGAAGTGTAAGTGCTTAAGTATCACAATACTGTAATAATTTAAGTTTTTTTAAAAATATAATTTAATATTTTAATTTTAGTTCTAGTATTTTTTTTTTGTCAGTTCTGTCTATGAAGTTTTTATTAATTACGTCGGTTCGACTGATTTCAGCATAAGTTATGATTAATGATGACATTTACGTTTCTGCGACTTATACAATGTTCATGATGATGTTATTAAACCGTTCTGTACGTTAACGTCGATGTGTCAAAAGATTGATTAAAATTAGTCTCATATATTCTCTATAATAGTGTAATTTTAATGCCGATGTTTTCTGAACGGTTGTTTAACAGTATATAGCGCTGCAACGTTTTACTTTAAATGAAGAACGAATTCTACATATAAACACTTTAAACTAAATGCAAATGACAAATGTTGCCTTTTCAGCTCCAAACAATAATTTGTTTGAGTCAACTATTTCATTGTATTGTATTGTTTTAGTTCACTATAATAACCCTGAAGTGTAAGATTATAACGGTAGGGGTCACAGGTTTCACTCAGGCATCATGAGACCAGGTTTCAATCAGGTCCTTTGCTGTAATCCCATAACCACTGCAGTTTCCAGCTTGGATATTTACAGCGGTGATTCTCTGAGAAACATTATTTCATGATGAGCTCAAGTATAAGTGACGGTACAGAGTGAACGGTAACTCCGCTAGCGCGCATGCATGGCTAATCAACCCGTTCCCGTTCAGTCCGTTGGTTGCTCACTGTTTTTGGTTTTTAGTCGGCTCACCTTTATGATGATCAGTGTTTATAACATATGTGCAAACGGTGATCGAGAGCGTCTCTGCTCAGACGTCCAGCTGCACACACACACGCAGTACGACCAACAGGACGAATCCGCCGATGATCTGTGTGTGGCTCGCGGCGCTGCGTCTGAAGTGCTGATCTCCCTCTCGGCCGGCGTGCGGCGGGTCACAGCGGGTCAGCGGCGGCTGGAAAGACGTGGGCCGGCGCTCGACCCGGTCCGGACTGGAGCCGTTGGTGGGTCTCTGGCCGTTGTAGAGCAGAGTGTGTCCGGAGGAGTCCTGGCCGATGGTGAAGAGCTCGTACTCGGTGTGAGGCAGGCGGATCCCCAGCGCCACACACCCGCCCGTCGAGGTCACGTCCTGAGGAACGCCGCGCTCCCACGAGCCCTCGCCACACACACTCACGCGCCCGCTGAACACACTCAGGAGAGACGTCGTGGCGGCGTCCATCGGAGTCACCGTCATGTGGGTCACTGGGGGAGCACGAGAGGTTAGACTCAGTCACACAAACACACACTCACAGACACACACACTTACTCCAGCTGAACACACTCAGGAGTAGGGTTGGGTATCGTTTGAATTTGAACGATTCTGATTCCGATTCCTTGTTTCGATTCCGGTTCCTAACGATTATAAAATAAATACTCCTTCTGTAAAAATACTCCTTTTGTCACAAATTTTGCCGAGATTTCATTATTTTTAGAAAAGTGAAGCCACACCTTGGATCGCCGACGTAAGCTACTCATGTTCGACTCGTGTGGTTATGCCAACACTTCCAGTAGACGCTTCTTCGTTGGTGTTGTTCAGCGGTTTCTTCTTCCGCTCGGCGGACTGTGAATATCGAAACTTTTTTTTTGTTGTTGTTTTTTTTGTGAATATCGAAACTAGGAATCGAAATTTTTACTTTTGAACGATTTCGGGAAAAACGAAAAGTTAGTCCCGGTTTCAATCGATACTCGATTCTCGATACCCAACCCTACTCAGGAGAGACGTGAGATCGGCCTTTGTTGTTATTGCCGGAGTCTCTGAAGTTCGTGTGAAGGCTCCGCCCTCTTCTGAACAAAGGCGGAGCTAAAGCTCATTTGCATTTAAAGGGACACACACAAACGCCATGTTTTCCTCAAAAAAGGGGCAAATTTGACAAGCTATAATTAATGATATGGGGGAGATTTTGAGCTGGAATTTCACACACACATTGTGGGACACCATAGATTAATATTACACTTGTCAGAAAGAAAGTCATTAATATCTTGTATGGTGTGCGGATGAGTACATTATCAGAAAATTTTAATTCTGAAGTGAATTCCTTTAATAAGTGTTAAAGCTACACTGTGTAACTCTTTTAGTTTATTCTTAGCTAAAAACACTTAGTTCTAAATGTATGTGCTCATTAATGTATATTTACTTCGTTCAAGTAATAATGTATTCTCGTGAGTGTATAATATGCCATTGAAAATACATATACGGGGTCGACATGTTGCCCCTCCATCTTGAAAGTACATTAGCCAAAGAAAGACATACCCGTTAATTCAAGCTTCGCGTTTCGCGTTTACGTTTGAGTTAAAACTCATGGACGAGGTCGAACTGGAAGCCGTGTTAATCTTGGACTACATTGGCCACCGTAGGAGTTAAAACGAAATGAAACAGAAACTAATATTCACTGGATGGCCATATACCTTTTCACCACTAGATGGGGGTAAAAATCACACAGTGTAGCTTTAAGTGTTAGCGTGAGGAATCGTCAGTTTCTCCCAGTGTTCACCTGTGCTCAGATTTCATGGGTCACGTACCGGTGAAGGTGAACTCGACGGCGCCCCTGATGGTGTGCGACGGGTCCCCGCGGGTGTAGCGTCCGCTGGCGGAGATGCTGAAGGTGGGGTGCCGGCAGACGGGGTCGGAGAAGTGCTCGTACTCTCCCTCCCAGGTGTGTGTGTGCTCGTGGAAGGCCAGCCGGCGGGTGAGGAAGAGCACGCCGGGTCGAGCCTCGCACCGCACGCTCACCCAGGTCCCGTCGAGACGCACCGGACGCTCGCTCTGGGCCGGCAGAAGCGGAGGATGACGAAGATCGGCCGCCGCCACGATCTGGCAGATCCGCTCATCGCTCTGAGAGGAAGAACAGATGAAAAGTGAAAAGCGAGTGTCTGAATAATTTTTGGTTCTTAAAGGGACAGTAGCCTCATAAACTGTTGCCACACGTTCCATTATCTTTCGAATTAATCCATTTATTTAATTCAGTTATTATTATTTTTTTTTTTTACTTCGGTTTTAAAAATCCCTCATTGTATGACACCGTTTCAACAAAACCTCATACATTACCTGTAGAATTATTAGAGAGTGGAACTGCTCACAAGATCAATGCATGAACTCATATATAGCATTACAGCACACAAAGCCTTCAGGGATGTTGCAGAGTCACACTCATAATGTGAAACAAGGACAGTTCTGGATCATAATTCTGTCACCGGACATGATAATGCCTTCAGAGCCTCGCGTCATCCGATTACAAAGCCGTGATTTAATCGCCATCAATCAGAGAGAGAGCTCACGGGACACGTGTGTGTGTGTGTGTTTGACTTTGGATCAGTTGCCAATGCTTACTAGAGTCGTCCTGCTCATCAATTATTCAGCCTGAACCAGAATTCATTAACATTGCATTACATGTTTCCAGCCTCTTTCGGCGACGGCGGGGAGTCGCGCACATGAAAGAAATGAATCCATCAGAAAAGCTCATCTCTCTCTCTCAGGTGTGGAGCCGAGACCCAATCCCGACCGCAAACACCATCCCCACATTCCCTTTGAAGCCGAGGGGGGATCAGCTCTGCCGACATGGCTCAAATCACACTATTTAAACGGCATGATGGGAAACGCAGCAATCTGGTTTCAGATCGCCGATGCCGAGTCTCGGGTGATGACGTGACAGCCGGCGGCGCGCATTAATTAATCAGACGATGTCACGTCCCAAATTAAGCACAATGTTATGTATTAAACAGACTTTTACTTCAGTGAACATGGCATTTCATGCATTAATCATTCCTCTGTCAAAAGCCTCATGTATTTTTTAGGATTGCGGGTTTTATTTTAACTCGGACTGAACGTCTGTCACTCAGGAGTGTGTTCTTCTGCTCTTCACACACACACACACGCACACATTAACTGCATTTGTTGGAAAAACGAGTTCGGACACACACACACACACACGCCTCTATCCGAGCTATAAAACACCAGTTTATGATGCTTCTGCTACACACACTGCAAATTATAGTTTATTAATCACTGCGCATGACGTGTGTACTGAAGACTACATAGCTATCAAGCTCTCTGACGACAACAGTGAAGAAACTATTTTTATTCCACAAATAATTCGATTTAACATTTTTGCAGTAGAAAGACTGAAATAGTATTTTCTTGTAGATCATCTCAAGTTCTTTTTTTTTTTTTTTTACAGAAACTATAGTGTGTATTTTAAAATATGTACCAAAAAAATAACTAAGAATTTCAGTTTTAAGAGCTCTCACTCTTTTCCAGATGCTTCCGATTTACTCATCAGGATTAGGAAAGAAAAATATTTTTTACTCAAAAATTTCTAGCCGATAAAATACTGTAGAATTTATATTTGTGGAAAAATGTATATTCATTATGACGTTTTAAGATTTTATAAAATTCCATGACTTTTCCTGGTTTAGAAATCAATCTTCTTCATATATCCCAGAACAACAAAAATAATTAAAATAAGAAATATCTTGATTTAGCTTATTTTAATGCTTGATTGGTCTTATGTCAGTCATTTTGAGATCAAAAGTTTCTTAAGATCACGAGAAACAAATTCATTCAAACGGTTCGATGAGAAGGACGAGACTGGAAACATGAGGAACTGATTGGATGATGAAAACAGTCTGTGACTGAAAACATGTGACGCATGTATTAAAGAGGATCTATTCTGCCCGTTTACAGTCTTGATGTGTTTCAGGCTCGACTAGAACAGGTTTCTCTAAATGTTGATTATTCTCCTCATATTCTCCATTGTTACGGCTCCTCTCTTCCCAGCCTGTCAGTAACGCTCTGTTTACTTCCTCCTGAAAGCACACTGTGCTCTGATTGGTTGGCTGGAGCGGTGTGTTGTGATTGGTCGAGTGCTTCGAGTGTGTTTGGGAATGCCCCGCCCCTTTCCATAACCACCAGTTTAACACACTACTAACTAACTCAACCAGGCCCCGCCCCTTTATTCTGCGCGTTAATTATTATAATGAGGAATATTGAGACGTGTTCGTGTTCCTACAATGGAGGCGTTTCAGGAGTTCAGAAACACTGACACTGATATAGAGGAGAACTGGAGCTTTTTGCTGGGTTGTTTTAACCCAAATTTGGGTCAAATATGAAAAAAAATACAATTTTAACCCAACGGTTGGGTTTGTCCATATTTAACCTAAATTTGGGTTAAAACAACCCAGCATTTTTAGAGTGGTACACACTAAAGACTGTTCTTTTCTACGGCACTATATTCTATTCTATTTTTCATGCTCAAACAGCAACATCACACACTAAAGACTCTATTCTACTGCACTATATTCTCTATGCACTGCGACAACGTGTGTGTGACCCAGCCTCTTCACACTCTCTCAATATTAATGCTCTGCGCTCAGCTGTGGCTCGAGAACACATTCAAATGAAGCTCTTTCATGCTCAAACAGCAATGCTCAAACAGCTGTTTTAACCCAACTTTGGGTCAAATATGGACAAACCCAGCAGTTGGGTTAAAAAAATGTATTGAAATTTTTAACCCAAATTTTTGACAATATTTGTATAGCATTTTTAGAGTGTAAGACTTTCTTTTCTATTCTACTGCACTATATTCTAGTCTATTTTCATGCAAAAACAGCTACATTACACACTTAAAAAATGCTGGGTTGTTTTAACCCAACTTTGAGTCAAACATGGACTAACCCAGCCGTTGGATTACAAATTTTATTTGACTCAAATTTGAGTTAAAACAACCCAGCATATTTTATTTAGAGCGTACACACTAAAGTCAGACGTTCTGTTCTATTCTCCCGCACTGCATACACACCGTGTGTGACACAGCCTCTTCACTCTCTCAATATTAATGCTCTGTGCTCAGCTGTGGCTCTAAAACACATTCAAATGAAATCCATCAATATGTATCAGCGCAAACGCGAGTTCTCTGACCTTGGCGCTGTGAAGCGGGGTCTGGTAGCCCGAGGGCTGGTGGAGTCTCCTCTGAGCGCGCTCAGTGTGAACGTCTCCGAGGAACAGCTCCTCCTCCACCCGTCCACCGGCGTCGCCATGGCGACCGCGCCGCTCCACGCGCATCAGCCGTAGCTCCTGCATGGTGAAGCCGAGCCCGCGGGTGCAGTCCAGAGGCTCCGCCCACATCTCGAACGCCTCGCCGGGTCTCAGCCGGATCTGCCGCGCACAGGCCGGATCCAGGCGCCGCTGGACGAGCTCGGTCGACGCCGGCCCGTGACACAGCAGCGTGACGCTAGTTAGCCAGTAGTCGCACGTCGCGGCCCCACGCACTAGCCAGGAGGCCTGAGCCGGGCCGAAGCCGCCCCGGACCCGCAGGCTGTAGACCGGCTGGCGACACCGGCTGTCCTCGTAGTAGAACTGGAGCGCATCGAACGTGTGGTTCGGGTAGAAGCTGTAGGAGCGGGTCAGGAACTCTGGGCCGGGTCGGACCTCACAGCTGGAATCGGTCACAAGCATAATATTAACACACTTTATGTTCGCATGGCAGCGTGCTCGAAGTTTATTCGTGCACTGCTCCGTTTTAAACTCAATTTTGCATCACAGTTTACACACACACACACTCAACACTCACAAACACACTCACTCACACAGCTGGAATCATCATAACCATTATTCTAACACACACACACTGGTATGTTACCATGGTAGCATGTTCGAAGATTGTTAGTGTATTTTCATTATATAATCTTAGATACTTCAGGCAAAACTAGTGTTTATTCATGCACTGCTCCGTTTGAAACTCGATTTTGCATTACAGTCACACACACACACTCAATGCTCACTAACACATTCACTCACACACTCATTCACTCTTTAAGGCGTGAGTTTGAGTGAGAGATCTCCTCTTCAGCAGTTTCTCACACACCGAATTTTAGTTTTATTCATATCTATATTAAAGGTTTCAATACTGAAGGTTTGTTCACACATCATTCGCCTTTACTCCTAAAAACATGGTAACATCTATTTTTATGGCTGTTGACTGTTTTTTTAATTTATAAAATGATAAAAAGAGAAATTCAAAATCCTCTCTGTAAAAAAAAATTGAATATGTCGACAAAAATCAATCAAGAATTATGAACATGGCTTCATCCAGTATTCAAATTTCTGGTCTGGAAAATGAACTTGTAATGAATGATGTGGGCCGGATCTGAGCCGACACCGTGTTGTTGTCTGGGAATGTATGTAATTATTTAACTATAGTGATGATATCAGTTAAATAATTAGTAATTAATCTGAATTCGGACACTGGGGTGAGATCCTTACAGTGCATTGTGGGTATTCTCGATTGAGCGTACATCAGCTGTACACTCGTTATCGCGGTGCATTATGGGATTGAATGAGTGCACTCGCCACATAACGTCCACTGTGGTTTTGGACACCACTACACATGGCTGTAGTGGGGCATATGGGGTGATTGGGACACAGCGCAGGAGTTGAGCTCTCACCTGTCGGACACCCAGTGCCCGGAGATGTCGGGTGGGATCTGGACCGTCACTTGCTGTCTGGCGTGAAGATGTTTGAGTTGGGAGTGACACTGGGAACTCCTCTCCAGCAGAACCGGACCAGCACTGACCCTCAACACACACACTCTCACACACACACACACACACACACACACACGGATCACATCAGAGACTGTCATTGAGAATATCTTTCTCATCTAACTGATAAGGTTCTATTATGAACAAACGTTCTAACAATAACGTTCTTTCAAATTTATCTGGTATTTAATAGTGTTTCTTAAAATATTAGCAACAAAAACATTATTCATGGAACGTTTTTCCCTTTAAACGTTTCATTGTGACATTCAAATAATGTTTTTTAATGTTATACTTGTTACTTTCAAATGTTCTTTAAAGTTCTAATAATGTTTTTAAAATAATGAAATGGAATGTTCCCTTTTCACGTTTAAAACATTTAAAAACGTTTAGAGAACATTCAAAATAACGTTTATATATAAATATATATTATATATAAGTTATTTGTTATGTTCTCTCTCTCTCTCTCTCTCTCTCTCTCTCTCTCTCTCTCTCTCTCTATATATATATATATATATATATATATATATATATATATATATATATATAATTTAATGGGGACGTTAGCAAAATATTTTTCAAACATTTTGTTTTGTTTTTTTAGCTGGGTTAAATCTTCACATTAGACATTTTTTTTATTCGTTCATCTGCATCTGGTTCATAAACTCGCAATACACACATTATCTTCTGGAATATTTAAGCTTCAATAACATTTTAAGATATGAAAACCATAAAGTTACTTACCTGAGGAAAGCAGAATGACAAGAGAATATAAAGACAACATCTTAATAAATCATCTGACAAAAAACAACAACAAAGTTTCATATAACTGGCGAGTCTCGTGATGAAGATGAGAATTTTAAACGCGTTAAAGTTTCGCCTCCGCTCTTTAATGTGCTTTTCTTGTCGTTACATCCTCAGGATCAGCCTTTAGAGTCCAGAAAGAGAATAAACACAGAGAGAATGATTGTATGAGCGACACCTTTCATATCTGACTCCAATCTGAGGAGAATCTCTGACGCTCTCGCGCTAGTGAAGCCTGATGCGCGAACGAGTCGTTCGGCTGAACCAATTCTTTTGAATGATTCGGTTAAAACGATTTTCACAACGCATTTCAATCATTTGACTATTACAGGAACTTTGCTAGCCGTAAAACGGTGGAAAATATTCACAATAGATGGAATAACTCAGCTTTTAATGTTGTTTGTGTGTATGTGGTGTTTTTAATATGCTTTAACACACACCATGTGTGCGTTGATAAGTGGACAGCATTGCTGATTATTTCCTCCTTAAACCTGCAGTGAACCAAAGACAGTCTCAAAAAAAACACACTTTGAAATCGCTGGTGTTTCTGACGTCACAAACGACCTCAGATCAGATCAACGTGTGATCATCAACCAGTGGATCTCTGAGTGAGTGAGTGAGTGAGTGAGGAGGCGGAGCTCATTTGCATATTCATAACCACGCATACTAAACGAGGCAAGGGTGTCGAGTTACACTCAAGATATGTTAAGGCATGAAGGGGAAAAATACGTTTTTAGTGTGTAATTTTGGTAATCAAAGATGAGTTTTAAGAGGTACAATTACTACAGGGGGACTTTTATGTTGTAACGCAACATAAATGTAATCCATATAACCTAATCGAAAACATTGTAAGCAGCAATATTACGGCAAAGATCAAAAAGACACCTGATTTGAGTGATTAATCAAGAGATTCAGTGACCGTTGTGTGAATATGTTCATTGAAATGAATCGCCCGAATGAATCGATTTGCTCAAATGAATCGAACTCCCGAATCGAACTCCCGAGCGCAGTCGTGGGCGCGTATTGTGGGCGCAATCTCTGATGGATCGAACCGCAGGACTCGGATTCAATCACCATGATCTTATGAGTCACTGTGTGTGTGTCGTGATCACGTATAAAGGCGCACAGGTGAATAAGAGCAGTCTGTGTGGTTCTGTGTAAGTTTTTCACATTATGACATTCACAGCATTTTTCTCAGGCAGAACAACACACACACACACACACACGAAGACCCTGTTCTGACTGTAAGCGGTTTCAGATCTTATGAATTTTTTACTCTAGTTCTCTTGTATTTCATTTTAATGACTTGCAACTTTTGAAACAATTAGGCGACTCTCATTTTGTCAGAAAACCACTGAACACTTCAAAGCGGTGAACACACACACACACAGTCAGTCAGTCATTGCTGTTATTATGGTATGATAAAACGGTACAGGAGGATAGCTACTGTGTTTTTGGTCATGCATCATGCTATAATGTTATTCTCTCAATACTTCGAAAGCATCATGTGAATGCATGGATATACCAAAAATCAATTACAGTCTAATGTAAATTATGCATAGGCTTCAGTAGCCTATTCCAACTTTTTATAAGCTGAAACCAAAACCTAGAGGCATTGGAGGAGGTGGAATATGAATCCATATCATAAACTCTACAGCAGAATCACAGAGCTGTTTACTGTAAATATGCCTTTAAGGGCTAATTGGTGACATCATCACAGATATTAACGACCGCTGTATAATGGCCTGCCACTGAGTGTTCAATAACTGCTGGAGAACCTCATCTTTAATTCATGCTCGAGTGTTTTAATAGATCACCGTGTGTGTATGATGAGTGATGACGGTGGTGTGTTTAGCTGAAGCGCTCAGGTGTGAGCTCGGGTGTGTCCGGCGGGCTCGGGAACACTGGGAAACACTATCGGGATTTTAACGGTAAAAAACTAAAAATGCCATGGTGAGAAACTGTACTATACACGGTAAATAACTGTGATGGATCCAACAATGTTTTCGGTAGTGAAAAAGAACAAGTCAATGTATAATTTACAGTAAAATACTGTTAATTGGCATTTCCCACAATCTCCGCTGTGATTGGTGGATATCGGTGTGTTAGAATTGTACAAAACAAATATTAGTACATCAATAGATTGGTAAATTAACATTATATCAGATAATGAAATACGGTTTATTACTGTAAATCTAAGTTAAAGCTGCAGTGTGTAATATTGATGAGGACATCATATTCATAACTGTGTGTTCAGTGGTGTATATGACGACCTTACCTAATGAACCGTTATGTGTTTATTAGCTTAGATTGAGGCGTTTCTGTCTACACACACCGCGGGTCCGCTAACATCCACACGTTTCTATGGTGGCCCTGAGCGGACACACGCGTTTCGTCACTATGTTGTTCTTCATGATCAGAAGCTGCTAAAGTCACAATGATGAACAAGTGACAATAATATCCGCAATAACATCGTTTTACTGAATAATTAAGTAAACGTAATTTCTTAATTTATCTTCGTAAAGAGTCCTCATTGCTTCGCTGTCTCAGACGATGACATCACTTCCTGTCGGCCACCGTAACTTCTGTTGAGTGCGATTCTCAACCTTACCACAAGAGGCCGCTAAACATTACACACTGCAGCTTTAAGTCTGTAAAACCTCAAATGTTGCTACCGTATTTTTTACCGTTAATGTTTTTTTTTTACAGGGCATGACTGTGATTACCGGTGTCAGACGAGCAGAAACATCTCTCTCTCTCTCCTGCAGGAACGAGTGGGCGCACGTCTGCCAGCCAAACCCACCGACCATCAGGGAACCGGCACACACTCGACAAGACCAAAATATACGTGTTGAGATGAGTGAGAAAAACAGTAGACGCTTCACACATCTACAGGAGCTCAGAGAGAGGAACACACTGCAGGATAAACATGAGAAACACGGGTCAATAAAGACCACACGAGGGAAACCAGACCGGCGGAAACCAGGCCTCCTCAAATCAAAGTTTTTATCTTTCAGAATGAATGTGTCAGCCTTAAGGTTTCCAAAACAATGACAAAATTCATTAATGCTCTTAACTTCAGTGGGCATTTAAACACCTGAGCGACGACTGAGGAACATGTGAAGCCTGACAAATGGTGTATATATATATATATATATATATATATATATATATATATTAAAAAAAGAAAAATCAGGCTTCTATGACTCTGATATAATGACAATATGGAGGAAAACCAGCTCAACTGGGCAAAAAATATGCAGTTTAGTGCAGATTCTGATATTTATATGACATTCTGATGCTTGTAATGTAAAAATCAATGAGATTTTTATAACAGACTACTGACAATATTAATATCTGATACTAATGTCTTTGTAAGATCATATTTAAATGCTTAGTTTTATGATCAAAGCTCTGTAGTTTTAAAACATGATGTAATTAAATACAATGATGATTGAGATGAACAAATAAACCTTCCTCAAAAGCCTGCGGATCATATTTGATATCTCATTAAAAAAATTACCAACAATATCAAAGTTATTCTTGCGTTTACTTGATAAATCAGAGCAGATTTGACACAGAAACACGAGCTGAACGAGTACATTTCTACTAAAAGACTTTCACTGGATAAAAGAGTCTAAACTATCAGACACAGAAGAAGACTGGAGGAGAGTGTGTGCAACAAACATGTTGATTATTTAGAAATGCACATATCGAATATTGCACTGGTTTTATAGGGTTAAACATGTTTTAGCTTACAGGGTGAATTTCACAAATTAATTTCTAGGTCATATTTCACCCCTCAAATCAATAACAAATAAATTCTTCATTTTTGGGGGGGTGAAGTGAGCCATGTGTTTCTGAATGGGTTTGAAGGTCTAGAACCGGACTCAGAAGAGCATCGGTGACGGACGGTCGGGGTCAGAGGTCACTGATCTGACTGAGCCAGAAAAGACAGTTTTACAGAACCGGTTAAATCCAGCTCAGCACGCGTCTGTGATGCGGGAAAATAACAGGACTTCCTCTAAAAGCACCCTTTCTTTAATCAGAGGAAGACAGTGACTTTATGAGATACTATGAATAAATGTATGAGCAAAAACTAGACACCATGTCTGCTATTAGGCCAGAATGGATAATAAGCTGCTCTTCTGAAATGGATGGAGCAAAAACACACAGCGTCATGAAAAATACATCCAGAACTGAGCCGAGCTTCAAAGACGCCCATGTTTTCTGCTCCGAGGATCAGAGGTCCGTCACATGATATCCCAGCTAACCAAGATTCGTTAAGAACCTTTTCCCAGCGTTCCCATTAAGCTGTGAAAACGAACGCTCTCAAAGCAAAGTTCTTGGTTATGCAAACGACAAGGGAACATTCCATTGTCTCATTCTGCAAACATTACGGAATGTTACTTTTGAATGTTCTCTGAAGATTCCGAGACAAGGAACATTTCTCTGAAGATTCCGAAACGAGTAACATTTCTCTGAAAATTCCGAAACAAGTAACATTTCTTTGAAGATTCCAAAACTAGTGACATTTCTTTGGAGATTCCGAAATTAGAAACGAAATTTCTTTGAAGATTCCGAAACTAGAAACGACATTTCTTTGAAGATTCTGAAATGATTGACATTTCTTTGAAGATTCCAAAACAAGTAACACTTCTTTGAAGATTCCGAAACTAGAAACGACATTTCTTTGAAGATTCCGAAACTAGTGACATTTCTTTGAAGATTCCGAAACTAGTAACATTTCTTTGAAGATTCCGAAACTAGTAACGACATTTCTTTGAAGATTCCAAAACTAGTAACGACATTTCTATAAAAGATTCCAAAACTAGTTACATTTCTTTGAAGATTCCGAAACTAGTAACGACATTTCTTTGAAGATTCCGCAACTAGTAACGACATTTCTTTGAAGATTCCGCAACTAGTAACGACATTTCTTTGAAGATTCCGAAACTAGTAACGACATTTCTTTGAAGATTCCGAAACTAGAAACGACATTTCTTTGAAGATTCCGAAACTAGAAACGACATTTCTTTGAAGATTCCAAAACTAGTAACATTTCTTTGAAGATTCCAAAACTAGTAACGACATTTCTATAAAAGATTCCGAAACTAGTTTCATTTCTTTGACGATTCCGAAACTAGTAACAACATTTCTTTGAAGATTCCGCAACTAGTAACGACATTTCTTTAAAAGATTCCGAAACTAGTAACGACATTTCTTTGAAGATTCCGAAACTAGTAACGACATTTCTTTGAAGATTCCGAAACTAGTAACGACATTTCTTTGAAGATTCCGAAACTAGTGACATTTGTTCGAAGACTCTAAAACTAGTGACATTTATTTTAGATTCCGAAACTAGTAACGTTTCTTTTAGATTACGAAATTAGTGACATTTAAAAAATGTTAGGTGAACTAAAAATGTTCCATGAACGATGAGAACATAAAACCAGATAAGTTTGAATGAACATTATATTAATGTTACTGAAGAACGTTTGGTCGAAACTTTTAGTCAGTTCCCAAAGCTGTGTCCCAAAGTTGATTGTAAACCAATTCCTCGTGGGCTCACAGTGCCCAGCAACATGGTGTCGGCCCAGATGTGGGCCGGATCTGGGCCGACACTACGTTGCTGTCTGGGTTCTTTTGGGATATCGGCCCCAGAACGTTCCATTAGCCGGGATGAACCCGAAGCCATCGGAGAAGCTGTCGCTCATCTACTGTAACAGCTGTAAGTGTGTGTGCATCTGCTGCGCTGACAGACGAACACATGTAAACAAACGCTGATTTGAGAGACGAGCTGCTGGAGTTACACGGCCCGTAACGTTCACCACGCCATCTCATCCCTCAGTACGGAGAAAACCAGGAGGAAAAACAGCTTGGTGCCGTTAAATATGCAATGGCAGACTGCCACTGACACAAACTCACACAAACGGTGCGAAATATGATGCTTCTTCTGTAAAGACTAATTTTCCAAAGGCAGAATCAGACAAACTTTTTTCCCGGCCGTTTTAAAATGAGATGCTTAATTCAGTTGTGCTCGGCCCGTCTCATTCCCGGATAAACGGATTCCCACTAAATATAACGTCTGGAGGCGGCAGAAAAGGTTTTAGTTTGATAAATGATTTTACTATGAAACAGCGGCCACACGCCCCCAGTTAGAGGCTCATTTACACAGTTAAACCAGTGAAGACGACAGGCAGAGGCAAACCCAAATGAGTTCTGTTAGGACGGGCCTCGGCTGCCAGACTGCCCCTAATCCGCAGGATAAACAGCGGGAAAAATCCTCGTTCGGAAAACCCGTGCCGCAGCTGAGAAGACTGATTACCGGCGGAGAGAATCAAGCGTTCTGGAAACACAAAAGAAAGATGAAGCGCTTTAGCCAGATGGAGCAGAACTCGAACCCGAGGGCCAAACGCAACAGCTCATTCTCAAGGTCAAACCGACAGGAAAAAGAAACGTTGAAAACCAAAGGAAACTCCAGCTAACAAAAACATGTTCACACTAATCTAATAAAATGTGATTTCTAAATGTTCTCCGAACGGTTAACGTCACAAACGAACCAATCAGATCAACGTGTGATCGTCAAGTGAGTGAGTGGAGGCGGGGCTCATTTGCATATTCATAGAACCGCGAATACTCAATGAGGCAAGGGTGTCGAGTTACATTCAAGATATTTTAAGACATGAAGATGGAAAAAACGTTTAAATGTAATTTTGAACTTCAAATAAAGATAGTTAAGGGGTTAAATTAAGTTTGGGATGATAAAAGCGCCAGTGTTTTTGGCTTCAGGAACACAAACTCTCAGTATTCATCATAAACCGCAGCCGTGTTTGTTCTTTGTTCCTCTGAATAAATTAGCACTTTGGCTCAGAAACCACACGAAGAAGAGTTTAGAGCCGCTGTGTTCATCACATCCTCATCGACTCCGTGTGGAGCAGAAAAACAGTGTCAATCACCGGCTGTGCGGATGAGCGCGGACATTGTTCTGTTTTCCCGCCATTCTACCAAAGCGCTTTGATGTGCGCCGCGACTGATGGTCCAGATGGGGCTCGGGAACGGCGTAAACACGGCCAGCAGGAGAGAGGCTCGGCCCAGAACGAGCCTTAATTAAAAAAACATGTATTAATCTGGGCAGCGTAATGAAAAAAAAGATTAACGTTGATATTATTGAACCCCTGCAGGGTCAAAGGGCACATAATCAACATTTCTAATGTCATTTTCACTACAATCCCTGAATGACAATTACTGGACAAACATGACAGACTCTCACAGATTCAGAGAAATAAATGTAGGTGAAACAACTGGGTCGAACACATCTTTAGCTGGATTAAATTCACCTTGTTTATTATGAATTATGTATGGGCGCACATTATTGTTTTAGTAATCGTGAATCAGAATCACTTCCCTTCTCTGAGGATGAGGGCGGGGCTTTAACCTGTCAATCACATGAGATCAGCCAATAGCAAACCACAACCAACACAATCAAGCCCCGCCCACATCTGTTCTCGTTCACTCGGAGAAAGAGATCTCAGGCTGGTTTAGCATCATATACAGCCACAAAACCTAATTCCCATCTTTCACAATTAACTGTCTGCAAATGACTCACTCATAAATGAAAGAATGAATAAATAAACACTTGAAATAAAGGGGTCCATGGAAAAGTCCATAGAAAAAAAAAGTACAAAATTAATATTAAAATAAGTAAATAAATTATATATAAATAGATTAAAATGAATAAAGTACTTGCATGTTAACTTTAAATTCTAAAAGAACCATAAAAAAGTAAATAAATAATAAAATAAGCAACTCAATTAGATCAAAATTAAATAAATAAGTGTTTTAAAAATTGATTAAAAAAATGTTTAAAAAAAAAGTCTAGTGAAAAACGGTAAAAAAAAAATATTAAAATAAGTAAATTTAAATAAATTAACGTGGAAAAGTCAAGAGGAAAAAAAGTAAAAAATATATTAGAAAAGTAGATAAATTCGATTAAAATAAATGTGATTGAAATCTACATCTAAAAAAAAAATGGAATCTATTAAAAAATAATACTAAAATTAAATACATACATTATATACAAAATATATAATAATGCAACTTAACTGAAACATTTATATTGTATATCCAAAATTAGTTTGTGTATAAATTGGCTGTTTGATGCGGTTCAAACGTTAGGATGATCATATTATGGGCTTCATGGATCTAAAAGACGGAAAAGCTCTGAATGATCATCATGCAAACTGTGCGAGGATGTGTTGAACTTTGTAGGGGAATTTATTTTAATTACATAAATAAATAAAATGCATACTAGTCTAACATGGGGGATAACAGACCAGCCTGACTGTCTGAGGAACTACATCTAATGGAGGAGTACATCAACTCAGAATCAGAGGAAGGTGAGCTTTACGAAATTAAAAATGACTGACTGATTCTTAACGAAGCTGAACACTAACATCTGTGTGAACGCGTTTGAGTCGAGATTCACAGTCAAACATTCCAACATCACTAATGGTAATGAAATATGATATTTGACTGGTTTCGTCCGTCCTTCTGTTGGACTCACATGAATTATATTGAATATCTGTCAGCTGTTCAATTGAACTACACAATTAGAGAATAGCAGTTTAGCTCAAGCAATGCGAATGTTGTTGAGTGTGAAGTTCACACACACTGTAGTGAAACATTATCAAAAATGATCTCTGGTGTCTGGATAATGTGTGGTTTGACTTTACCCAGCACAGAGTGTTTCAGAGCAGCTTTACAGAGATAACCGGAGAATAAAGACACAGTGTGTTTCCAGCGTCTCAGTCCAGCTTAAGGAACTTCAGTGATGCTTCATTATTGTTCTAAAACAAGTTATTTAGTTCATTTATATTTGTATATATATATATATATATAGCCACAGTAAACCGTGACGTCCTTGTCCAGCTCTCATATAACGCAGGAGATCAATAATACAGCTGAATATTAAAGTAAATATTATGTGCACTGCATATGCGTCACACAAGAGCATTTCTCCTGATTAACGGTCGAGTCGCCGCTCTACAGAGACGATATTAGGAAACTCCTGCAAACACACTGCGGATCCCTTATTATTCCTGGCCGTTCCCTCTCGGAGCGAAGCCTAATCCGGGCCTGATCCCACTGCAGTCTCGCTGACGACACCGCGAGAAACAGCGGATCGTGAGACACTCGCCCATCCCTCGAGACTCCACAGCGGACACACTGTCAATCACACACCAACCACTGATCAAACTAGATGTTTTATTGTTATCATCATCATCATCAGTGTTACACAACAGATCAACTCAAACCCAGCCAGATAATACCCGGATCAAAACTGGAAGGTCTCGTCCGTCATGTGGATGGCCCAGGTGAACTTGTCCCGCTGGGTCTTATTGTAGATCTTTTCAACGGGGACGTTGTGTTTCTTACACCTAGCAAAGCAACATCGTGAGATTAGCGCGTTATCCTGATCTGACGGAAACTCAAACACTGCGTTTACACTGACACACACGTTCAGCACGAGTTTAAACACACAAATCCGCTCAAGATCCAATTTGTTCACATCTCATCTGAGCAAAATGTGGTTTTAACCCTCTGATGGTCTTCCTTTATGAGTGACGTCCTGGGCCTTCCCGGTCAGAAGTGACCGGAGGCCTAAAAATGAAACTTCTTCCATCCCAGTAAAACCAATGCAATTTATTTTTGTTCTATAATATTTATTCTTTTTAATGTAGTATTTTGAGACAATTTGATTGAATTTATTAATATTTATGCAATATTTAATGTCTATTTTTTTCAATGGAAATATATATATATATGTATATATTTTTTTTTAAATGAAGAGTTCAGATGCAAAAGCCTCTAAATGCTATTTGAAATTTTCTTCTTTAATGATGATTTATCAAACTTGTATATTTAAGTTCAGTAATTTCATTTAAATAACAATTAATAGGTAATTATCATTGCCATTTAAGTGAAATCACTGAACTTAAATATACAAGCTTGATAAAAATCATCATTCTAGAAGAAAATTTCAAATGGCACTTACTTATACTAACTTAGAGGCTTTTGCATCTGAACTCTTCAAATATTAATGCAGTATTTTAGTTTAATATAGAGTCTAGGCCTTCAGAAAAAAAATATATTTCTTGAAGAAAATTAGCACCATCTGGTTACAGTATAGAGAAAAAGCGTAGAATCATGGTGTAACCACTAGATGGCATGTACAGCTCTCTATGGAGAGGCATGTGAATTCCCCAGCTGTTCATGAACACATTTTTTTTTTTTGGTGGATTTGAATATATAATTGAAACAATCTCAAAAACTATTTCTTATTAAAAAAATTTGTAAAAAAAAAAAAAAAAAAAAAAAGTGAATTTTTGTCAATTTCCCATTCATTTCCTATGGGGGTCATTTTTGACCAAAGACCAAAATCGTGACTAATTTTTTTTACGACCACTTAGCATGCTCGCATCATGAATTTTTGTGTGTGTTCACATGCCTAATGCCAGAAATGTCACCAAGTTTCGTAACATTGCGATGAAGCTGTGATTTTTAAAAATTCAAAACGTATTTTTGGTAGTCTGAATTTATTTGTGTGTATGTGTATAAAAGTGTGTGTGTATGTGTGTGTGTGTACATTTTTTGCACTCTTGATGTTGTAGAGTGTCACCCCTTTACTGCGGTATACTTCTTTAAAGAATCGTGGCCGATTTGTAGATTGTACAAACAAAAATTCAGAGAATTTTTGTTTTTTTGTAAATTTCCCATTCATTTCCTATGGGTCGGTCATTTCTGACCGAACACCACGAGTGTGACTATTTTTTTACGACCACTTAGCATGCTCGGATCATGACCTCAATTTTTTTTTTGTATTCACATACCAAATGCCAAAAAAAGTCACTAAGTATCATAAGCTTCCGATGAAGCTGTGATTTTTAATAATTCAAAACAGAAAACTATTCGGTCAGAAGTGACCGAGGACCATCAGAGGGTTAAATCAGAAATGTATCCAATATCTGGAGAGTGAGTAAGAGTGAGTGTGTGTTCTGTCAGTAGTCACCAGGCCACAGTGATGCGCGGGTCCAGATAGTTTAGTTTAGACGTTCCCAGAGCGATGACCTTGTTTTCCTCTCGATCCGTTTCCTGGAGTTGGAGCTTCTTCAACTGATCAGACAGTCTCTGGACCAGCTTCTCCTTCTTCTCCACCAGCCTAACCATGGACACAACCAGAGAGAGAGAGAGAGAGAGAGAACGAGGGAGAATGAGAGAGAGAGAGAGAGAGAACGAGGGAGAATGAGAGAGAGAGAGAACGAGGGTGAATGAGAGAGAGAGAGAGAACGAGGGTGAATGAGAGAGAGAGAGAGAGAAAATGACAGTGAAGTTATCCCCTTATTACTGAGAAATATAATGTAGCGAAGACATTTTATTTAGTAAAGTAAGAAAAAAAATAGTTTAACGAGAAAAAAAAAAGTAAATATAGATATATATAATAAAAAAATGACATACATATGTAATTAACATAAAACATGTAAAATAAGTGTTGAACACACAGCACTACTGTCACTTTAAATGCATTCGTTTAGGCTTGATGTTTATAATAAATGCTCCTATTTTTCTACATTTTGCTTCGTTTCGCTCGGATAGTTAACGGCGTAGACATACACGTGGATAACTTAAAAAGCGTATAGATAACACACCACTTGACTTGAAAGTGGCATGTATGTTTACCCAAATGTCATGATGCCATGTTGTATAATGTGTGTTTGTATCGTTGTAAGACGTGTGTGTAGTTAGTTTCATTGCATTTACCAAAAGATTCATTTTATTTAGCATTATTTCTGAACGTCATAATACAATCTTATCTGCGTTTAAATAGAAATGTCAGATTGAATATAATTTCAAACGAGCGTGTGTGTGTTTCTGGCTCCTGCATGGGCTGGCACAGCTCTGACCTTGAGTTAAACACAGTTCTTACTTCTTGTTTTTGTCAGACGGATCGTCTTTATGCGCTCGCTTCGCTTCCTTCAGCTCCTTCTTGGCCTCTTCAATTTGTTCCTTTTTCTTTTGGATCTGCAATATCAAGCAAACGGACAGAAGCAAGCGAGTGTGAGCGTCACCTTTGACCAGACCACACACACACACACACACACATCTAGAAGAGCAGTGTGTGTGTGTGTGTGTTTACTGACTGCTTTCATCGCTCGAGTCTCAGCTGAGGGGGTCGAACGCTATAAGTGACTGGACGATAGCTCTGCGCTTTACATCGTGTGTGTGTGTGTGTGTGTGTGTGTGATTATTTCTGACGGCCTCGTCCTGTAAAGCTCCAGTCGTGACCTTGATCTCAGAACTGAACGCTGCCGGGATGAAAAACCATTTCACTTTCCTGTAGTTCCAAACACAGCGCGAGTGCACACACACCTGACCTCAGTCACACACACACACGCTTCATGAGTCTTCAGATACTGTCACACACTCCTCACTCACAGAAATCCACTAGGTCACACACTTTCGCTTTATTTCCAGATTCAATTATAGACTCGATTTTGCACACTAGAGCTCGTTCACACACACATACACACACGTCTTCAAAAACCGTGCTTTAAATCTCTTGACAAACTCAGAGACGTATAAACGTGTGTGTGTGTGTGTGTGTGTATGTAATAAATGAAAGGCAAAGGTTGCACTGAATATTAGTTTGCTTATTTTGCTCAAGATCAGGATTTATTGAGTCCACATGTAGAAACTCTTCTTCTAACCGCAGCTCGAGATCTGTCGCTCACACACACACACACACACACACACCTCTGTGACACTGTGTGCGAATGTTTGTTGGAACGATAGTTTCGGGAAACACCGACTTGAAAAATGCGACCATAGTTGTCTAACGATGCTCTCGGGAAACACACCTGTTTACTTCCTGTCCTTCTGAAAAGCACAGTGCTCTGATTGGTCGGCTGGAGCAGTGTGTTGCGATTGGTCGATCGCTTCGAGTGTGTTTGGGGAATGTCCCGCCCCTTATCATAACCGTCAGTTTAACACACTACTAACTAACTCAACCAGGCCCCGCCCCTTTACTCTGCGCATTAATTATTATAATGAGGAATATCGAGACGTGTTCGTTCAGTCTTCAGTGTCACATGATCCTCCAGAAATCACTCTAATGTGAGGATCTGATGCTCAAGAAATATGATTATTATCCTTAGAGTGAGACTTATCTTCTGATAGATTTCTGATGAATAGAAAGTGCAAAAGAACAGCATTTATCTGAAATATAACCTTTTGTAACATTATGAGTCACATTTAATCAAATGAATGCATCCTAACTGAATAAAATCCCAAATTTCTGGATGGTACACTACACATTTTCCACAAAAATATGATAATCATAACTGTTTCTTGAGCGTCAGATCCTCATATTAGAGTGATTTCTGAAGGATCATGTGACTCTGAAGACTAAATTACACTTTACTGTATATTCACATTTACATTGTGTTTGTTTCATTATTAATGAACTGCTCTCCGCTGTGTGGTTATGATTATGATTATGATTATGATCACCTTCTCCTGCAGAAGCTGCATGGACTTCTCGAAGGTCTTGGGCAACGCCCTCTGGTGGTTACAGAGGATCGCCACAGCTCGGTTCGCTCGGTTATACGACAGGATCTTCTCCTCCAGCGTCATGTCCTCTGAAACGCCAGCAACATGAACATCATGAACATCAACGATGCGAATCCTTCTCAGTGTTCACGCACAGCACAGATGTCTTGTCTAAAGTTCAGTCAGAGTTGAGATATTAAATGTAACACACAACAATATTATCGATCCCCTGCATTATATGAGAACTGAGCTGAGCTGGATGACGCCATATATAAATGCAGGTGACACACAGACGGCTGATCTGGGACCTGTGGTGAGCTTGTTGAGCTGATCCTGCAGTGTGGTCGAGGCGTTGAAGGTTCGAAACACTTTGGCCGTCAGTCCCGTCATGCACTCGTTCAGGGCTTTGTTGAGGTTGACCGTCTGAAAAGAACAGAACGCCACGTTATAATGTTAGAAACTCGACACACTGAATGCTGGGATGATCTAGTGCTGGTTAGGAACATGTGACGTGACATGATGGACAAGAAAACATTACACATTTTCATTTAGTTTACCTTTTAAACAAAACAAAAAAAGTATATAAGACAAAACTCAATTTTAAATGTCAATGTGGTGTGTTTAATGCGCTTTAACACACACACACACACACACACACACACACACACACACACACACGTGTAAGTTGATAAGTGGACAGCATTGCTGAGTATTTCCTCCTTAAAACTGCAGTGAACTCAATGAGGCAAGGGTGTCGGGTTACACTCAAGATATTATAAGATATGAAAAAGGAAAAAATGTTTAAAACGTAATTCTGGTGACGAAAGAGGAGTTTTAAGGGATAAAGTGATCGACTACAGGACTTTAACTCTTGTGCATCAATTAAAAAAAGTTACTCATAGGTAAATAGAGGACAAAAATGTCCATGTCAAAAAACTGTCATACAAATGTGACGCTTTGGAGCACAGACTTAAGTTTGGTATCATTTTAAAGAAGACCCTTTGCAGATTATTGCTGAAGTAAAAAAATTATAATAAGTAAATCCAAAAAAAAGTTATATAGGTATAAGTTTATGAAAATTATTTATAAAAAAATATTTTATATTAAATATATATTTTATAAATCAGGTTGAACTCAAAACTGCAATAAAATCAAAGCCATAAATCTAAATAGGTTGTGTTCCAAATTTGAGGATGATATCTCAAAAAATGAGCTTTGGGTAACAGTTTGTTTGGGCGTAGTAACATATTTTCCCCATTGGGTGGCAGCAAAACCCCACTGGAGCTCACAGTGATTGAGTTTTTCTCTCTCAGTATTACAAACACACACACACACATGCTAAGCACACTCTGACATCCATGCCAACACACCCACACAAATATCGTTGCATAATTTATCCAGTCGGCTCTATAATATGCCGGACCAGAAAACAGGAATAAAGCGATATTTGTTTTATAGGCCAAACTTTAAAAAAAAAAAAGGCAACATCTGAAAAAAAAATAGTAAAAAAATTAATTTTGAAGCCTTGCCATCAGAATGAAAGCCTCTAAACAAAGATTGCATAATTTTATAGTTAACTGAACCGGGGATTAAAAATGGCAGTTTTAATGGGTTTCAATGGGGACATTTTTGTCCAAAAGGGGCTGAGAGGGAGTATTTTTTGTACCTAATGCAAAAAATATTTTTTTATGAAAATGACGGTGAAATTCCAATAAAAATACACACCTGTGCCAAGTTTTTTGCAGTTAGCTTTAACACAGGCAAAGTGATCAAAAAAACAAAACTGAAAAGGACAAAAAGGTCCATAAGGATGCACAAGGGTTAACTGTCTAACTGCATGATTCATCGACCTCCACTTACTGTAATTCGGTCAAATAAATCATCTTCTGGATCCTTGTGCTTTATGAACAGCTTCAGGTTCTTGAAAACCTGTGAATCAGATCAGAATAAAAACACACAGAGCTGCTACTATCAGCTCTCAAACTGCATTAATAAGTATAATTGGTAACACTTTACTATAAGGTTCATTAGTTAACATTAGTAAATGCATTTACTAACATCAACTAACAATGAGCAATGCATTAGTTACAGTTAATTAGTTAATGCAAATACAGCTGTTCATTGTGCGTTCATGTTAGTTCAAAGTGGATTAACTAATGCAAACTAATACAACCTTTGATTTTAATAACGTATTAGTAAATGTTGGAATTAATATTAACTAAGATTAATAAATGCTGAAGAAGTGTTGTTCGTTCTTAGTACATTGTAAAGTGTTACCGTATAATTGATACACACTCATTCATTCATCTCAATTCCTAGAGATTCCTTCAACTTTTTTTTAATTTTTTTTAAAGAAAATATTTTTTTTGACATCAACAAATCAGCCACGATGCAGGAAAAAGCATCAGAGAAAATGTTTTTTTTTTTTTTTAAATGTTTAACTGTATTGTAAAAATTATGAATGCAATGAAGGGAAAAATAAAATATAAATAATAAGCATTTTCCTAAAGGCTAAAGTGAGCAAGGGTTCAAGAGTGTGTGTGATACACCAGAGTGTGTGTGTGTGACCTGTTTCTCCACCGGCATTTTGTTGTAGTAGCGAATGGAGTCTTTCCCCAGGAAGTCGAACTCCACGACGTTTTCGAGTCCGTCGAGGCGCCGGTGAAGCTTGATGTGCTCCACACGCAGGGAACAGCAGCCCACCGTATCCGCAGACTCATCGTCCTTCTCGTTCCCCGCACGCAGGGCCAGCTGGAACACACACACACACACACACACACGATCAGTGTGAATCCCACATGTGCTTCACTGCACAGCCTCGCTGGATCTGACACAGAGACTGTAAAATGCACTAATTTTTGGGTTAAGGACTTCAATCAGAGATCTCACTTATTAAACTATATATTTCAGATTCTAAAAAAGCTAAATAGATAAACAAAAATAAACCAATAAAACAAAATGCAGCAGATGCAATGACTAGTAAACAACCACTGAATGGATACTATGACAAAGATATCGCTTTCCTTATTCAATCAACTTTATTCCAGACACAAAGGTCCATAGAGACAACACAGTACAGATATTTAAATAAATAAATAACAATACAAACAGTTAAAAACAGTAAAAAAAATAAAATTAAATAAAATAAATAAATAAATAAAATTAAAAAAATATTAAAACATTTTTTTAACCATGAATATATGATTGACCTGAAGAATGAAAGCTGGGATATTGATATGAGCCATATCACACTCATAGACATGAGAAATGCCTCTATATCAGACGAAAGATTGTTTTATCAATAAAATGACACTAATTTCACATTTTCGCTTTTCATAAATGACCGTTTCAAGGGTTTTCCAGGACTTAAGTTTCAAAAAGTCAAATTCGAGGTTAAGTGGGTGGAGCTTAACCTGAGTTAGGGTGTGGCTGGACCTTTAAAGCCCCACCTATCATGTCCAGAGAGGCGGGGCTGGATGTCAAGCTCCGCCCCCTTTGCCCTGTATCAGTGATGAGCTCACCTTATCGATGAAGTAGATGGCGACTCCTCTCTGTCTGCTCTTCATCTCTCGGGACGTCCAGTCGCGTTTGTACTGCTTCCTGATGGCCTTCACACACACCTTCAGCTTACGCGCCGTCTCGTACTTCTGCCAGTCCTTCTCGCCCTGAGCACAGACCATCATCATCATCCAGATACATCTGAAATCGGCGTTTGTGTTTAAAACGCTCTCCGTCCACACCAGCGGTTCCAGTGCGGATGACAAACGTTTATTTGTACAGCGCTTCTCACACACACACATCCTTTCACAGCAGCTTTACAGGAAACACACATCAGTGTACAGTGATCCGTTATTATCAGAGGACACTGTCTGAGTTATGTATTTCAGAAATGTACATATACAAAATCACAGTCAGCGAAAAACTTATTAAGTTTTTAATGCAGAAACTTTTAGAAAAATTTAGAAAATATAGCGTTTTCAAAGTTATCCACTTTTCAAAAAGCGTATTTTTCATTAATATTCATAAAGATGTGTTTTCAAACTCAAACGTATTAGTACACACACACACATACACACACCTTGAGTTTGGAGCTGGGGTTCAGCATGATGTATTTGGGGTGCCCGTGGATGTTCTCGAGCCACGACGCCAGCCATGTGACCGTGTTGTCGTGCTGGACGCGCTTCCACTGGTGTCCTGCAGGGGCTTCTGGGATCTTAGAGTCTCTGAGGGACAGAAATTGAAATCGACGTGCACCCTGATTACATTTAATCATTAATTCATTCATACGTTTCTGGGAACTCTTTTTTTTTTCTTCCTAAAATTCAGTTTAATTTTATTCATTAAAAGAACATGTCTAAACAGAATTCATAGTTTAATAATTCATTAATTCAATAATATATAATTTGAAATATATTATTGAATTACAATAATAATAATTATTATAATTCAATAATAATAATAATAAGTCCCATCGGGTTTAATTTTTTTCCCTAAAATTCAGTTTAATTTTAATACAATTTTAATCATTAAAAGAAAATTTCTAAACAACAAAATCCATAATTTAATAATAAATAATTAATTTTAAAATTAAATAACTCATTATTTGATAATTATTAAGTCCCAGTGAAAACAATTTAAAGCTTGGATTTTATGCTTTATGATTTACAACTTTATAATTTAATACAACTTTACAATAAAAAGAGTGGTCAAGTATTTTCATAAAACTAACAATTTAATAATTCATTCATTTTAATAATAATAGGCCCACTGAAATCTTTTATTTTTCCCAAAGTTTTCTGGATTCTTTGCTGTACAATCGAATACAAATTTACAAAACAAAAATCATACTTGAAACTTTGACAATTTAATAATTAGTCCCTGTAAAATCGGTTTTCTTTCCCTAAAATACTTTAAAGTCGGTTTGAAAATGTCGGCATTCTGTGCTTCATCAAAACAAGACGCTGTTGAATTATGAATTCATTCATAATTAATTTCCAAATTCCTTTACGAGCAAAACCGTGCTTTCATTGTGTCAAGCGAAGTGCAGCCTATATACATTCCGCTTATTTATTGCAATTTATTGTTTGTTTTTTTATTAGAAAAGTCTTTCCAAGGACCTAAGATGCAAATGATGACAAAAATAAAGCAATTTTATTGCGAAAAAATATTCAATAAAAAAAAATCTATTTTAAAATCGTAAAAAACAAAACAAAAAAGAATCACGATAACTGTGTGAATCGATTTGTTCTCGTAGTGCGAATGTTTCCCGTATCGGTCCGGACACAAACACAGCATTAGCGGAGTGTGTGTGTGTGTTCTCACTGGCTGCAGTTGATGGCCACGTGCTCCGGCTGGATGCGCTTCTTCAGTTTGCCCATCTTCGGGTGTTCTCCGCGCCCGCGGAACAGACCCGGCGGCTCCAGCTTGAAGTTCCCGATCTTCTCGCGGTGTCCGTCCAGCAAACAGAAGCCGTACTCCTCCACCAGACGGTTGGCCTCCTCCTTCAGGACCTGAAGGACACACACATGAGAGTCAGCTTTACAGGAACGGACTGTGTTTAGGCTTTACAGCAGATCTAGAATAAAGTTAGTTTTGATTCACTTCCATTGTAAAGATCATTACTTATTAACTCAGAAAACCCTTAAATATGTTTATCACACACACACCAGCTTCTCCTCCTTCGTCTTGTTCCTGCGCTCCTCCGCCTTCTCCATAAAGTACTTGTGCATGTGGCTGAAGTCACACTTGGAGAGCGTCTCGATCCGCTCCCTCTCCTCGCTGGTCATTTCCTGAAGACAGTTCAATTCAGGAGGATTGATCATGAGGACATTACAGTGTTTCTGACCAATCACAGCAGAGCAGCTCTCAGAGAGGCGGAGCTTAGAGAGACTGAATCTATTACAGTGTTTCTGACCAATCACAGCAGAGCAGCTCTCAGAGAGGCGGGGCTTAGAGAGACTGAATCTATTATGAGGACATTACAGTGTTTCTGACCAATCACAGAAGAGCAGCTCTCAGAGAGGCGGGGCTTAGAGAGACTGAATCTATTATGAGGACATTACAGTGTTTCTGACCAATCACAGAAGAGCAGCTCTCAGAGAGGCGGGGCTTAGAGAGACTGAATCTATTATGAGGACATTACAGTGTTTCTGACCAATCACAGCAGAGCAGCTCTCAGAGAGGCGGAGCTTAGAGAGACTGAATCCACAGAAGCGTTTCAGAGCTGAAGCTGCAGTGGAGATTATGAGGACATTACAGTGTTTCTGAGCGTGGGTGAATGTGAATCTGTTGTAGGAGACTCAGAAATATCATAATAGGGCCCTTTAAAAGTGTTTCCGCGACTATTGTTGGTTTCTGACCTCCTGCCAGTCAGTGAAGAAGTTGTTCTGAAACGTCTCTTTGCTGGTGTACTCGTGGTCCAGCATCTTGGCGTAGAAAGTGGCGATTTCCTCCGTCGCTGGACTCAGTTTAAACGGCTGCCCTGAAAACACACACACACACGTCACTTTATCATCACATTAACACTTATTTGGCTGTTTATTACTGTGAAGCTCCTTTGAAACAACTTGGAGTGTATAAAACTGATTGATCACATGACATGTTTACCATCGTAGTAAAAGGGCACGTTATCGGGCAGCGGTTCATATTCTGGAGCGAAATACGGCCCTCTGTGCTCCAGATGGGTCCACTTCTGAGTGTCCGAGAGCTTGCTCTCTTCCCACCTGGACATCAATCGCACGTTATTCATCACAAACACACACAGAATATGAAACATTAACAGAGAATATAGAGAGCAATTATACAGTCTGCAAATTCAACCTCAAATATTAATACATTTTATTCAAGTTTAGTGTGTAAAAATTAACATTTTATGATTTATTAATTATTTATGGATAAATTGTGGGAAGTGAATTTTTTATAACGAATTTAAAATATAAAACTATTTTATTGAGTAATATAAAAATAGTGATAAAATAATATAAAAACAACATTAAAATCAAATTTAATAAACAGTCTCACACTGATAAATATTAATAAAGAAATGGAATACACAATTCTACATAATCATGGGCTTAAACTATACAAATAATTTATTACTATATTATTTATTGCTTTGCATTACTGATTACCATGTTTTTTATATCAAATATAATATATATATAAAAATGTATATATTAAATAAAAATAATATTTAACAGTCTCACACCAATTCTACATAATTAAGTCAAATTATCAAGTATTATATAAAAAGATTAATTTAATAATAAGAGTTTATTTCAATTGTCGATTACATAAAAAGATTAATTTATTGATAAAGATTGATTTATTTTAAGATATATAATTTATAATTATATAATTTTATAAATAGAACAAAAATTATGTTCGTAATTAATTAAAAATATTCATTAAGTAACTATATTTTATAATTGTATTGATATTTATGTCTCATTAAAGCTGCAATGATTATCTGTAGGATGTCAACAACCTCTCATTTTACGCGCATGCGCAGCTGTGATATCATCATCGTCATCATCAGTAGTGGAGATGTGAACTGACCTGATGTCTGACAGTTTAGCCGCGGCGGGTCGAGAGTAAAAGCGTCTGACATCGGAAACGAGCGAAGCGCCTTTATTACGTTCCGTTGAAACAGAAATAACTCGTAAAATAACGCAAAAACATCTTTTCATTCCCCGCAGTAGCAGGGCACAGCTAACATGTGCTCACTGCGCATGCGCACTCACGACAGCTCTGCGCGCGTCACAAATATGCGTGTCCGACCGGCGGCAACTGCACGATAACAGTTCCGCTCGCCACTTTATTCATCATTCACTTTTAAAATAAGAGTTAAACACATTAAAGATTATTTTAATCTGTGAAAACAAATATCTGTGATAAGTGCAAAGTTAAGAATGTCAATAATTCGGACTAATTAAGCCTATTTATTTCCTGATATTCAGTCAAGTTTAATGAAGTACATTCATTTTAGGAGCTGAACTGATCAAAATAATGTTGTAAGACTACCTGAAGGAAACCAGTGAGCACATACCACTTCCACTTCTCGGACTCCTCGTCTTTCTTGTCCTCTTTCTTGCCCCGCTTCTTCTTCGGCTCCTCGCTGTCGTCTCCTTCCTTCTTGATCTTCTTCTTCTTCTTCTTCGGCTCCTCGCCGTCATCTTCTTCCTTCTTGATCTTCTTCTTCGGCTCCTCGCCGTCGTCTTCTTCCTTCTTGATCTTCTTCGGCTCCTCGCCGTCGTCTTCTTCCTTCTTGATCTTCTTCTTCTTCTCGGGTTTGTCGTGGTCAGAACTTTGCTCTTTTCTTTTCTTCTTCTTCTGTTGGGGTTTCTCTTGCTCTTCATCCTTGACTCTCTTCTTCTTCATCATCATCTTCTCTTCTCCGTCCATCTCCTGCTTTACCAACACAAACGCTGATGAACATCCGTCAAAAGTCTAATGTAACTGACCAGGATAAACAGGAACATATAATAATAATAATAATAATAATAATAATACGCCTGCGCTCTTTCGTTCAGAGACTGTAAAATGAATTTTCAGGATTTTCAAGCACTACTTTTTCGGTTCTCACTTATTAAATAATATATTAATTATCTTTCAAATTCTAAAATAGGTAAATAGTTAAATAACAATAAAACTAAATGCTAGAAATAAAGTGCAGCAGACGCAATGACTAGTAACTTCAACCATTGAGAGGAGGATACTATGACAAAGATGTCGCTTTCCTTATTAAATATGAATATTTCCCTCATGAATATGATTGACCTGAAGAATGAAAGCTGGGATATTGATACGAGTAATATCACACTCATAGACATGAGAAACGCCTCTATATCAGACGAGCTGCAGGTTTAATTTTGCATGAAAAGATCATTTCACATATACTGTCTTTCAATAATTCAAGCGCTTCTTCATAAATATGACAGTTTTCCAGGACTTACATTTAAACAGCTGGAACCCTGTAACACACACACACACACACACACACACACCTGACTGGAGCCTTTATCCGTCTCCTTCTTGAGGTTCTCCTCCGCATGGTTCAGATCTTTCTTCTCCTTCTGATTGAGACGCTCTTTGCTGCTTTTGGACCGAATCTGAGGATGAAACGGAAGCGATTGAATAATCCTGCAAACGGGAGCAAACCCCGGGTCCAGTACCTTCTGTGTGGTGTCGTCCTCCGACTTCTTCTGTCCATCATGATGAGTTCTGAAGCGTCACACACACACACATGACCGGCTTTATTAAACTCACATGCACTTTAGAAAGATGCATTTCTCATTGCATAATTAATCAATCTTAGGAAGTGAAACTGAGATCTCTTGCCTTTCATCCGGATCTGCTGTTGCATCCTGCGAAATAACATGCACAATTAAACAAGATCATATACAAGTCCCCCTGCAGTCGATCAGCGCATCTTTTAACTGAGAAGATCGAACTATATTTAAAGTCCTGTAGTCGATCATTTTATCCCCCAAAACTCATCTTTGATCACCAGAAGGACATATTTAAACGTTCGTTTTTTCTTAAAATATCTTGAATGTAACTCGACACCCTTGCCTCATTTAGTATGCGCGGTTCTATGAATATGCAAACGAGCCCCGCCACTGGTTGTCGATCACACGTTGACCTGATTGGTTACAAGGTGGTTTGTGACGTCAGAAACACCAAAGCGTGTTTTTGAGACTGTCTTTGGTTCACTGCAGTTTTAAGGAGGAAATACTCAGCAATGCTGTCCACTTATCAACGCACACATGGTGTGTGTTAAAGCGGATTAAACACATCACATGCACACATTAAACGCTGGATTTACACCACAGGGGGACTTTAAAAATAAAGTTTCAGTGATCGATAGAAGCTTTTCCGCTCCCTAAGGAACCTTTGAGTAACTCTTTATTCATGTTTTTCTTTTCCTTTTATGCAATGGACAGTGTTGTAGTCGAGACCACCTCACTCGAGTCCGAGTCGACACCGAGACCAGAGAGAGTCGAGTCCGAGTCGACACCGAGACCAGAGAGAGTCGAGTCCGAGTCGAGTCCGAGACCAGAGAGAGTCGAGTCCGAGTCGACACCGAGTCCAGAGAGAGTCGAGTCCGAGTCGACACCGAGACCAGAGAGAGTCGAGTCCGAGTCGACACCGAGACCAGAGAGAGTCGAGTCCGAGTCGACACCGAGACCAGAGAGAGTCGAGTCCGAGTCGAGACCGAGTCCATAGAGAGTCGAGTCCGAGTCGACACCGAGACCAGAGAGAGTCGAGTCCGAGTCGAGTCCGAGTCCAGAGAGAGTCGAGTCCGAGTCGAGACCGAGTCCATAGAGAGTCGAGTCCGAGTCGACACCGAGACCAGAGAGAGTCGAGTCCGAGTCGACACCGAGACCAGAGAGAGTCGAGTCCGAGTCGACACCGAGACCAGTGAGGGTTGATTACCTAATTTACTTTTATTTACTTAGAGAAATCCTTTTTTTTTTTTTTACTTAATTTATTTAGAGTTTAAAAAATATGATCAGTTTAGGGTAAAAAGGCCACATAGTAGGTGGTGTTAAAAGTAATTTTATTACAATTTGTCATGCGCAGTTGCGCACTAGAAAATCACCAATCACTGGGCGTGTCAATCAATTTAAAGAAATATTTTATTAACATACATTAATAATCATGAAAAATATTTTTAATTGAACTCGAGTGGACTCGGGAATAATTCCGAGTCCTAAAAAAAAAATGTTCGAGTACGAGTCAATTCCGAGTCCAAATGCACACGAGTCCATGACAAGACCAAGACCATTAAAATATGGTCTCGAGACCGAGTCCGAGACGAGTCCGAGTCTCGAGTACTACAACACTGGCAATGGATGTTATTAAAGATTTCAATGCCAATAAAGAATCTTTAAAGGATGCTTACCACATCCATGTCAGCATCTCCTGCTTCATGTTTAACTTCTTGGCTGCTAAAACAGGTGAATATGAGTGAGTGACAGAAAGCATCACATTATTATGATTATGATTATTAGAGCTGAAGACACACCTGGAGACTCCAGACTCCTGCTGGCCTTCCTCCGAGTCTGACGGTTTCTTCTAGAAATAACACCATAATTTAGACACACATGCATAATAATTGAATGTCCTTCTGTCGTGATGCGTTTACCTTCGAGGAATGTTTGTGCTTGCCGTTCAGCTCCGAGTCTTTTCCCCGGTCTTTAGAGGAATGCTTGGACTTGGACTTCTCACTGACACATACACAAAATCCCCGTTTAATAAACCTGCAATATCCCTGTTCATCTCACACGATGCCGTGCCAGATAACAGGGAAAGATCCTTCAGTTATGAATAAGCTCGTTTAAGGAGAGACAAAACCAGTGTTTTTAGGAATCTGCTCATTTTGAGATTTAGGCATTTATTTCTAAACATATTTAATTACACTATTTTGTGATTTGCGGAGTGATGGAGATATCCAAAATCCCCTCAGTAATAAAAAATGAAATCAAAAATTTTGAACCGGTCTTCATCCAATGTTCAGATTTTTTGTTCTATACATTTATGCAAAATTGTGCAATTTTAACAAGGTAAAGCCTAATTTGCATACTTGAAAACCTGTATTACATTTTTTTGTTTGTTTGTTTTGCAATTATTAATGAAATTAATCACCTCTGGAGAAGTGTGGTTATATTTATCAGTTATTCTTCTCTATTCATCTGGGGTGTCTCACCTTAAAGTTATCTTTAATAATTTTCTCAAAATCTTAACACAAAAACATTATTCATATACCGTCCATGATGCGTTTTAGTTAGACATTCTTATTTTAAACGTCATACTTGTTACATTTGAATGTATTCTGTAACATAATGTCAGCAAAATGACGAAATGGAACGTTCGTGTACATTTTTTTTAAACTTCAGAGAATATTCAAAAGTAACGGTTTTATAACGTAAACATTCTTAGAACAGATTTAGTCTCTCTGACCTTCTCTCTTGTTTGTTACTGCTCTTCTCATGTCCTTCCTTTTCCAGTTTCATCCTGTAAAGTTCGTCCAGTGTTTTCTGCACTAGTCACTGTAAACACAGCAGATCCGCGTCTAATTAAGTATTTCTAATGATGACCCGCTTTAATTCGGCTTCAGTTAATCGAGTTTAATCACATTCAGACAGACTCGAGTCGAACATTAGAGATGTGATAAAGCTCTGTGTACCTGAGAGGACTTCGCAGCGGCATCAGAATGCATGTCACCTGTCACACCTGAAAGTTTTTAAAGTTCCTCTTCCAATCAAGTGCGCAAAATCAGCCACAGCGCCACCTTCTGGAACAAACCACACTGCACACGATCCCGGGAACCGCAACACTGACCGAGGAACGCCCTGTGCATGTTTAGATGTTTGGAAGGAATATATATTTACATGATGATTTCTTGTAAATAGCCGTTTTGACTTTTATTCATTCCTATGATATGATTTCTTGATATCTTCCATTAGTATGAATTTTTGATATCAACAATGACGTCAACACTCGAATTGTTGATATAATGAATTAAATTTCAACTGGTAAAACCTATGACCCTAGAGAGTTATTCTATTTTAACTAGTTAAATGTCACCACATATAGGTTGCCATTCAAATTCAATTGTTGACAAGTTCAGAAATGCAATTCTTACTAGTTATCATACATTTCTATATCATTAAAAAAGCTGCTTTCTTACTTATATAAATTCCTGATATCAAGAACTCAGTCGTCATTAGTTGAAATGTTAATTCTTGATATCTAAAAATGTATATCAATAATTAGACACATTTCAGAAATCTAAAATCTATTTTTTCTAGTAACAATCTCATTCATGACATTAGAAGCTACCATTATCACTATTGAAAATAAAATTATTGATATCAAGAATGGACATTTTCTAGTAGCAATTCAGTTGCCGATATCAAGAAGATATTTGCACTAGTAAACAAATGCAGGTTTTGTTGATTTAACTAGCAAGAAATCAAATTCTTGATACCAACAATTGAGTTTGAACGGGACCCTATAGTGACATTAAAACTAGTAAAAATACAATTACAGATAAAAAGAATTATTTGAAATTAAATTCTTGATATTAAGAATTCGTATTTCTGCGAGAGATAACGTCATTGTTGATATCAATAATTCATATTTTTACTACAAATCAAATTCCCGATATGTAAATAATTAGCTTTTTAAATAGTGAAAATGTAATTGCTGATATCAATAATTCATATCGTGGAAATAAAGTAAAAACAGCTTGCCATAGATTTATACCCAGAAAAAATTTCTAGCAAAGGCAGTTTTTTTTTTACATTCCTTTTCAGGATTTCATTTGGTTGCATGACTTTTCCCACTCCTGTAAAACAATAATTGTACACCTTAAAACTACTCTTTTATCACACAAATACCATATTTAAACGTTATCTTTCTTCCCTTAAAAAAACCTGCATGCTTTGTAATATATACATATATATATCTTGAATGTAACTCGACACCCGGCCTTACCTCAGTTTAGTAGGCTCGCCTCCACTCACTCCCTCACTCAGAGACCCACTGGTTGACGATCACACGTTGATCTGATTGGTTACAAGGTGGTTTGTGACGTCAGAAACACCAGCGATTTCAAAGCGTGTTTTTGAGACTGTCTTTGGTTCACTGCAGTTTTAAGGAGGAAATACTCAGCAATGCTGTCCACTTATCAACTTACACATGGTGTGTGTTAAAGCGGATTAAAAACACCACATACACACGTAAACAACATTAAACGCTGGATTTTCACAAAAGCGCCATCAGTTAACCAAAAATCAATACTTTTTCAGATTCAAATTTAGCACGAGTTTATGACCAGGCTAATAGAAAAAAACAAGACAAACTAAGCATCAGTTTCATCAACAGAATCACGAATATCTGTTTGAATAACAAACAAACAGCAGGAAATGACATCACAACCGTTGAATGATTCAGTCTTTTATTACAGCAAAAATATCTCGAAGTGTAAATCGATGCAGCGTTTCGCAAAAGTGAGCGAAAATGGAACGATTCCTCCACTCTCGCCACAACAACATCACAAATGCGTCCGGTTAACGCTGTACGACGGCAACCGAACAATTCATCGTCCGTCAGCTGCCATAAATACTCAAATACATTTGGTATGAACTGTACAATAAGAGAAAAATGTTTCGCACCATTTACATATAAAAAGAAACAATTCTAAAACGGGAGAAAAAGAGTTGATATGAACAGTAGTAAGACTGAAGTGTGTTAGGAGCACGCGATGGACTCCAGCTGCTGCTCGGCTTCGGCCGCCATCGCCGCGGCTTGCAGCTGTTCGGTCTCGCTCTGCAATCCACCGGGCAACTGTTTGCGTTCGCTGTGCATGTTGTTCTCGTGTCTCTTCAAGTCGGACGCTTTAGCGAAGGCCTTCGTGCACGAGTTGCACACGAACGGCTTCTCTCCTCGGTGCCGTCGCTCGTGGTCCTTCAGATGCGACTTGTGCTTGAACGCCTTATCGCACATCTGGCACCCGAACGGCCGCTCGTTGCTGTGAACACGCTCGTGTTTCTTCAGATCCGGCGCGCGGATGAACGACTTCCCGCAAGCGTCGCAACGATACGGTTTGAAGCCCGTGTGGATCTTCAAGTGTTCTTTTAAATGAGCTTGCGTCGTGAACGCTTTACTGCAGATCTCGCACACGAACGGTCTGTCGGCCGAGTGAAGCTTCTCGTGTTTTCGCAGCCGATTCTCGTCCATGAAGGTTTTCCCGCACACGTGGCATGCTAACTGATCCCGGTGGCCGTAGAGAAGGTACTCGAACTTCATATCGGCGGTTGCCGTCGTCCACCCCGGCGGTTGCTCGTCTTTCACGTCTCCCATGCTATCGGCGAACGAGAGCGTCTGAGCCGCTAACTCTTTCGGTTCGGCGTCGATAGCTTCCACTTCTTGGTCGTAGCAGCTAACTTTGTGCACCTCTTCCTGCGCTAGCTCTTTCAGGATAGCCTCCTGCACTCGTAAGGCGTTATTAGGCGATTTGTCTAAGTCGTGATTGCTTTGCGCTTCCTCACCGATGTCGTCTGACGGCGTGTCGTCTTGGTCGCCGAGCACCTGAACGTCGGGGTCTGGATTCAACGGAGGATCTTCCGTCGGAAGCCCCATTTTTACCATGTCGTACGGGAACTTCGCGTTCCTAGCGTCGTTGGTTTTCTCGTCTGGCGACATGTCGCGTTTCTGCGAGCAGAGCTTATCCAGAAAGCGTATCCCGAGAATCTGCCCGGAGGACATCATTAGATTCACGTCCTTCTTCTTGACGGAAATCTTCGCGGTGTACATGTAATTGAGCACCTCCTCAAAGATGTCCGCGCGGATGAAGTCGATCTCGATAACGGACGAACTGTCGACCTCGTGTTTCTTAAAGAGTTTTTTGAAGTAGTTGCTGCACGCCGCTAACACACAGCGATGCGCTCTGAACTTCACATCCTCCACCACGACCGCGATGTCGCAGTGCTCTCCTTCCAATCGCTGCTCGTTCAGTAGCTTCAGAAAGATGGTCCTGTGCTCATCGTCCACATACTTCACAGTTTCGGACATACTGGAGCGGGATCCTACGGGGAGAGAGCGAGAAATTGATACAGAGATCGAGTAGCTTAAAAAAATACAGAGATGGATCAAAATTAAAACTTTGGGACAAAACACGGTACGTTACAAAAACGTTGTGAAAAATATTGATATTTAGAAATATATCGATACTGAAGTGTTTCACTCTCCGCCTCATTCGCTACGGTTAAATAGTGCTTGTATTGCGCATAACTTTAGCTATTTACGCCGTTTCGAACTCGCCTCAAAAGCACGTGAACACTGAAGTGGCGCTCTCGTAAACCGCCTCTTAAACGGCTCAACAGAATTAATTTTACTTCTTTTCAGTGGCTTATCGCATCGAAAATTAGGGCAAAATGTCCTTGATAAGTATTCAGATAAATAGAGTCAGTTTTGGTTAAAAGTTAATTACCTCTTCCCACTTATAAAACCTGTTTATGTAATTTATCTCTTTACTGTATTATGTTTATTTGAGCTATCGTTTGCACTTTGTTTATTTGTTCCTATTTTTTTACAGTTTACGTTTTGTAGTTCAACGCTTCAAGCATCCCTGTGCGGCGTGACAGCTATTACAACAAAATGATGATGTTTATGGCAGTTTTCCCCCTGGTATCGAATACCGATATTTTTTAAATGTATCGTATCGAAGTTGGACATTCCAGTATCGTGACAAAACTACATGAAAGTCAGCATGAAACAGAAGTTGTGCTAGTCATATGTAGGGCGGGACTTGATTACATGGTTGTGGTTTGCTATTGGTCAATCTCATGTGAGTGACAGGTTGTCCTGCCCTTGTGCCTGTAAATATGTTACTTTTGGTTAAAGATTACAAGGCACGTTTACTTAAATTATGAGCATGGATAAATTATTTATTAATAAACTGCAATATTTATTATTATAGCAAACTGACCAACTAATTGACATATGGCCTTTTTTATAAACAATTTTAGTATCAAGGACCTAACATGTACAAAAATCATGTTACTTTCATTAATTACATAAAATATATACCCTTTGTGCAACATATTTAAAATATTTTTCGTATTTACACATATCAAGTTAGGTTATGTAAGTTCTCTATGAAACATTATTATAAGCATTTAACTTGTGTCTTATGAAAACAAACGAATGAAGTCACGCCTCATTTTAATAAATAATCATTACCATCACATTTGAAAACAGACCATAATGCATTAAAACACATTTCACGTGGTTTGTTAAAGATCATTGATACCTTAATGGACACATGATGCTTGTGGATTGTTCTGAATGGACTGCCACGGGCCACAAACGCCAAAACTACTTAATATAAACACAAGATGTGTATTTTTATCAAAAAATAAAGTCGTTGTCTCTTTAAATATCTTGTTCCGTCAATAAACTGAAGATTAATCGGTGTTTATTGCCATTTCTGCGCTAGTCTGTTTTTCTTCTCTTGAAGCTAATCTTAGCATTAGCACATAAATAATCGCCAGCCGACATAAAACGAACAAAACCGACTAACTATCCTCCGTGTTTCGCACTACACGAGCCCGGAGAACACCAGTGCACCGATCAGCACCAGAGAGCAGCGGAATGTGCTCGTTAAACGGGAGCTCGACGGATCGCGGCGCGCTGAGGTGAATTTAGTGGCGCGAGCTGCGCGGGCCATGACGAACACTCCCGCGCCGGGCGCGCGCCGCCATCCCGCGCAAAACATTATGCAATAATTCAGCAGCTGCTTCAGTCTGCTCCAAAAATAAATTTCCTACCTTTATTGTGCTATTTTGATCCACTGTGAAAGTGTGTGTTGAATGTCACGAAAGCCAGTGCAGAATTTAATACTTTGTTGTTGTGAGCGAGGCCGAGGACGAGCACAGGCGGAAGGACGCGCTGCGCCAGCACGGAACTGCGGAGAGCGAGTGACCGAGGCTCATGCGTAGACACGGGCACAGTTACGCAAACTGCGCAGCACCAACACTCTCACACACACAGCGATGCGCAGGCACGCGTACGCAAATCACGCAGCGCAGAACCGTACTGTGACGCGCGGGAGGAGCGAGTGCACGTCCAGATTCATTTACCTCAGAGAGTGAAATTAGTTTATTGCGTTTACACGTTTTGTGAAAAACGTTCTTTCAGTTACATTTGTTCGAAGTTATCTAATAATGTTCTCAAAATATGATGTAACTTTTTTTTCCACAGAAACATTTATTTAGACGTTCGTCTAATGTTTCTAAATGTTAGGCCTACTACTTGTTTCAGAACGTTCGGAGAACATTAAAATGCAACGTTCCCATGTTTAATGCATGCTTTTAAAAAAGTTTATAAAACATGAAACGTTAAGAGAAAATATAACATTTTATAGCTTAATGGAAACATTAGCAAAACGTTCTTAGCCAACAAATTTGTTGGCTGAGTACATTTTTAAAATTATATTATAGACTATAATATAACTAAGATAAAATAAATGAATTCAATTGTGTGGACTATTTACTCCTTAATACATAAAGTACATGATGATAAAATACCATGGTGTTTTGACACTGTGGTACTGAATGATTGCATATTTACATGGCACTCCTAAACTATTTCAATGGTGTTACCATGTCCAAAAACATGATATTATCATGACACATGGCAATTTTGGATGACGACCCACAAAAACGAATTATTAATTCATAATGAGAATGTCAAGGGTTCGTACAGATATGAATGCATTTTCAAGCACTTGGACTATAATCAGAGATCTCACTTATCAAAACAATATCTTTATTATCTCTCAAATTCTAAAAAGGTAAACAGATAAATAATAATATACTAATAAAACAAAATGGTAACAATAAAATTGCAGCACATACAAAGTATCCGGGGACTGAGGCAACTTTAACCACTGAAAGGATGCTATGATAAAGATATTGATTTCTTTATTCAAACTGGGGTTTTTCATGAATAACTGATGGATATATTGAAGAAAGAAACCTGTCATATTTATTTGAGCAATATAAGGCTCATAGACAGCGAAATATCTTTATATCCACATTAGACATGCTGCAGCGTTAATTTTGCATAAAAATATTGTTTCATCGAAAAAAAACACACTGATTTCATATATCTTTCAATGATTTGAGTACTTTTCTTCATGAATATGGCTGTTCAAGGGTTTTCAAAAAGTCAAGCACTTTAAACATCTTGTACGAACCCAGGAATGAATGTAAAATTAACAATTATTTGTACTGAAATGGTTCAGTGAACGTGAATATTGCGTAATATTGTATAACACAATTCATTTGTTCTGTATTATAGAATATGCATATCTCACCGCAAACGGATGAATGGAAACAGCAAAGTTATCAGAAATGGAATTGAGCTTTTATTTGAGCTTGAGTGGGAAACAGTCAGCAGGGCGGCGACACTGCACATCACACAGAATCGAGAAACAAACTAGGACAGAAGAACACACACATTTGGGCTTCAGTTCTGTACAGTTTAAGGCTCAGATGTGGCGAGGAGAACTCTGGGATTGATATTTCAGACAGTTTAGTTCCTCTAGACTCAACAGTTTTCAAGAAGAAACATAAAACAGGCGTATAATTCAAGTAAAACAACATAACACGTCTCTAAGATACATGAGAAAATGTGGCATATTCATATTCTCATACTGTCATTTGTGTGTCATATTCAGAGATGAGACGATGAGGGGGCGGGTGTGGATGGCACATCTTTGCCTGGTTAAATATTGTGCAAAGTTTGTCCTTTTTTTAAAGTGATAGAGCAGTATAATAAATAAATGTAGATATCCGTTATATTTCACATATCTTCAGTCCCGTGGTTTGACTACACACTGCGCTCGTATAGGATTTCCTAAAATGTCTATATACTTTTGTCTTCTCACAAAAAAAAGCAGAATTGTTCCCTTGTTGTCATGCAGTAACAGATCCAGTGCGGCAGACGGCGCCTGTAAGCGTGTGTGTGTGTGTGTGTGTGTGGGAGTGTGATTATGTGAGTGAGTGTGTCTGTGTGTGAGAAAGTGAGAGAGAGTGTGTGAGATTGATTATGCGAGTGTGTGAGAGTCAGTGTGTGTGATTGATTATATGTGTGTGTGTGTGTGTGTGTTTCTCCAGACGTATTCAGATGATGTCTACGTTGTTTTCTCTGACGCGTCCCTCTTTCTCCGCAGCGTGAACACGCGAGATTCTTCCAGAAAGCACGAAGACGATGTTAATCCTGAAAATATAAAAGGAAACATTATTCAGTAACGAGCAGGAGCAAGGACCAGAGACCCGCCGGAGGAGCGAAGCGTGTTAGTGCCTCGAGTGACATGATGATGTCATGCATTTAAATATCACAGCTCAACATCAACATAATACAGAGATTCCACATTATATCATAAACTGAAAAGATTCACATTTTCTTCAAGAAAATGTGAATGGCCTTTCCCATGCAAAACCCAAAGCCACAATGACAGGGTGTTCTGGGTGGTTGCTAGGGTGTTGCTAGGGTGTTTTGTTGCGATCTTCTCCTTCAATGTGGGATTTTTTCACCTTTTCCTGTTGATTGATTAACATAACAGCACATTCTCCTCAACAACACGCATGATTTGAGAATCACTCATGTCTGGAGCTCAAACGCACTCAATTCGCCTACTGATATATACTACGCCCTAAAATTATGGACTCTTTTATGAAGAAAATAGATAGTCTGTCAATCATTCAGTCACCTGCAGAAAGCTGGTATAGTTAGTACACACTAGTCCTCTGAGTTTCACAGATGAATGATGAAGTAAACAGCCAAAGCGGCAGCGGCGTTAGTACAGCAGCCAATAGCAGCGCTCCAAACCTCAGCAGCCAATCAGCTCGCAGTCAGCCAAGCCAAACAAGCTCTGATTGGCTCTGGTCTTACCTGTCACTCCTCGCCCTCTTCCGGCGTGATCTCCGTCTCTTTATGGACCACGACTTTGGTCACTGACATGTCGGGATGTTGTTCTTTAGCCTCTTTAATAGCCTGAGCCAGAGCCTGACCCACAGTGACACCCACATCAGAACCAGAACCAGAACCTACTGCTAACCAGCCTTCCATATGTGTGGACTAGGGGTGTAACGATAGCCTCATGTCACGATTCGATACATATCCCCACACTGAACTCACGATATGATATTACTGCGATACTCCAATACATGATAAAAGATTTACAAGAAATGTACTATTGATTAAAAAGCTCAATTCAGAATTACATAATAAAGACACCAGAATAACAATATTCATGATTCTGAAGCTGAAACAGATTATTGTAGATGAATATGATGATCTCTGTCACTGACTAGATATATTTATAATAATATCGGACACTTTTACTGGAAACGTCAGATATTTGTTATTATCAGGAGCCATTATTATACATTATATACAACATTATATATAGTAGTTTATTGTAGTATTGACACTAAAACTCTGAAAAGTTAATTTTTTTCCTTACAGTAATTTCTATTTTGCGTGAACTATCATATTGTTGCATTTTTGTATTGCGATATATTGTGACACGATATACTGTTACACCCCTAATGTGGAATAATGTTTCATATCTCATAACACGAATGACCCGAACGAGTCGTATTAAAGGCTCACCTCATCATGATCGATGTCTGCGTCTCCTGAGATGACGATTCTCTTCTCGATCCGTGTTTCTGAGATGCCGCCCTTCACCATCTGTCTCACACACACACACACACACACACAGGTTTGATTTGCTATACTTGTGTGAGGACATTACATAGATGTTTTTTATACTGTACAAACTCTATATTCTATCCCCTTACACTAACCCTACCCATCTCACACACACACACACACACAGCAGGTTACGGCGCTCTCTGACCTTGGTGATGTGTGTGGTGGTGGTGGTGCTGCTGGTTTCGGATGTGATGGTTTGAGCGCTCATGAGGATCCCAGGATCAGTGTCTCCGTCAGTCTCGTCCTGTCACACGCAACAACACCGTCTCAAAACACAGCATCTCATCATGTGCTCGAGCTCGGCTCGGTTACACGTCACACCGTGTGCTAACTACACGCGGCGCCTGGGCTTGAGATTAACTTTTTCTACTTTTTCTCTTTTTTTTTTTGCAATTTTGCAAAGTTACCAGCCAATCAGCGCTTCTACCAGCCAAAAAATAGGAAGTGAAAAAAAGAAATACCAGCATAGTGTAGCGTAGTGACGTGTGTGTTCGAGTGAGCAGATATGAGCCGAAAACTGAGTCAACATAATAAGTAACGCGTGAAACTGGCTCGTGATTTTTGCACGCATTTGGCGAGTGTTCATCTCAAACCCTGCGCGGCGCGACATGATAAAGTGTGTGAATTTGTTTAAAACGTACTAACTCTAAACTATGGAAGCTTTTTTCTCCCACAGAACAAAATATTAAAAAGGAAATTTTTTTCTCACAATTGTGAGAAATAAATTTGCAGAATTGCATGTTTATATCATGAAATTCTGACTTTTTAACACACAATTGTGAATTATAAAGTCAGACTTGTGAGATATAAACAAGATCTGTCTTTTTTTCCTTAGAATTAGACTTTATAACCTGCAATTTTAACTTTATATATCACAACTCTGAGAAAAGACATAAGAAAGAATATATTTTTTTTTGGAAAAAAGTTTATTTAAATTCAATTGTGACTTTATCACTCACAATTACGAGAAAATGTAAAGAAATGTGTCAATATTCGTCATCATCCAGTAAGATAAGAGTCTAGAGCTGTAAAATGAGGATGATTTGAGATTAACACACACACACACACACACACCTGCAGGGACTCATATGTGACGGTCTTCATTTCCGTGTGGATCACAGGAGAGTCTTGTGTGTTTGTGTCTCCCGACAGAGTCCTGGAGAAACTCGAGACGCCCGACTGCAGGACCACAGGAGAGAAGAGAGACTCGTCATTAACACACACACACACACACACACACACACAGTTATTCATTCATTCCTCTAACTAATTCTAATGTTTGAAGAACAATACAATGGATTAAAGTCCCCCTGTGGTGAGAATCCAGCGTTTAATGTTGTTTATGTGTGTATGTGGTGTGTTTAATCTGCTTTAACACACACACCGTGTGTGTGTTGATAAGTGGACAGCATTGCTGAGTATTTCCTGCAGTGAACCAAAGACAGTCTCAAAAACACGCTTTGGTGTTTCTGACGTCACAAACCACCTTGTAACCAATCAGATCAACGTGTGATCGTCAACCAGTGGATCTCTGAGTGAGGGAGTGGGGGCGGGGCTCATTTGCATATTCATAGAACCATACATACTCAATGAGGCAAGGGTGTCGAGTTACAGTCAAGATATTTTAAGGAGAAAAACGCTTAAATCTCATTTTGGTGATCAAAGATGAGTTTAAGAGATACAATTACTGACTACAAGGGGACTTTAACATTTGCATAACCAAGAAATAAACGAGTAGCTGGGTAATTAAAGCACTATTTAAATGAGATTCCCTGATGGGAAGAAACACTGGGAAGGAGACAGGGAGGAACGAGGTGTTCTGGGAGAGAACAGGCCGAACACAAGCCGTTTCAGAGCTGCGGTTCAACTCTCAGCGTTTACACTGAAGCTCTCGTCTACGAGCTCGTCATCCGTCTGAGAACCACACACACACACACGGTCACTGGGCGTCGGGGGTTCAGGATTGGGGTGGATCTGTCGGGGTCGTGGGGGTCAGAGGTCACCTCTAAACTGGGCGTCAGTTCTACCTCCCCACCCCTCGGGCTCATGTTGGGGGACCGATCTCATCATCATCATCATCATCATCGGTGGACAGAGAGAAGCTCTCGCCTCCAGACTCGCTGTCACTGGGGGAAACGTGTGTGTGAGGCGTGTGTGTGAGCGGCCCGTCGAGGTTAGCCGAGGTTACACTGCTGGAGTCACTGGTTTCATCATCATCATCATCATCCTCAGACTCATCCAGGACTCGCTCAGAGCTCAACAACTCCACACACACACCCGGCGGCATCGAGGGCTGCACACACACACCCGGCTCCTGGACGCCTGGAGGTTCGGGTACCTGAGGCTGGAGCGGCGGCTGGTCCTCGTCTTCTCCCCGATGCCTCTCCGGACTCTCCGACGGCTGGAAGAGATGTGGAGAAACGTGAGGAACACGCAGAGATACAGGTCATGTGATCAGACATCTGCGGATCCAGCTCATGTTTCAATAACTAATCACTGACAATCGAGATCAAACTCTTCATCAAATAAGGTGATCGGCTCATTCAGCAGAAAGGAACAACGCACAATTATATAAAATTAAAACTGAAAACCAAAAAATTATTATTATAATAAATAATAAGTCAATTAACATTACTAAATAAATACTATATATATATATATATATTAATTATAATACTAATTATTATTATAGTTTGTTAAAAAATAAGATAATTAATAGTATTCTATGTTATATTTATTATTATTAATTATCTTATTATTTAGTATTTATTATTATTATTATTATTCAGTGTTTTGGTTATTTTATTATTTTTTAAATTTCTATTTAGCTTATTTTTATTTAGTTTTTATTTCAGTTTGAATTTCCTAAACTATGTTGCTTTGGCATTAATCTGAAATAAGTTTAAGCTAAAGCCCTAAAATTATTAACTGGAAATAAAAAAAATAAAACTTAAAAATAAAAATGAATGAACTTTAACTTGAAATCTGTTGCAACATTTCTCATTTTTGTTTACTTTTTCACAAAATAATAATATTTGATTTTACTTTATTAATTATTTATTTAGTTGAACAAGGACGCTTTTAGTAGTTTTAGTAAAACTTGCATTCAACAGGTCAGTTCAATGAATAATTCCTTAATAAATATTGGTCTAAACCTGGAGAGGAACATTAGAAGCAGTTCCGGACTCAATCTAACAGACGCATGAGTTGTGTCGTAAACTAATGAACCGAAGAAAGATGATGAGAGATGGGCTGAGATGACGTGAGGTCTGGTGGACACACACAGACACAGCCTTAATCTGAGGCTAAACATGTGCAGTCACACACACCAGCACAGGTTCAGAGCGGCAGTGTGTGTTAAAGTGAAGTCTAGACCTTGTGTAAAGCGAGCGCAGATGAAGACGGAGCCCAGCTGCGAGTCGACTGCAAGAGCGCCGTGAGCTCAGGAGACATCTCATCCAAACTGGGCTTCGGCTGAACAGAGAGACACACAGCGTTAAAGCACACACACACACATGCATTATGAGTTCAGATCGCACACGTACAAGAGCATTCTGGGTATTTCAGGAGAGTCAAGGATTATGCATTTGCATTGTGCAAAGAATTGCATGAAATTAAATTAGTTAGGAATCAAAATGCATGCAGATTCAGAGCCATGCAAACGGTGATCGAGCGGATTCATTTGGTCAGAACAGATGTTATGGTTGTGATGAGTAGTAATGTTATTTATAATGTTTTGCCAGTGGGTGGCGCTGCTAACACACTGATGCTGAGTGACATCACTCCTACAGAGGTTTGGGTCAGTTCTGCAGGAATAAAACCTCGTGTTTCATTAGTCTTGGTCTGAAGATCTGAGCTGATTTAAGAAAGAGTGACTTAAGAAAGAGTTAAAAAATATATATATATGTTAAAGCAGAAGAAATAAGAGTATTCTGCAAACATCCAGGTAGCATTTTTGTCTTATTTAGTTGTTGTCTTTTTCGAGTAGAGCAAAGAACAAATATCTGTCGTTGGGGTCAAATATAACCTTAAGTTTATTTTTTAAGTTGATGTTTTATGCACAAACTCACTTAATTTTTCATTAATTTCACTTCTCAAGTAAAAGTTTAGATATTTGTACAGGAAAGGCATTAATTAATTACAAAAGATAAGAAAATAATTGTTTCGGAGTAAAGTTATTCCAGTGTTGTGGTGATATTTGGCCAGCAGGGGGCGTCATCACTAAACACACTGCAGCAAAACATTTAATGCATTTTTATTTCTACGGACTTGGCCCCAATGAATAATTAAACAGCAAACTAAATTAAATGTTTGCATTTGTAAACAGCATTTCTGATAATGAAGGTTATAATATAATCTTTAACACTCTGACCAAAGTCTGTAGAATATGCATAAGTTCCACAGTTAGTGAAAACACACATTCATGTACAGTGAAGATCTTCAGAGTTTCCCTCATGATCGATGAAGATCACGGATAACAGAGACGCATTGCTTCACACCGATATCAGAAATATGTTCTAAGAGCAATTTGCTAAAGTTCCCAGTAAGTTCCCAGTTCCCAACTTATGAAAACATTGTTTCTGAACATTCAGTTTTTTAAATGTTTTAAATGCAGTTTTCTTGGTTATGGGAACGTTAAAGAAACATTTAATTGTATCATTCTTCAAACATTAAGGAACGTTACTTTTAAATGAACGTTCTAAAACAAGCAGTTAAGTTAAAAAATTTCCAACTGAAATGTTTCAGCAAAAACGTTCCATGATTGATGCATGTTTTTGTTCTCCGGTTTGAGAACATTATTAAAGATCGGATAACGTTTGTTCATAATTTTGCCAGAGCGTTCTCTGTTAGCTGTGACTGTCTTATGAATGAAACCCACATTTCCAGCAGCAGCCAAGAGCGCAAAACACAGATGCAGCCGTTCCTTCAGTCGTGACTAAAAGCAAAGCAGCGGCATTCTTGAAAATAAAGGGAGGAATAAAAGTGGATGAAGGAAACAAGGTTCCTGCTCTAAAAAACGAGAAATAAAAGAATGTGACAGCAAATTCCAGCCGGAGGGATTTGTGTCAGACGGCAGCCCAAAACAACAACACAAATCAGGAGTGTTTGAGAAGCTCTGGCTTCTGAAATAGTCTGTGTCAGAGATGTTCACAAGTCTTTCATCGGGAGTCTGAGTCAAGTCTAAAGTTTTTATCACTGGAGTCGGGAGTCTGGAGTCTTTATCGCTGGAGTCTGAGTCAAGTCTGAAGTCATTTCTGGTCGAGTCCGAGTCAAGTCTGAAGTCATTTCTGGTTGAGTCCGAGTCAAGTCTGAAGTCATTTCAGGTCGAGTCCAAGTCAAGTCTGAAGTCATTTCTGGTCGAGTCCGAGTCAAGTCTGAAGTCATTTCTGGTTGAGTCCGAATCAAGTCTGAAGTAATTTCTGGTTGAGTCCGAGTCAAGTCTGAAGTCATTTCAGGTCGAGTCCAAGTCAAGTCTGAAGTCATTTCTGGTCAAGTCCGAGACAAGACTGAAGTCATTTATGGTCAAGTCCATGTCAAGTCTGAAGTCATTTCTGGTCAAGTCCGAGTCAAGTCTGAAGTCATTTCTGGTCAAGTCCGAGTCAAGTCTGAAGTCATTTCTGGTGAGTCCGAGTCAAGTCTGAAGTCAATTCTGGTCAGTCCGAGTCAAGTCTGAAGTCATTTCTGGTCGAGTCCGAGTCAAGTCTGAAGTCATTTCTGGTCAAGTCCGAGTCAAGTCTGAAGTCATTTCTGGTCGAGTCCGAGTCAAGTCTGAAGTCATTTCTGGTCAAGTCCGAGTCAAGTCTGAAGTCATTTCAGGTCGAGTCCGAGTCAAGTCTGAAGTCATTTCTGGTCAAGTCCGAGACAAGACTGAAGTCATTTATGGTCAAGTCCATGTCAAGTCTGAAGTCATTTCTGGTCAAGTCCGAGACAAGACTGAAGTCATTTATGGTCAAGTCCATGTCAAGTCTGAAGTCATTTCTGGTCGAGGCCGAGTCAAGTCTGAAGTCATTTCAGGTCGAGTCCGAGTCAAGTCTGAAGTCATTTCAGGTCAAGTCCGAGTCAAGTCTGAAGTCATTTCTGGTCAAGTCCGAGTCAAGTCTGAAGTCATTTCTGGTCGAGTCCGAGTCAAGTCTGAAGTCATTTCTGGTCGAGTCCGAGTCAAGTCTGAAGTCATTTCTGGTCGAGTCCGAGTCAAGTCTGAAGTCATTTCAGGTCAAGTCCGAGTCAAGTCTGAAGTCATTTCAGGTCGAGTCCGAGTCAAGTCTGAAGTCATTTCTGGTCAAGTCCGAGACAAGTCTGAAGTCATTTCTGGTCGAGTCCGAGTCAAGTCTGAAGTCATTTCTGGTCGAGTCCGAGTCAAGTCTGAAGTCATTTCTGGTCGAGTCCGAGTCAAGTCTGAAGTCATTTCAGGTCAAGTCCGAGTCAAGTCTGAAGTCATTTCAGGTCGAGTCCGAGTCAAGTCTGAAGTCATTTCTGGTCGAGTCCGAGTCAAGTCTGAAGTCATTTCTGGTCGAGTCCGAGTCAAGTCTGAAGTCATTTCTGGTCGAGTCCGAGTCAAGTCTGAAGTCATCTCAGGTCGAGTCCGAGTCAAGTCTGAAGTCATTTCTGGTCGAGTCCGAGTCAAGTCTGAAGTCATTTCTGGTCGAGTCCGAGTCAAGTCTGAAGTCATTTCTGGTCGAGTCCGAGTCAAGTCTGAAGTCATTTCTGGTCGAGTCCGAGTCAAGTCTGAAGTCATTTCTGGTCGAGTCCGAGTCAAGTCTGAAGTCATTTCTGGTCGAGTCCGAGTCAAGTCTGAAGTCATTTCTGGTCGAGTCCGAGTCAAGTCTGAAATCATTTCTGGTCGAGTCCGAGTCAAGTCTGAAGTCATTTCTGGTCGAGTCCGAGTCAAGTCTGAAGTCATTTCTGGTCGAGTCCGAGTCAAGTCTGAAGTCATTTCTGGTCGAGTCCGAGTCAAGTCTGAAGTCATTTCTGGTCGAGTCCGAGTCAAGTCTGAAGTCATTTCTGGTCGAGTCCGAGTCAAGTCTGAAGTCATTTCTGGTCGAGTCCGAGTCAAGTCTGAAGTCATTTCTGGTCGAGTCCGAGTCAAGTCTGAAGTCATTTCTGGTCGAGTCCGAGTCAAGTCTGAAGTCATTTCTGGTCGAGTCCGAGTCAAGTCTGAAGTCATTTCTGGTCGAGTCCGAGTCAAGTCTGAAGTCATTTCTGGTCGAGTCCGAGTCAAGTCTGAAGTCATCTCAGGTCGAGTCCAAGTCAAGTCTGAAGTCATTTCTGGTCGAGTCCGAGTCAAGTCTGAAATCATTTCTGGTCGAGTCCGAGTCAAGTCTGAAGTCATTTCAGGTCAAGTCCGAGTCAAGTTTGAAGTCTTTTAAAATGCGTTTTGAGTGCCCATCTCTGGTCTGTGTTTGAGAAGCCAGGCCGAGGACGATATATCGTACCACTCTGGCTGTCGGGGAGGTTTTGGTGAGATACGGCAGTGACGGAGATCTGAGCGAAGCTTCTCCATAATCCTCGGCTTCTCCGACCTTCCTCACGGTGACGCTCTGAAACTCGGGAATCACCTTGATGAAGGGTTTAGAAGTAGAGTCGGAAAACTGCTCGAAAGCTTCTTGAACTTTGCTGGGTTTGTCTTCCGGAAGATCGCCGGTCGATACGGTGCTCGTCGCGGCTACGAATCTGTAGCTGGCGCTGTGTCTCTTCTCCGGGACCTTCGGGGGAACTTTGGGTGGTGCTTTAGGAGGAAAGTCTTCGAGAAACTTCTCTTTTGCTATCGTAGAAAACTTTTCTGGTACTTTTGGAGGAATTTTTTCCACTATTTTTAGAGGAACCTTTTCTGTTTCTGGTACAATTGAAGGAACTTGTTCTTCTACTATCATAGAAACTTTTTCTGGTACTTTTGGAGCCATTTTCTTTAGAGGAACCTCTTCTGTTTCTGGTACTATTGAAGGAACTTGTTCTTGTACTATCATAGAAACTTTTTCTGGTACTTTTGGAGCCATTTTCTTTGGAGGAACCTTTTCTGTTTCTGGTACAACTGAAGGAACTTGTTCTTGTACTATCATAGAAACTTTTTCCGGTACTTTTGGAGGAACCTCTTCTGTTTCTGGTACAATTAGAGGAACTTGTTCTGGTACTATCATAGAAACCTTTTCTGGTACTTTTGGAGCCATTTTCTTTGGAGCAAACTCAACAGCTTTTTCTTGTACCTTTTCCGGTATCATTTGAGAAACCGTTCCTGGAACTTTATCTGGTTCAAACGGAGGAACCTTGTTTATAATGACCCACCCGTCAGACTCCTACATGTAACACACAAAGATCATGTTAGCTTGAGTAACAGCAGCGTTAGTCACGCCTGAGACACGACGGACAAACGAACGCACACAACGTCACGCGTCACAATTCATTATGATCATGAACGTCTGATGAAGAGATTGGAGAGAATCGGATGAATGAATCACTCACCACATCAACCTTCCTGTCATTCAGATCATCCTGCGTCTCCAGCGATGTTGCCGCCACTTCCTGTATGTCCTCCACTACTTCCTGTGTGTCCACCGCCACTTCCTGTTTGACCTCAAGGAAAAGAAACCAAAAGAATTAATAAATGATACAGCAGAGATCAATAAGCTGTAAGACCAGATCTTTCCAGACAACACAAGACTTTCTTCCTACCATAAGAACCCTGTTTAATGACAGATCTGACAGACAGACAGACAGATCGATAGATAGACAGACAGACAGACAGACAGACAGACAGACAGACAGACAGACAGACAGACAGACAGACAGACAGACAGACAGACAGACAGACAGACAGACAGACAGACAGGCAGGCAGGCAGGCAGGCAGGCAGGCAGGCAGGCAGGCAGGCAGGCAGGCAGGCAGGCAGGCAGGCAGGCAGGCAGGCAGGCAGGCAGGCAGATAGATAGATAGATAGATAGATAGATAGATAGATAGATAGATAGATAGATAGATAGATAGATAGATAGATAGATAGATAGATAGATAGATAGATAGATAGATAGATAGATAGATAGATAGATAGATAGTGATATATAACTTTATGACTCAAGTAAGTTTAATTCTTATTCTTATGTGAAAATATATATAAAATCTGATGGATGTCAAGATATTTCTACAGAAACACACTGATACTGATTGAGAACAGGATTTTCCCATCTCTCCCTCAGCAGATGCTGTTTGGGTTTATGTAAGAGGCACATAATGATTTTCCCTGGTCTGAACTGCTTAGTGCAGATAAATGCTGGATCCATGAAAACACTCCAGCGGATGAACTCGGATTTTACTGCGGCTACAAAAACAAAATCAATAAAAGACTTTCTCTTGACGACAAATCGTCTGTCACTCTCGTCTAAAGCGGCTCCATTCAGATCCATGAATATCATCTCTTAACAAACAGCCGTAATTACAGCAGTTTTCCACACAAAAAGCCGGCTGATATCCAGTGTTGTGTCACTCATTACAAGTTACTTGAGTTTCGTAATCAGATTACTTTTTCAAGTAACTAGTAAAGTAACACATTACTTTTAAAATGTACAAAAAATATCTGAGTTACCTTTTCAAATAAGTTTTTCTAAAGTAACGTAACGCATTATTTTTCTAAAAAAGTAACCAAGTAACGCAATTAGTTACTTTTAAGGGAGTAACGCAACATTGTAACGCAATAATGTTCTAAAAAGTAACTAAGTAACCCAACTAGTTACTTTTAAGGGAGTAACGCAACATTGTAACGCATTACTTTTCTAAAAAGTAACTAAGTAACCCAATTAGTTACTTTTAAAGGAGTAACGCAACATTGTAATGCATTACTTTTCTAAAAAGTAACTAAGTAACGCAATTAGTTACTTTTAAGGGAGTAACGCAATATTCTAACGCATTAATGTTCTAAAAAGTAACTAAGTAACCCAACTAGTTACTTTTAACCCTCTGAGACCTAAGGGTATTTTTACAATAAATTTTCCGTCTGGTGTCATTTACTAAAAAAGCTTGTAAAATATCAACCCTTTGGTGCACAGACAATTGACACACCTCTTTTTTTTCAGGACAAATTGAACTTTCAGCATATTTGTGTTACATTGATGTCACCTGAATGTAAAATAAGTTATGGGACCATAAAGACAAATGAAAAAATAAATCGGAAATGGAATCACTCAATTATTTATTGAAATCACACACAAATAAATAAAAGCTAAGCAATTTTCCTCTGGAAAATAGTTTGTTCATGTCTTTGGAGTCCTGGAGCACAGGAATAAACATTATAACTTGTACAGAACAAAAAATATTGACATTTTTCCAAAAGAAGTCCAGGCGTTTGGGGCCTCATGAAATTCACTGGTGCCAAGCCTCAAAACAGTTCCTATCAGCAATCACACAGAGGGCCACATCACAGGTTTTGCATTTCTATTTTATTTATTCTTTTAATTATTATGTTCTTTTTATTCTTTTATAATACATTTATACTACTATAATACTTTTTTACAGTAAATAAATAAATGGCACTTCAGCTGGGTCTATCCTGGTAATCTAGTTCCTCATCTGTCAAAAAGCTCTGTTCTCCTGAAAATCCTTCATCCTGCAAGGCACCAAAATAGACCAGCGTTTTATTTACGTCCATTTCGCTGTGTTTCTATGTGAATCGCGCGTCTCCGTGAGTCTCTCTATCTCTCTACACTATATCAGCGCTTGGTTCATGCGTAATGACGCACACCAATGTTTACAACGGATCAGCCTGTAATTGGTCAAAAACCATCACGTGAAAACATCACGTGATATCCAGGATGTCCGCTAGCATCGAGCTAGCGGCAAAAATGACCGAATATTTATGAATTATGGGCTTCAAGATTATCAAAGTTTGACATAAAGCGTTTGGATTTATTGCTGAAAACCTCTGAAAGGAAGCACAAGTTCCAGGCTGGATAGAAAACCTTCTGTAAAGGCTAGAAAGACCCGAAAGACACCCCCGTGATGGCTAGCTTGTTAGCTTTCTGCTGGAAAAAACGGTAAGAAAATCGATAAATCTGTCATCGAGTTATGTAAACATTTATCGGAGGTGACGTGTGGCATCGTCGACGACGCCGTCGGGCTCAGGGGGTTAAGAGAGTAACGCAACATTGTAACGCATTACTTTTCTAAAAAGTAACTAAGTAACCCAATTAGTTACTTTTAAAGGAGTAACGCAACATTGTAACGCATTACTTTTCTAAAAAGTAACTAAGTAACGCAATATGTTACTTTTAACGGAGTAACGCAACATTGTAACGCATTACTTTTCTAAAAAGTAACTAAGTAACGCAATTAGTTACTTTTAAGGGAGTAACGCAACATTGTAACGCATTACTTTTCTAAAAAGTAACTAAGTAACGCAATATGTTACTTTTAAGGGAGTAACGCAATATTGTAATGCATTACTTTTCAAAGTAACTTTCCTCAACACTGCTGATCTTACCTCGTCCGGCACCAGCGGCTCGATCATGGGAGATTCATCCAGACGAGGCGATCGGAGCGGAGACGAGGACATGCGCTTCTCCCACTCGGTCAGGCCCGTCCGATCCGCTCCTCCCTCCAGGAACGTCCTCTTCAGCTCGCTGATGTTCGTCTGATGCTTCACCAGCTCTTCGGGCGTATGCTCGATTTCCTGAAGAAACCCAGAGAGATTCATCAGCATTTCACCTTTAACCATCTGAGGACAAGAGCAAACCTTCACACACACAAAACATTAAAACCAGGCTTTAATTCTATTTTCTTACGTTTTGCTTCCCCCATTCAAATAGAAACAAGTTAGATCTACCACATGCACTGCAAACACACACACGCATCACTGATGACACACACACGTGTGCTCAACTAAAAGGCTTTAAAGTTCATTTCCAGTGAGTAAAACCGGCCTGTAAACACACATTAGTGGCAGTAACTGAAGCGTTCATTTAAAGCAGGTCCACGTGATGCTTTACAAACCTCTAACATCAGCGCACTGTGTCTGACAAACACATTCTCTCCTTTAATGCGCCTTATGAAACTGGGCTGAAGGGAAACAGATGCAATTACAGAGCCAACCCATCTAACAGGGAACATTCGTGAAGATTATGTACCATGTTCTTTAATTAACATCTATAAAACTTGATCAACATTCTCATAACATTTTCAGAGCATGCTTATAATATTGCTTGAATGCTGACAGAAAAGTCCTAAGCGCAACATTTTCGGAATGTCCTTATGATGTCATTCTCGGAATGTTACACATAAACGTTCAAAGAATCTTACATTGTAAGAGGATGTTGTAATGACATTATTAGAAGCTTCTGCAATAATGTTCTAATCGTGACGTAAGAAATCTGTGTGAAAAGATTATTTCATCAATAAAATTCCCATATACTCTCTTTCAATAATTCAAGCCCTTGTCAAGTACTTCTTCATAAAAATGGCTGTTTTTTTTTAAGGGTTTTCCAGAACTTTAATTTCAAAAAGTCAAATTCAAGTACGGACCCTGATAATGAGAATGTCTAGAAATACTAGATCCCCACTGGGTCGACCAATCAGAAGACAGAACCACACTTTAAAAAATCTGCTGTAGGATTTACTTTGAAACAATTTTCACAAATAATGACAGCAAGAAACATACTGAATTTTTCGCAGTGTATATGTTTTAATATTTAGATTGTCAAATCTTACCAGTGTCTTCGCTTCAGATTCGTCCTCCTGATCCGACTGCACAAGAGACACAAAAAACACGTGATATTATGACATAACGAAAACACATCAGAGAAAGAGTCGGTTTGGGAGTCAAACTCATTAACACCACGGACTTAATGTTTCCATCTATAGAAGAACAATTATGATTATTGGCCATTATCAGATTAAGGTTTAATAAGAACATCAACAACCCCACCGTATCTTAATTAGCAATCTAATTACAGCAATCTTTCATTTCATTCTTGTTTTTGTGCCCCGATTCGGTCTGACGGCAGCAATCACATCTGCTGTTCATATTAATCCTGATAAACAGTTTTAAGAACATCCAGGTAAAGTTATGAGCAAACGTTCTTCCAGTAACGTTAATAGAACGTTTGTCGTAATGTTCTTGCACAAAATTCTTTTAAATGTAACAACTTGTTTCTGAGAACATTCAAAAGTAACATTCCATAATGTTTGAAGAATGATGCTTCTGAACTGAGATTGGACGGGAAATGAGGTGAACACACACCTCGGTGGCCGTCAGATCTCCGTCTACAGCGGTGTCTGTGAAGTCCGTCTGTGATCCAGTGAGAGCGTGAACAGAGAGACAAGCAGAGAACGAGGTGAAGCCTTCATGATCATCTCCTCCATCAGTGATCAAACAAGAGACGGCATTAACTGAACGGACACTAACACAGATACTCATTCCCCATGTGTTAGGATAATAATGTGACTCGTGTTGGACATTCATCAGGTGCATCATGGGAATCTTTTGAACACCAGTGATGAGACGCCTCATGATGCTCTGAAGAAACTCATCTGCATGCAGTCAAAAGTTTGGTTGAGTCTCTTCTGCTCATCAAGGCTGTGTTTATTTGACCAAAAATACTGAAACATGTGAAATATTATTGTAATGTAAATCATCTGTTCTCTATGTGAATATAGTCAAGTGTAATTTATTCCTGTGATGTTCAGCATCATTACTCCAGTCTTCAGTGTCACATGATCCTCCAGAAATCACTCTAATATGAGGATCTGATGATCAAGACACAGTTATGATTATTATCAGTGTTGAAAACAGAATCTGTAAAAGAACAGCGTTTACAGTGTAACATGTTTCTGTCACTTTTGATCAATTTAATGCATCCTTGATGAATACTATATATATATGAAGAGTTCAGATGCAAAAGCCTCTAAATGCCATTTGAAATTTTCTTCTAAAATTACCGTTTTTATTAAGCTTGTATATTTAAGTTCAGTGATTTCACCTAAATGGCAATGAGGATTACCTATTAATTGTCATTTAAGTGAAATTACTTAACCTGAATATATAAGCTTGATAAAAATGGTCATTTTAGAAGAAAATTTCAAATGGCATTTAGAGGCTTTTGCATCTGAACTCTTCATATATTATTACATAATACTATTTTAAAATCTTTTGAACATTTGTTGTTTATTTGTAGCTTTTGAAACATAAGCACGAGAAACATGGTCTTTATATGTTTGTTATGAGCAGTTATGAGCTGTTTTGATCTGTTATGATCTGTTATGAGCGGTTATGATCAGTTATGAGCGGTTATGATCGGTTATGATCAGTTATGATCAGTTATGAGCGGTTATGATCAGTTATGATCGGTTATGATCGGTTATGATGATCGGTTATAAGTGGTTATGAGCGGTTATGATCAGTTATGATCGGTTATGATCGGTTATGATCGGTTATGATGATCGGTTATAAGTGGTTATGAGCGGTTATGATCAGTTATGATCGGTTATGATCGGTTATGAGTGGTTATGATCGGTTATGAGCGGTTATGATTAGTTATGATCAGTTATGAGCGGTTATGATCAGTTATGATCAGTTATGATCGGTTATGAGTGGTTATGAGTGGTTATGATCGGTTATGAGTGGTTATGAGCGGTTATGATCAGTTATGATCGGTTATGATCAGTTATGATCAGTTATGATCGGTTATGAGTGGTTATGAGCGGTTATGAGCGGTTATGATTAGTTATGATCAGTTATGAGCGGTTATGATCAGTTATGATCGGTTATGATCGGTTATGATCGGTTATGATCGGTTATGATCGGTTATGAGCGGTTATGAGCGGTTATGATATGGATTAAACACCTGGTTTGTGGTTAAGATGAAGAAGAGCAGTGTTTTGTACCCGTGTGTCCTGGCGAGCCGGAGTCAGTGGGCTGGCCAGCGAAGGATCCGTGTTCTTCGTGGTTTCGTCCTCTTCCTCCAACACGATCACACTCTCTACACACACACGCTCTTCCTCACGCGTCTCCTCCGCTTTCTTCTCCGGCGTCACTGTGGTGATGAGGTCACTCACGGCTATGCCTTTAGCGGTGCCGTACAACGCTGTGCCCATCTCTACACACACACACACACACACGAGAGAGAGAGAGAGAGAGAGAGAGAGAGATTCAGTCCTGCATCTGCATTCAGTACCACAATAAGAGTGAACACTGACTGCATTATATTATTGATTTAAGACTGCAGAATTATTTTATTCTTTATCATTATGAATGCCTTCAACACACTCTCAGAAAGAAAGGTTTGTCGCAGCCGTGCCACAGAACAAACATGAATCGCTCCCCAGAGAAAGTTTGTAAATAGAATTAAGGTATGTCAAGTGATAAAAATTTAAATTCATTAATTAAATTAAGCACAAATTATTCACATCAATTTTGTCTTATAAATTATCTCCCAAAGCTCATTTAAAGTCATTCTGTGTTAGAAGAAAAAAGCACTAAATAAACTACAAGAAAGTAGATTTAGAAATTAATATTGATTCAACATTGAATTTATTACACATAAACGTTTAAGGCTGCAATGCGGCATGGAAGTGGTTTAATGCAGCTCAGAGGAGGGAAAAATAAATGAAGCACTAAATATGAAGCTTGCGGCAAGTCTTAATGAGTGAGTCATTGAATCATTCATTCAACCAATTCATTCAAATGGCTGATTCATTCAGGAACAAAGCAAGTGACCGTCTTTATTTTCTCAGTGACTCACTCGATTCGTTAAAGTCACGCAGATTTAATTTTTATCAGTGAAAACAGACAATACTGAGTCTAAAATGTAACAATATTAACTGTTGTATAAAATGAGTATCACATTTGCAATCATGCAGAAATGTGGGGAAAGGCACTCCTGCTCGTGTGATACTGTTAAACTACATCATTCGATATCAATATAAGACACAAACCCATCTAGCAGCAATTTTGTCCTCTTTTCCTGAATTTAAGTGGCATTTTAACAGCACTCTAATACAAACCTAAACCTAAAGCTTTAAAGCCAGGTTTTTTTTTTACATGTTTACAAAAGAGATGATTGTAACGTGTCTATGAGTGGATCATGATGGGTTGAAGAAGCCAGAACATGTGCAAAATCATAACAGCCTCTGAAGCACAAGCCTGCCAGCGCATGCAAACACACACACACACAGGATATCAAACACACACACACACACACACACACACACACACGTGCGCGTGATCACAGGAGATCAGACAAGCAGACGGAGCGTCTTCTGTGTCTACAAGCGTCTCGATACAGAGAAGCGTCTCTACCTGTTGGTCTAGTGCCATTTACATTGACTGTCGCTGTGTTGACCGGTGTACTCCGCTGAGCTGAGGAGATCACACACACACACACACACACACCAGCGTCTGAGCAAGCACAGTATCACAGACACTAGGGTCAATGGACAAATATCTGCTCTTTAATAATGTCGTCTAAATGTTCACACAAAAACTGTATTTATACACCAATCATGGAGCGTGTTTTCCTGAAATATTTTTGTAACTGTCGGAATGTCCATTTAAAAGTAACGTTTCCATGATGAT